GCAAGGGGAAAATGGGCCGGTTGGGGGTGAGGGTGAGGGTAGTCAATGGAAAAGCCAATGAAATTCGTACTCACTTTTTCCACAATTGTTTTAAACTTTGTTCTGATTATAAGCATAGTAATTTGCTAGTATCACGCCTTACCTACTGGACCATACAAGTGTGAAATCAACCCATTTGGTAGGACCACGGACTGAAATTTCAATCCATGTACGCGTTTGTGGCCGTTGTATAACAATCGCTGGTTTTCCCCGAGTCGAGCAATTGGCCGCACAGTTCCGTCTACGAAACCAAAGCAATTGCTTAGTGGCGCCCCTTGGTTAAAAACAGCTTCCGCGTACTTTTCCAGCTCTAGTGGATTTAAAATGGTTCGGTTCCATTGTGTGATTCTGTGGTATGATGTGCATAAATCCAGTCTGTTACGGTGTTGCATATCATGCAAAGTTCTGGTACTGGCCTTCCGAAAATAGGTATCATGTCTGAGTATCGACAAGGAAAGGAATATCGCTTCAGAAGCATGCAAAGCCCTTCTGTTCCTTCGCAAACAGTTCCCTGGTCGCATATGAAGTATTGCGGAATTTGAAGAGCATCTTCTACCAGAGGAATGTGGTGCTTTTCCACTCTGAAGTTTTCCCTACTCTCGGCTTCACTTTTGCTCTCTAAGTTAAACGGCGGGTAGTTATAGTACGGAAAATCCAAGTTGTTTGAACTGTTTTCTTCGAAAAGCAAAGCATATTCTTCAATCGTAATGATATTAGAGGCATAGCTGGCCAGCAAAATTTCGCGAGTTTCTTTAAAAGTCCCATTTGCACTGAAAACAATACTATAATCGGTTTCTGTTGTTCAGAAATAAAGTAATTTCACTACTCTTTTTATTCTATCCGCGGGTAGCCGCGTCGTTGAATCCCGCCATCTTAACTTAAAATTTCCCGCCACGAACACGGCGTCCTCGACACAGGCCCCACGCGGCTTCGGTATATTTGACGACGTCCGCGTTGTTGGATCTTAAAGTCCCTATTGAAACTGTTGCCGACAATGCTTGCCCATGGGATCATTGCTTTCTTCAGTTGGTGTATCGTTTGTGAAATCCACACCCGAAAACATCTGATCGACGGGATTCTTTGCGGTATCATTGCTTGTGCAATTGATTTAGATCATTTTATAGCTGCTAAATCTTTCAAAATTAAGGTAAGAGACACAAATCAGCGAGCGGTACTGTACCCTTGACTGAACACGAAGAGGGGTGTTAGAGTTCGAGACAGTCATGGTTTATGCAAGGAACACTAAGTAATTATTTGAATTATTTTTTATCATGCCAATAACAACTTGGCTTTTCAATTTTTTCCCTTTATTTTGAAAAACCATGCAGTGAAATTGCCCATTTTGATTGGCTAACTTTAATGGTGATGAACTTCCAATGATGAGCCAAGAAAATGTCCTTACAAAGCGCACCAGATAAAAACCCGGGAATTGAAAAAGTGACCCAGAAAATAAAGCTATCCTTGAGCAGAATACCTCCCAGAAATGGGTCTTTGATTGAGGTACAATTGATTGAATTTTCCCAAAATACCTGTATCCATGCCATATTTCAAACTCAACAGAAAACCTGCAGTTTCATTCTGCATCCAGGAGACTCCAGAATAATGAGGGACTTTTTGCAAAGCTCTTAAGTTGATTTGCTGGCAAAGAGTAAGTGCCATAATACTTCCCTTAAGGGGGTATTGGGACATTCATGCACTCCTTCATTTGGTGCAATAATTTCCACTGTTGACTGTTGTCTTCATTGTGGTGCCAATGTTACAAGTGTGGCTTGCACAGAACAATTGCTTTCTTCAATCCCTACCATACTTGTTTACAGTTGGTGTTATTTCACACCACTTGCATGATGGGAACAGGTGTGGCTTATGTTTTTGGCCCCTTGGGAGTACACCACCTCTGCCATACTGGATATACATATGTTGTATTGTTGCCCTACCTTTTATTGTCAAAGAAACAAAAGCTAACATTGACAAGCTGGTTGTTATTCCTGTAGCTGAAAACAATGTAGTCCTTTTGGATGAATGAAAATTAACTGAATAGAGCAATTTATCCATTTCTTTTATTCAATATAGGGACATACTGACAAATTTTATTCAAATGCTTTCCCATGACTCAATACAGCAGCTGCTTAACTCAAAAGGGCTATAGCAATAGAAAAGTGCATATTTTGTTTAGGGTTAGAGTTAGGGTTTGAGAAACTCAGGTAAATAAAGTGTATGAAGATGATAAGTTGTCTTGCATTTTAGCAATTAAACGCCTCTTACCTACCCCTTCTTGGGCCCAAAACTGAATGGTTCACTGCTAAAAACTGCAAAATCAATGAATTCTATTTTGGAATGATCAAAAGCTCCTAAAAACAGGGAAACAACACACAAACCCTATGCTTGAGTAATTGGTTTCTTAAATGCTGACTTATACCACTGCAATTACTGCACAATAAATGGTGATGTTCTGGTGAAATGAGAAAAATAAAAGCAGGGGGAAAATGGAAAAAGAGAGACGATAAAGAAAACAAAAACAAAGATTTGTTTAGGCAGAGACTGATTCAGAATCCTCTTGCAAAAGAGGAGAAGCACTATCCATCAGCCCAAGCTTGCAGAGGATGTTACTAATCCAAAATGTGTCTTTACAATGGCTTACAATCGTTCCCTCGAGCACTAACTCAAAGGTGGTCTACCTTCTGACAGGAGGCTCTCTCTATCATCAATTGATACACTTTTCTGGTCAGAAGACCGACGGCCGCGACGTCTGCAAGGTCTTCGCGAATGTCTACGAACTTGATCCAAGTCACTGTCAGTGGAAGGAGGTGGCAGATTCTCATCATCAAATGCCCACGACATATGCAGCTGACCACCCCTCCACAGTGTGCGCGCAATCGCATGGAAAAACGTCTCGACTCGGTATCAAAGTAGGGTTAAGAACTGAATCACAATAATTAACCCGTAAATACAGAGAAACGCAAGACCCAGCACGTTGGTTCCCAAGACCTCCAGTCTAGTCTGTCTCATTAGAGTAATGATCAAAATAATCCAAATTATGTTTGCGATGAAGGAAACCATCGGAGTGTAATTACGGAGATCTTCAAGCCTCTCTTTGAGTTCCTCGACGGCCCCAAAAACTGCTGATTCAGGTAAGAGACAAAGTTGGCGCAGACCTGTCGATCAAACCGTTTGAATAAGAAAGTTAAATTATTGACATTTAACGTGAAAAAGACTTAATTTTTTTCCACTTGTTTAATACAAGGATTAGAAGAAAGAGAGGAAAACTAGGACGAAATTTTGATGTTGCACTAATGTCTTCCTTAATTTCCCAATAGACAACATCTTTCAAGCATAGATATCATGAAGGTATATTTATCCCTCTAGTATTCGAATCGTACCGACCCACCTGAACCTTAGGAAAATTTCGATGATTTAATTCATAAAATTAAGTAACGTGAAAATTAAATAAAAATTTAGTAACACCAAAAATACATTTTAATTTATAAAATTAAGTAACACCAAAAATACATTTACTTGAAAGCAAGTGACAGGTTGATGTAACACAAAGCTAGAATTCTGGAATAAACTCTCCTTACTATCTTTAAAACATCGCTTTTAAACTTAAGCTCTGAGAAATTGGTGTTAAATAAAATAGTGTTCGTAACTTTTTTGTTTCACCTCATCACTTATCTACTTGAAAAAACTTCAACGAGAAATTACAGAGAGCTTTCTCTACCACTCTTGTTTCATTTCCCACTGACTCTTTTTCATGAAAATTCCCCCAATCGTACCTCTTTACCCCCCCCCCCCCCCTCCCTTAAAAAAAACTGCTCTCCTAAAAAGAAGGTATAAAAAAAGAAAAAAAATCGCATTGGTTTTGCGTTGCTTCACTCTGTGACTGGCCTGGAAAACTCGCAAAACCCGCCCAAACAGTCAGACGTAACTTTAAAGGCAATCACGATTTCGTCACTAGCGTTTTCGCGTATGTTGAGCAAATCACTCTTCTATTGTCATAGAGCATTTCTTTTTATTATTTTTTTTAATCCGCGCTGTGATTCGTCAAGGAGACTCGCTCCACTCTCCTCCGCGCTGTGATTCGTCAAGGAGACTCGCGCCACTCTCCCAACTAATCAGACGCAACACTAAAACTAATCAAGACTTGATCGCCCGCGTTTTCCTGGGCTTTGGGCAGTTTGCTTGGTTTTACTTTGAGTTCTCATGGTTGTTCGTTGTGATAACTTTGGTTGTCGGTTTACGATACTCGATCGAAAGGTGCTGTCCTTTCTAAGGCACTGATTAGCAGAATTTATCTTCGCTCGGGTACTGGACTTCCTGAATCGCCTTGTAAAGCTTATCAAGATGGCCCGGTTTGTTGATTCCGAAGGTCTCTTTAAGCGTTTCCTTGATCTTCTAACATTCTAGGTTCCGTGTAGCCACTCTGAGTAAGGTTAGTCCAGTGTTCATCAAGCCTTAGCTCAGTTAACCAGTCCTCGACATTTTCCTGAAAATAAAGTTCTCATTAAAGAGAAGCCGAACAAAATTTTATGTCTGAGCCTCGGAAAAAAAAAGCCAAAAGCTTCTTGTCCACTCAGACCTGATTGAAACTGTAACAACTGCCTTGCAAAGTTTTCGTATCTAGGTTAAACTAAGTTTGTGGATTGCTGATACGAACGGGACTGACATACAATTACATGCAAACACTTGGAGTGCAAATGGCTTGTGGAGGCGCAGTGGCCTCATGGTTAGTGCGCTCGACTCCGGATCGGGTGGTCCCGGTTCGAGCCCTGGCCGCGGTCATTGTGTTGTGTTCTTAGGCAAGACACTTTACTCTGACAGTGCTTCTCTTCACGCAGGTGTACAAATGGGTACCACCAAACGTGGTGGGGGTAACCCTGCAATGGACTAGCATCCCATCCAGGGGGGAGTAGCAATACTCCTAGCCGCTTCATGCTAAGAAAACCGGAGTTAAGCATTGGCCTCACGGACCACTTGGGCACGTATAAAGGCTTACTTGGAGTCCAATAATATTTGAGGAATTTGTAATGTAAGAGTTTAACCAAACTAACTTCAAGATATGGTGGGCAAAACGCTCTTGCCATAAATACGACTTCTCGTTTGCCCAAGCCGTGACACAACTGAATAAAATGCGGTTCTGGGTGGAGCTCAAATGATCACGTCCCTGATGGACAAAGAATAACTTCATTTTTAAGCGGTTTAACATAATGAAACACGAATCAAACTTGTAGCGAGTCAATATCCGGTGATAAAGCCGTAGCAGCCGTGACATAACTGAATGAAAGCAACCAGTACCTGCTCATAGAGCCAAACCAAAAGAAAAGAAATGTAGACTATCCATAAGCTCTCAGCTCTTTTAAAGTTTGAGGCGAGCTCAATTTTAAGGTGTTTATCTATATATTACCATCATTCAGGTTCTAACGATGACTCTGTTGGCGTTATTTTGCACTCGATAATTCACGAATTTCAAGTCAGTTTCCCTGCAAGTTTTTCCCATAAATGTAATTCGTAATTTTGATGTTCAAACCCCTTTTTCTCGGAATTACTATCGGATAATCTTTTCTCTGTGGTCAGAGAAAAATACTTGTACCGGGGCTGTTCCTTTAACTATAGATTTTATACCTTAAACGCTGTACATTGATAAACCACGACAGCCTAGTTACAGTTTTTTCCGCGCTATTCTTCACTGTCTAATGGCTTTGATTCGTAATCCTGGGAAAATTTCCGATTAATAAATCACCTTTGCATTAGAGCAGGCCTAATTTACCACCAAAGAAATATACTTACACTTTTTTTAAACAAAGCAAGGAGAAATTAGCTGTTAATCTTAGATCATTCGAAAGTGTTAATCATGATTTTTAATCTCTCTATCAGTGAAATAACCCTTGAAGGCCCTTTAAAGCTTCGCTTCCATCACATGTCAATTACTATTCCTTATTCTCAATTTCTTAGACTTCGTAGTTTATGCAGTGACGGCTCTGATTATTTTCAACAAAACAAAGGTAATGTGCCAGTTTTTCGAAAAACGTGGCTATCCTGTTTCTGTCGCTCAAACGGGCCACCACCAAATTGATCGACAGTCAGCACTACAAATGGCACAGAAGGAAAATATCGGTCTTACTCCATTCACACTCACATTGACCCTCATTATCAAGCAGTTAAATCCACCAGTCTTAGAAACTTTAAATTACTTCAAAACGATCCCGAAATTGGTAGTATCTTTTCGCAGCCTCCTCTAATTTCATTCAAAAGCGACCACCTCATAAATAAATATTAAGTCTTCGCTAAACAGCACGAAAACAGTAAAGCCTTTTGACAGATAATTTTATTTGGGAGAGCCTGGAAAGAACCTAACTAAAACACTATGGGCAGGAAAGCTGGGTGGGAACCGAGGCCTTAGCTCCGGAAACTATAAACCCATCCTACGGAGGCTTAACAAAACTAGCCGATGGCAAAGCAAGACTTCAGTAAAAGATTAAAACTGAACTAAATGGAGCTCTGATTCCTGGGTTGATTCAGCGACCTATATGACTATAACTTGCTATACTCCTTTTTGTATACTTCCGGTGTCCTGCTCGTGTCGACAAAATTTTTTTTTCAGCCTTCAACGCAGCTTACTCGTCAGAAATAGCATTTATGGTCAGAAGTTCAATATCAACCCGAGACTCTCAAGTTTAAGCGTACACGATACAAAACTTGTCCTTTCATTCATAACTTCGAGAACATTTCTGGACCCAAGCGATCCATTAAGATTACTGATCATTTCACGTGCACCTCCGTCAATGTAATCTATTGTAAAAACTGTATTTATTGCAAGAAGACATGCATTGGCGAAACATAAGGACAGCTGGGTGACCCTTTCTGAGAACAACTTTGTGACGTAGAAAGGAATAACAAGGACGCGTTCAAGCCATTTGTAAGGATACTGAAACGAGTTATCCATTGCTTGAGGCAAATTAAGCCTTCAGACCCGAGTCTCATTTTTTTTTCATCGTTTATTTAGTTTAACTTAAACAATGTTTTACAACTTTCATTTCCTGATACTCGTCCCTTTATATTTATTTTAAGAAAATGTTAAGACTTTCATTAAACTTGATTAAATGCGGTTTTAGGCGTTGTCAAGTGGCGTAATCTCGTGGCGTCGTCAATGTCTTTTAGCCTGTTTACTTCTTTTAAACTGTCTTGCCCTGTATTGATTTAAAAAGAAAAAGAGTATTGAGAAAATTTCTCTTCACATGAACCAGCACAGTTCAGCTGGCTCTATTTTTCCGAAACATCAGCTCTGTACTTACCAGACGATTGCAAAGATTGCAAAACTTCGGACAATCTTCTGCTGCATCATCGGTTTCGCAAAATGGGGGAACAGTTTTGCCATGCTTTCCACAACGTACAGAGCTAGAGTCTCTGCAAACTTCGGTTCCTTTGCCTCAAGAAGGAAAAAGAGGAAGAAGAAAAAAAGAAAAAATGAGTTGATTTAAAATAAAGTATGAATGACTCGTAAATAGAATTACAGAGATGGTAAGTTCTCTCTTATTCTCTTTACAAACATGACGCTATCGACATTGCTGATTCTAGCAGTATGTAGGACGTGTGTCATATGAACTTCGTATTAGACCTCGCTCACCGTAGTCTCTGCGGCTCAGTTGTAGAGCATCGGAACGCGGAAACAGAAGGTCTTAGGTTCGATTCCTCATGGGGACTCAGAATCTTTTCTTTGTCCTACGCTAGTGACAAGACGAAAAACTTATTTCTCCATGAATGACTCCTTTCCCATTTTCCTAGTGAAAGAATACCAGGCGTCCCGTGACATGAGTTAATTAAGAATACTTTCTATGCTTGAGTGGTCATAAATCCTAAAGAAAGGTCGGAAAACTATTTCCTTCCAAAACAAAAGGATACAAAGACACTACACATTACCTGGAAACGGAAGTTTGCTTGGTGGAGAAACTGTGTAATCATTAGAGAAAAAAGAAAATATCAATTATCAATGAAAAAGACGCTTGTTAATGTATTGGCAACATTTTAAACGTAATCGTTGGCTTTTTTCTCTCTCATTTCTAACACGCATTCCTGGATTATTTCGAGAGCCGGCAAATAAAGCAAACTTTGAATAAACCGAAGCAATAAATGTCCTTTAAGTTTTCTTTGTTATTACTGTCTTCTTCCGCTTTTTACGACTCAATCACCGACATTGCCCAAAAATTACGAACTTTGTAAGTCCGCTCCACGCAATTTTTTTGCTTGCGCAGGATCATAGGAAGTAAGCCCGAACAGGCAAGTCAGGCCCAATTTATCTCGGTCTTACCCTTATTACCCTGACAGTATTGGTCAGGTGAGTTATTGTTGATTTTTGTTGTTGTTATTATTTACTTTTCTAATCATTTTTCTTCAGTCACCATTCTTTCCTTTATTATTGTTAACCTCGCACTGTATCGATTAACTTTCAACTGAAGACAAAGGCAAGAAATTGGTAAGCTCTTTCTCTAATTCTGTATCAAAATGGAGACCACCCTTCTTACTTCCTAACAATTGGGTTAGCAATAGTTACCACAGAGATTCTGGTTTAGTTTGTCAGATAGCTGCTGGAAATATTCCAGGGCTTCATCTTCCTCCTTTACATCATCCATTGAATCGGTCATCAGCCTTAGTCTGCCTTTAGACGCCTGAGTTCCTATTGCCACGGCTATCACACGGACACCTGCTCTTCGCAAGGGCTCAGAGGTACTTAGCAAGCTTTTAGTGTCGCGGTCTTTGGATTGTTTACCATCAGTCAGCACCACTGCAATCTTATACACGTCATCTCTTCCCTCTTTAAACACTTGTTTTGTTTCTACCAGGGCCTTGTCGATTCGTGTTCGGCTGCCGATGCTTTTCATGTTTTGTACCATATCCTGAAATTGTTTGACGCTTAAGTTTTTACTGAATCGAGCCTTAACCTCAACTTTATCAGCGAACACAACCAGAGCTACCCGAGACTCATCTGCTCCTAGTTCTAGACCTTTTACCATTTCCTTTACAAGCATCTTTGCGTCTTCCAGAGCACCCACCCCAATAGTATCTGAAGAGTCGATAACAAACGCCAGATCTACTGGGCATCCTGTATTGACATTAAACAAAACCACATAATTAGGTCATGAACTGGATTTCATATTCTCTTACGAAGTCTTACTGAAAACGAATTAAATAAAGTTCTCCGATTCTCTTGTTTTAAATTCGTTTTTTTATTTTTATCTTCACAGTGGTTCAAAACCTTATTGTAAACTATTCTGTATTTTTGTAATGCTACTAAAGGATAATATGAAAAGATCACTTTCTTCTTTATGACGAACTATTGCGAGGGGAACGAGACAACTTGGAAATCATATGAATACGTTTGGACATCAACACCAGCACCGTGTGTCAAGAGAAACAGAGTAAAAGGCTTTACTTTTTGTATTCAAAATTTACAGGAAATTAGAATGCAGAAGAACAGATAATCTTTTATTGTGCAGAACTTTGACTTACGAGGGCATTCTTCTTCGTTGCATGTAATAGTCTCTTTGGCAGGCCCAATGCAAGCCTTTCCACATATATTAGGTGGAGGATTGGTGCAGCCTCTCGTGCGAGTCAAGGTTCCTCCTCCACATTTTGCATTGCACTCAGACTCAGACCAATCTGCGTAACGACCATCAATAACTGCAAATTGACCATGAAAGGGCAATAAGTATCATTGGATTATCAACCTCGTGGAAAATTACCATAACTGCCCTTTTCAGTAACATAGGAATGGCACGTAGTTGGGGAAAGATCTTATAAATCCGTCTTAATGCATCAATCATGTTGCACATTTCTCAGGAAAGAGCTGTGATCTTTTGCGAGAGCTCAAAAGGTCATAACACAGCGTTATAATCGCTTAATTTCGTAGGACAAAAATTTCGAAAATCTGGCTTTTTCCGTCAGAATTCGCATGATTTTGAAAGGGGTAGTAGTTATGAAATCATGAATAATAATTATTGTAAGTCAATTTTATGAGTATCATCTTACCAGGATTCTCTGTGCAACTCATTGTTTCCTTATCAGCACCGATACAATCCTTTCCACATTTTGACGGGGGAGGTTTGGTACAGGTTCTTGTGCGGGTTTGGTGTCCTTCTCCGCATGTTTTACTGCACGACGAAAACTTTGACCACTGTGTGTACTTGCCGTCAGTAGATCCTATAATGGTTGTCAAGAGTAAAGATAACAGAGTGGGTTCTTTTAAGAAAACGTGTTTTTCTTTTTCAGATAAAACAACATACGAGATTTTCGAAAAAAAAGATTTAATTGTGATATTAGAGGCAGAAATGATCGATTCGACGAGATTCTTGTGCAAGCTTCCCAGCAACACCGGTTGGATGCGCGGCACTACACACTAAGCTATAAAGACACACGTTGGGGGGATTGTGAGCAACAGAAATTTTAGTAGGTTCTTCGACCTGCAAATGAAATTTTAGTGCAGAAATTAACCTCGCTGATGCAATTTATGGAATAATTGATGAAATGAGTAAAATTTATTTATTTTGAATGGCAATCAAATTACTTATGGGGAAGTAGAAACCAATAGAATTTGCTTCGCTCCCAACTTGAAGCTACGTATCTCAGTTGGTAGCACTGAGCTGCTGACTAGTATCTGTAATACACGGGTTCGAGTCCTGTCGAAAGCTTGAATTTCCTTTCAGGCTTCTTTTTTGCTTTTCTTGAGGTAATTTTTTGCGCTTAAATTTAACCAGCAGGTCGCAATAAAATTCATTTATGATATTTGTGATATGAATTGTCATCATTATCATCATCATCATTATCATCATCATCATTATCATCATCATCATTATCATCATCATCATTATCATTATCATCATCATCATCATCATCATCACCATCTTAAAATTTAAAAAAAAGTTCATCAAGTCACCACTTAAAAGAAAAAACAACAACACAAAAACATATCAACTTCAGAATTCGTCATATGCTATTGCTTTTTCCTTTACAAGCAGGCAACTCTAAGACGTTTAAATAAAAGTGAGCACGTGACTCCACTATCACGAGCATTTTGACATGTGTTACATAAGACGTAAAGGGGCGGATAAAACTAAAATGACTGGTGGAGTTTTAACGTCTACTTACGACAGACTTTCCTCATTAAATTATTGAGTTGACTGGAGAGCTCATTGAAATCCGCATATTTGGATATTTCTCCATCTTTCCCTGCTACCTTTCTCAAGTTCTCATCAGCATCATCTCTGGATAATTCACTACCGATACCTGCGACGATTATTATCACCCCTCTTCTCTAAGAAAAGAAAAATTTATAATTATCCTTCCTCTGTTCTCGGGTCTTCTGGTAGGTAAACCCCATGGCTTAACTTTCGATTTTCAGTGCCGAGGTATTCCCAGGACATATATTCGCACCGAAAGTTATTCATAACATGTGGCTTTACTTGATAAAGTCGGTATACTCCGAGTAACATACCCTTAATGACGACCTTCCCAATGAATATGAGCTAGTTTTCTAAAATGGAAGGTATTTCAAGAAGCTGATAGAAAATGAAGAAGGTGAACGAAGAAGAGTGCTGAGTGTTAGGGTAGGTCTAATTTTTTCTTAAAACATCATTTCCATGCGAGAGGAGTGAGTTAAAATAGCGCTGATATTAACATCCCTAACATTAGCTGAAACAAACCTTGAACAATGCTAAATTCAATGTTACATTTTTTCACCTTCAAGTTTCGCGTTGTGACATTGAAGTCAATTTCTGCCCTTTTATCCCATGTTTCATTAATCCAAAATTTTCCATCTGTAAGAATAACCATTGCATTGCCGAAACTGGGTCGGTCTCCTCCACTGCTGGTGAACACTTCTTTCACTGCCAGGTCTTCGGCAAGGTCTGTACGGGTTCCGTCATGTTTCGGTACATAAGATATTGCCTCCGCTGCCTTTGCTTTTATGGTGTCGGCATTGTGGTAATTTCTGTCTGCAAATGTAAAACTGCTCTTGGCATCCGATCCAAAGGTTATAACGGCCATGTGGCTTCCATTTGAAGATACATTCAATTTGTCCACAGTCCTATTGAAGATGTCGGTTAGTTGACCTCGTTCTTTACTGTCCATGCTTCGTGACACATCTATCAGGACAGCAACATCCAGGGAGCAAGGCTCTGAAATGTTAAAACGATAAACTGTTAATTAGCAGTCAAATTCAAGTTTCAAAATTTCCCTTTGACCTAGGGGGCAATTGTTTTCAGTATCGACTGCAGCCCCCTACGAAGCCCACTGCTCATGATACTAAGCAGTCCTCCAGCCATGGAGTTGTAGCCCACTGGCTGAGCTTTGGCAGGATATAAGGCTGATTGCGAATCATGCTAAACAGCGGAGAAAACGACAAACAAGACTTGCTTTTAATAAATCCCATGCAAACAGTTGTGGCTTACCGAGGCAATCATCGTCGTTGTATTTGCCCAATTCAGGAGTCAGGAATCCAGGGTGATATTCTCCACCTTCACATGAAAAGACGTAATTTAGACATTTTGACCAAAGGTTAAATTATACATAGTATTGTATATTAACTTTTTCGAGTATGTAAGGATAGTTTTTTAGGAAATCAGTCTTATTTTTCTTTCATCTAGCTAAAACAATTCGGAATTAATTATGTAAAAGACAGAGAGAAATATCAACTGTCATTATCGATCTTACAATATCTCTTTGGAAAAGGACCCATCTTTTTTTTTGTTTTTTGTTTCCAATTTCCTTTTTTGAATTGATGGAAAGGGATGGTATTTCCTGAATCAATTCAGGCTATATGTTTTTTTTTTTAAGAAGGAAACCACCGAACCGAACAAACGACCTAAGTTATCTTCCGGATCGAAACTGACATAACCCAACGGGCAAATGATAGCTGAGGGGTTACAGCCAGATTATCACGACAAAACTGACCAATCAGGCCTAAAAACAGACTTATCCCTAAAAAAACGACTCTCTCTTTGACACGAGACACTTTGCTCTTTCATGGAATCCCCTTTACTGAAGGTTCACTCCACAATATCAAAGAGTAATTTCGACATTCACAAAAAGTATTCCCTCCAAATTTAGAATGATCAGAAAGAAAAGCTATGATAACATGAGGACTCTCGTGTAAGCTGAAAAAATACCAACTTGTTCAACTATAGACGTGTTTTCTGCGACGAGCGTTAAGTTTAAAACAACCATGAAGCTCTGTCATGAAATAGCTTTGAGGCAGACAAATCGACAGTTACCTTCCCCCTTAAATGAAGCAGTCATGGCTTCCAGAAAAAAACAAGTGAGCAGTAAACCAAAGAGAGCTTTTGCCATGGTGCAATGTGGCTAGTTTCCCAGTTTCGTGCGTGAGATGAGATGAAGGTCACTACTGTTCGCTCCAGCTGAAGTAGCTCCCCTATTAATACTCATCAGTTCGGGAGGGCAGCACGCAAACATCTTATCATGCAATCACTTTAATTTGTTTTACTAGTTGATAACAATCTACTCATTTCTGTTTTATAGCGCATCTTCATTTGTCAACCAAAGACGCCATTTATAACTGGTTATGAAACAGGAGATGTTATTATAATATAATCTGATGGGAAATGTGCAAATAGTTTAAATAATAATTCAAATGAGAATAAACATGACGCAGTGGCAAGAAAACTTTTTCTTTTCCTTCTCTGTCTCAAAGTCGTTCTCTATTCAAACGATCTTTAAAAGCTCTTTTTTTTCTGTTTCTTAACGAAGCTAAGAATATCACATACCATTAATTCATCATTCTACCTTTTTTTTCGTTTTCGTTGTTTTTTTGTTTTTTTTTTCCACATTGTGCAATTTCTGCTTTTTAAACAGTTTAGACATCATATAATCTAATTTTCAGTTGTTTCCTTAAACAGCTACTAATACCATAGCACGTAATTTCTGATCTTCTCATAAATATTTTACCTTGTTATGCTCTGTTGCTAACCAGGCAAGCATAAGATACATATCAAGGAAAGTCGTTTTTGGGATCAGGTAGACTCTTAAAAGTTGAAGATAAATCAGTGTAAATGTGCATATTTTCAAACAAATACTGTCTTATTTGCCTCCATTGAGGACTGTTTAATTATGGTGATCTTTCTTTCTTTCGACCTTGCTTTTCGTTGGCGGATAATGTTTCTTTTTTCTTTTGTTTTGTATTATTTTTTGTGTAATGATTGGAAGCTTGGCAGAAATCAATTTCGTTGTAGATGTTGCCTTGGTAAAATATGTTACCTCGCCGCCCATTGAACTTCCTTATTAAAACGTGTAGAATATGATGCGAAGATTTTACCTTCAGGGTATATCGATCAACGTTAAAGTTGAATAAGCATATTTGGGAAACATGGCGAACATGTTTCAAATGGTGCTTTACAATTTTAATTTAATTTAGAGGATTCAGTGAAAAATATCCCCATAAACAAGTTGTGTGTCATTTTCGTTTTCTTTTTCATTTCTTTCTTTTACTTTGACAACTTTATGATTATCATGTGACCACGCTGCGTGAAAACGTTCGGTTTTAACGCCCTTGGATTAACTCCCACCCTGGCGTCGTCTATTGATAGTACGGCGCTATCAAACTGCGTTATTCAATTAATAGGACAAACTGATTATATCGATGTTTTCTGATGCATCATATGATTCTACTGATGTCACCATTGCTGCCTTATACTTCTCCAATAGACTTTTTCAGCAATGTGGCCACACAACCGTGGTTTGAATTCGGTAAACAGGAATTCAAACATTGGTCTTTAAAATTGGCTCACCTATCGATCGAAGACAAATTAATCGATCGAGATTAAATGATAACAACAAGGCGGCTGTCTCCCGCCTCGTGATTGGCCTTTAAAATAGGTTCACCTATCGATTGCAGGCAAATTAATCAGTCGAGATTAAATGATAACAACAAGGCGGCTGTCTCCCGCGCCGTAATTGGCCTTTAAAATTGGCTCACCTATCGATTGCAGACAAATTAATCAGTCGACATTAAATGATAAGAACAAGGCGACTGTCTCCCGCGTCGTGATTTTTCTGAAAAAAAGAAAGATTATGGCGTATGAAGAAACTAAAAATTGCTTTGCAATGGTCGTTTAAAAAAGGAGGATTGAAACAAAAGGGAAAAAATCGAAGGAAAACTGTGTTTGCTCTTGAACGCGCTTATTTTAACTCAAATCCTTGTAACAAACGGCAATTTTTATAACAACTGACAGAGCATAATGAAATAAATATAGAGAAAGTTGATCGCATTTCTGTTATTTAAAACTGTTTTAAAACATATATTGCATATTGTGATCCTTAGAACTGTTTAAAGAAAACCCAAATTGCACAATCTGGTATTCAAAACCGTGTAAAAAGCAAAAATTGCGCAGCATAATGTTAACAGTCAGCTCCAAGAATAGACAGGAATAGACAGGTTTGAAATAACATTGTCTTCACGAGGACAAAATGGAAAAAAGCATTGATCACTAAACTGAAAAGGATTTGTTTTAATTAAGCAAACAAAGGCAATTTCCAAATGGGTTTTTTTAATTGATTATGCAAAAGATCATCATCAACTGTGAAGAAAAAGGTAGAAGAAGAACGAAAATAGGGGCCGCCAGCCTTGATCAATTAATGTGTGTACTATATGGAAGTTTCCTCGCGAAAACAGAATTGAAAGCTTCCTAGCTGATAACGATTTGTGGGAGAGAAGAAAACGAACAAGCTGATTCTTGCCACTCAGGCACGCTCAGTTTCACTTAAGTCCTTATTTGATACCCCATTCGCACCGACAAAAAATGTTTTAGTTAAACTGGGTTTCACTAAATGAAAATCAGAATCAGAGAACCGCTGAACAACTGGATTTTCTACAGGATTCAAGCGATCACGAACTTTCTATATTACAATTAGAAAAATATTTGTTTATGCAGCTTCTATGAAGAAAACAAACTATAAACCGTGTTTAACAAGACAGTTTTAAAACATGTAAAAGCTTTAGGTGTGACTGGGGTATTATTTAGATCTGTATCTCCCATCAGCTTATACTTTTGATAACATCCCCTGTTTGATGACCAGACTCTAATGGCTTCTTTGGTTAACAAATGAAGATGCACGATAAAGCAGTAATGTGCTGCTGATCATTATCAACTATCAAAACAAACTAGAGTGGTTGCATGATAAGATGTTGGCAAGCAGCCTCACGAACTGATAGGCATAAAGAAGGAGGCTATTTCACTAGGAGAGAACAATGGTGACCTTTGTGTCATCTCGAGTACGAAAGGAAACACTCAGTGCCCCATGGCAAAAGTACTCCTTGGTTCGCTGTTCACTTGTTTCCGTTTACAGGCTATGAATGCTTCTGTTAAGGAGAAAGGTAACTGTGCACCAGTGTTAGTTCATAAGAAAAATCAATCTCAGAACACCGTGTTTCTTTGAGGGGAACGGCTTGTTATCGCCCCGGCGGCAATTTTGGCAAACTCAAATTTTTTATATTAAGTCGTTCAAACTTTTCACTCGTCACGACTAAGTATCATGGTTGCAGAAACGATTCAAAAGTTTGTTTTGCAGTGTTGAAAAGAGCCCCAACGTAACTTTATACTTCATCTTCGATCACTCAAGATTTGAACGAGTTAGCGACCCTTAACACTAATACCATCAACAGCTCAAGGAATGTTGGACCCTTCATTGTCAAAGCTTAGTTATAAGCGGACTTCTTTAAAACTAAGGGTACAGCAGTCTGATTTAAATGAGGAGCTTTTGTATGTCGAATGTCAGTTATCTGTTTCGTGAAACCTGATTGGTCAGTTTTGCCGAGATTCTCTCAAAGTATTGTTTGCCAAATTGGATTGGACAGTTTCGATCCTTTGGAAAAGTTGGGTGGATCTATTCGGGTTGATGGGTCGCTTCCGATAAGTGGCAATCTGTTCACAGCATTTTAAGAAGGATCGCGTTGATTGACCAAGATATTTCACAAGGGCAGGGCAAATCTAAAATATAACTCGAGCAAATGAGTGAATGAAATAAGCCATCAGTTAAACTTTGGTCAAACTGAAGTCTTTGGTCTTCTCTCTTTATAGGATATCATCTACGAAGGTGGAGAATATCGCCCAAGGTTTCCACTTAATAAAATGAGAGAATACAACGACGACGATTGCCGTGATAAGCCAAAAATGTTTTCCTGGTTACTTAAGAATACTTTCAAGTTTCGTACCGATCAATCACGGGACCTGAAAGAAGGGATTCTGATTTGAGGATTGCTTACCGAGATCTCAAAAAGCTTTATTTGACTCAGCAAAATTAAGCTACGTGGCTCTACTTTGGACAAACCGGAACGGGACGGTTACAAAAAGTAATTTTTCCCAAAATCCTTTCTCTATATATCCATGACGTACCATATGTATCTTTTGAGTGATGCCGGAAGTTCACTATGTCTACATATGAATGATAAAAGAATTCTTTGAACAGCTGTCAGTGTGTTAAATGAATAAAGGGGTAAGTTTCTAAAGTGGTGCTGCGTCGGTGGGAGAGTATAGCAGGTAATTTAGTGTAAACAACTGGGTTGAAAACGTAAATTAGCCACCGTAAAGGGTAAAAAAGCTGACTTTTCGAGCGTTAGCCCTTCGTCAGAGCGATTGTTTCCAAAAACAATCGCTCTGACGAAGGGCTAACGCTCGAAACGTCAGCTTTTTTACCCTTTACGGTGGCTAATTTACGTTTTCAACCCAGTTGTTTACACTAAATTACCTGTCAGTGTGTTAGACGAGATCTCTGTCAAAATTCCGAGATTTTCGAACCTTGGCCAGTTGGGATGTGTGAACCCTGTTGAAAAAAGAGCCGTTCAGAATGACTGAGTTCACGTTAAAAGGAGCACCTCACTATATTTTTATCCTTCCCTTTTTTTCGTTTTCACATCATTTAAGTTTGCATCGTTTGCATCATCCAAACAATTACCTTGACTAACATCATCAAGTTTAGACATTCCAATGAATGGCAACTCCTCTAATCTTTCCTCATTACAAGTACATTTGGTTTACTGAATTTTTCCCAAATAGCTACTCACATCAGGGCCTTTTCTGAATAAGTCCTCACCAAATGGGTTTTAGCCGAGGACATAACTCTAGAGCCAAGCACGCAAAATCGCAATGTCAATTATGTATGCGACCGGACGTTCACGACACGCCTGTGTAATATTTTTCCTTTTTTGTGCTAGCGGTTTCTCTGTATTATCTCTGAAACATAGTTGTTACGGCCACGAATGTGGTATGGACGTTAGGCCTGGTTTTAGAAGCTTTTCAATGCGACATTCGCTGTTCACGGAGACAATTTGTACCGAACAACTCCGCATCGCCCGCCATCTTCGTTACTTCGATCGATTTATACGAAGAAAGAAGAAAGGTTACACCTACAGCCGGTTACCTTATTACAGTAACCATGTTTCAACCTTTAACATCGAGTTTATTTGCTGCCACGGCGATATCCATCCCCATCCAGGTCCACAGACTGGTGATCGGAATTTGAGAGTTAGCAGTGAGGGGAACAACATGGCGTATGTAAATCCTAGGTCAGATGTATCTGTCTTTTACGCCAACTCAAGGAGTTTGGTTAACAAGATTAATCAGCTGGAACTAGAGATTGCTACCTATCAATATGATCTCATGGTATTTACGGAGACTCACTTGGACAGCTCTATTTTGGATAGTGAACTCTTCCCTTCTATTTATACGGTTTTCAGGCGTGATCGTGTTCAAAATGGTCGACGCGGTGGCGGTATTTTGATAGCTGTACGCGATACGTTGCGTGCGTCTGTGAGAGAAGATGTTAATTTCGATTCCGAATTATTATTTGTCGATATTTTATTCCCGGCGAATAGAAAAATTAGTCTAGGTGTCTTCTATAGGCCGCCTAACAGTAGCATTAACTGCCTGTTGGATCTACAAACGGCTCTTGATACTGTGCTTTCTTCATCACAAAACCCAGAGATGGTCCTTGTTGGCGACTTTAATATTCCCGAATTCGACTGGAACACCGACTGCACTTCTGTGGATTCACCTAACGCTACTTTTTTGTCGGATATCATACACGACAATTTTCTATTCCAGCTGGTCAAAGACCCAACTCGCAACGGAAATATCTTAGACTTGGTATTCGTCACGTCTCTTGACCTAGTCTACGATCTAAAAGTTGGCCTTCCCTTCTCTGACCATAACTCGATCTCTATGCTACTATCAAGAAAATCATTCTCTGAAAGGAAATCGCAGAAGTTGAGCTATTCATTTAAGAAGGCGGATTGGAATCACCTCAGGAATCTTTTACATTACACTCCATGGCATTGTGCCTTTATGGATACTGACATTGATTGTATTTGGGCTGCATGGTCTGATATGTTTTTATCTGCTGTCAACGAGTGTATCCCAAGGCGGACAGTGAAGAGAACTTCGAATGCACCATGGATAAGCGGGGATCTAATTAAGTTGTGTAGAAGAAAGAAAGTGCTTTATAAAAGGGCAAAAAAAACCTGTGCTCTTTCTGATTGGAACAAATATCGTAAATTCAACAACTATGTGAAGAAGGAGTGCAACTCTGCACGTAGGCAATTTATAAACAATCTGGCAGATGAACTAAAGACCGGAAACAGTTCAAAGCCTTTTTGGAACTTTGTTCAATCAAAGAGAAAAGTCAAATGTGATTTAGCGTCCTTAAAGGTGAACGATTCGTATCTTAACGACGACCTGAGCATTGCCAATTGTATGAATTCTTATTTCTCATCGGTGTTTACTGTTGAGGATCACGAAAACTTTCCCGACCTTGAATATATTACAGATGAGAAATTATGTAACATCTTTTGTTCTGCCACGGAAGTTGAGAAATTGCTAAGAAATTTGAATATTTACAAGTCCCCCGGGCCCGACTACATATCACCTCGCATCCTAAGAGAATGTGCTCAAGTGTTGTCATCTCCACTGGCTTTATTTTTGAATACATCCTTCTCTCAAGGTCAACTACCAAGTATATGGAAGTCGGCCCACATCACTCCAGTCCATAAGAAAGGGAGCAAAAATCTCATGGAGAACTACCGCCAAATATCACTGACTTGTATTGTTTGCAAGATTGCAGAAGCTGTGGTAAAGTCCCGTGTGGTCGACTTTTGGTCAGACCTCAATCTTTTTAATCCAGACCAATTTGCGTATCTAAGGGGTAAATCGACGTTGGCACAATTACTTACATGTTACAATGACTGGGCAAAGGCTAGGAATTGCTCGCAACAAACGGATATCATCTTCTTAGATCTCTCCAAGGCTTTCGACAGCGTGCCACACGAGCGCTTGCTGCTGAAACTACAACGGTATGGGATAGACGGCTCTCTACTACTGTGGATTAGAAATTTTTTGACGAATAGAAGGCAGCGTGTAGTGTTAAGGGGCAATTGTTCAGACTGGTCACCCGTGATTTCAGGTGTGCCTCAAGGAACAGTACTCGGCCCAATCCTATTCATTATTTATATAAATGATATTTCGGCAAACATTGCATCAACCGTGAAAATCTACGCTGATGATACTAAAATCTATCGCAAGATCATGGAGCCTGATAAGGATATACCAGCCTTACAGCTGGACTTGAACAAATTAAGCGATTGGGCTAACAAGTGGCAGTTGCGCTTTAATCCTGAAAAATGTGAAGTTATGCGTGTAACGCACAGTAGAGACAGATCCAAGCCTAGTTATTCCCTTGGTACGCAACTAAAATCTGTCGACAGTGCCAAGGACCTAGGGGTCACAATAAACTACGATCTATCTTGGGGTAAACACGTTTCCTACATAGTAAACAAGGCGAACAAAGTGTTGGGTATAATTAGGCGATCACTTGGAAACGATAATCGCTATGCGTTTTCCTGCCTCTTTAAGTCGTTAGTAAGACCTATACTCGAATACGCTGTCCCCGTCTGGAGCCCCTACCAAAAAAAGGATATCGAATCCTTGGAAAAAGTCCAAAGAAGGGCATCTCGGTTGGCATTAAAGCAAAAACGCGGAGAAATGAGCTATGAAGACCGCTGCCACCTACTGAATTGGCAAACTTTGGAGAAACGAAGAGAGTTTTTATCTCTGATCCAGTGCTACAAGATAGTTCTGGAAATAGATAGTCTTCATTTTTCGGACTTTTTTGAACTTACTAAATGTAATCGAACTAGAGCCAATCACGATTATAAGCTCTACGTAAAAATAGCTATCGTAAATTGCTACAAATTTTCTTTTTTTGTACGGATCGTTAATATGTGGAATAATTTGCCTAAAGATATTGTACACGCAGGATCATTGACTTTATTTCGTAACAGACTAAAGATTTACATGAATATTGATTGAGATGATGGTAAACAGTTTTTAATTATCTGTATATAATGTTTTGATCTTTTTATTCGGGGAATCTTTTATATAGGGTTAACCTCTAGAATATCCCCTTTCGAGAGATACTTTTACAATTTTTATTTTCCTTCTCTTGAATAAAGTATTGTATTGTATTGTATTGTATTGAGTGCAATTTCAGTGTTGACCAAGGAAATGAATAGGGATGTAAGTTGCACTGTGATCGCAAAAAAGGTGGCTCAACACGAGTGCAAGGAGCCTGACGATTTCTATGACGCCACAAGTCCATGTTTTCGATGTAATACCTTTTGGAAATTTCTCTCTATAATTCTAGAAGAAAGATGTTTCAGTGGGTGTTAGTTAGGACTTACTTAAAACTCTGAAACGGCTTTCTCTAAAGCCCTCAGCTGTTAAGGAGTTTCCTGAAAAAAAACCTTTAAAAGATATGGAAAAAGAATTTGTGGCAAAACGTTAGAACCATGTCTTTTCATGAACATAAGACGAAGAAAAAATTATGATTTACCGTGATTTATCATAAGGAATCAAACCTCAGACGTTCGGATTCCGAGCATCATGGTAGAGCGTCGAAGAGCGTCGGAGAGCGTGGTGTAACGTCGGTTGGCGGAATATGATAGTCTGAGGTTCGATTCTTCATGGGGACTCTTACTCGAGGTTACTTCAATGGTTGTTGCATCAGAAACTTTCTGTAGTCCTTTATTTACAAGTCCAATCCACAACAATTACTTGGTGGAAACATTTGCAGGGGGCTTGGGACCTAATCAGAAAAACAATATGGTGGATGACTTCCCGTGATGTGGAATTACGTTAGTTCTTCAATCTTATTCCTCCTCCGGGCGGTATCAAATTGTTTTCCCTCTGCATTGACTCACCAGATCCTGAGAATACTGCCCTATCTTTTTCTTGGATGCGTTTGTTATGGATTTGACGCCATATTTTCAAAAATACAAGGAGAGTACGCTCCTTACATTGGAGCTGTTGCTGACAATGCCGCCCATGGGATCATTGCTTTCTTCAGTTGGTGTATCGTTTGCGAGATCCACACCCGAAAACATCTGATTGATGGGGTTCTTTGCGGTATCATTGCTTGTGCAATTGATTTAGATCATTTTATTGCTGCTAAATCTTTCAAACTTAAGGTAAGAGACAAATCAGCGAGCGGTTCTGTACCCTTGACTGAACATGAAGAGGGGTGTTAGAGTTTGAGATAGTCACATTTTATGCATGGAACACTGAGTAATTTTTTTGTATTATATTTTATCATGCCAATAACAACTTGGTCTTTCAATTTTTTCCCTTTATTTTGAAAAATCATGCGGTGAAATTGCCCATTCTGATAGGCTAACTTTAATGGTGATGAACTTCCAATGACGAGCCAAGAAAATTTCCTTACAGGGTGCACCAGATAAATACCCGGGAATTGGAAAAGTGAACCAGAAAACAAAACTATCCTTGATCAGAATACCTCACAAAAATGGATCTTTGATTGAGGTACAATTGATTGAATTTTCCCAAAATACCTGTATCCATGCCATATGCCAAACTCAACAGAAAACCTGGAGTTTCACTCTGCATTCAGGAGAATCCAGAATAATAAGGGACTTTTTACAAAGCTCTTAAGTTGATTTGCTGGCAACGAGTTAGTGCCCCAATACCTCCCTTAAGGGGGTATTGGGACACTCATGCACTACTTTATTTGGTGCAAGAATTTCCTCGGTTTGAATGTGTTTAAAGCAAGTATGAAGGGAACAGGAGAGTAAACTTTATTTAGAAGGATAATTAATTTCAAAGGTACTTCACTAAAGAAAAATGAGTGATTGTAGGATTGAATTTGTCTTGCGCTCTGTATTTGGCATAAATGCTAGAGGATTCCACTGAATACGATTTATATTACTTACCACTTATCCATGTTAAATTGTACAGGATGCCCTTCAACTTAAAAACAGACCATTTCTTCATACTACAACAGTTGTCTTCATTGTGGTGCCAATGTTACAGGTGTGGCTTGCACAGAACAATTGCTTTCTTCGATCCCTACCATACTTGTTTACAGTTGGGGTTAGTTCACACCACCTGCGAGATGGGAACAGGCGTGGCTTATGGTTTTGGCCCCTTGGGAGTACACCACCTCTGCCATACTGGATATACATATGTTGTATTGTTGCCCTACCTTTTATTGTCAAAGAAACAAAAGCTAACATGGACAAGCTGGTTGTTATTCCTGTAGCTGAAAACAATGTAGTCCTTCTGGATGTATGAAAATTAACTGAATAGAGCAATTTATCCATTTCTTTTATTCAATATAGGGACATACTGACAAATTTTATTCAAATGCTTTCCCATGACTTAATACAACAGCTGCATAACTAAAAAGGGCTTTAGCAATAGAAAAGTGCACATTTTGTTAAGGGTTATAGTTAGGGTTTGAGAAACTCAGGTAAATAAACTGTATGATGATAATAAGTAGTCTGGCATTTTAGTAATTATAGGCCTCTTACCTACTCCTTCTTGGGCCCAAAACTGAATGGTTCATCACTAAAAACTGCAAAATCAATGAATTCTATTTTGGAATGATTAAAAGCTCCTCATAAAAATAGGGAAACAACACACAAACCCTATGCTTGAGTAATTGGTTTCTTAAATGCTGACTTATATCACTGCAAATTACTGCACAATAAATGGTGATGTTCTGGTGAAATGAGAAAAATAAAAGCAGGGGGAAAATGGAAAAAGAGAGATGATAAAGAAAACAAAAACAAAGATTTGTTTAGGCAGAGGCTGATTCAGAATCCTCTTGCAAAAGAGGAGAAGCACTATCCATCAGCCCAAGTTTGCAGAGTGTTACTAATCCATAATGAGTCTTTTCAGTGGCCTTCTACTCAACTGTTTAGCTAATTCTCTTTTCCGTTCTAAAGTTACTCAGCTATTTCCAGTGCATTAGCGGAAATTCAGCAAATCCTGGAACCAGATTGGCTCCAGAGGTGGTAAGAATCTTCTGCTCCGTTCAAGGGGGTGATTGGAATCGTTGTCAAACGGCATAACCTTTGTTAACTTAATTGTAGAGATCGTCAATCTTTAAACTTTAGAATGCTTGTAAAACTAATCAATATTCTCTCCCACTCAACCTCATTTCTTTGGTTTGCACCATTTAATGTCAAAATAGTCTGAATATGAGATAATTGAAACGACTAACAAAGTGTTTGTGAAGAATAACACATCCTTGACGTGAAATTCTACAAACAATCAATTTTGGAGAATTTTAACAAGTAAAATTAACGACTTAACCTCTTCTCTATAGAAGCTCAAGAATACCCTATCTCTGATTAAATCTTTACGTGATGGTTTGCATTCAAGTTAAACAATGACTATACTTCACATGTCTACAAAATAAACACTTCTATTAAAATAACCGCAAAATAAGCGCAAATTTGACTAGTGTACCGCTAATTGCCTCTCAGCCTTGTCAAAGGAGGTCTTATAATTGAATTACAAATACCAGTGGTAAAAATTCTACAAAGATGATTTCTTAAGAATAATATTTCAGAGTAAAAAGTTACGTTTCAATAATTGCGATTTATAAATTGAAATCGACGTTTTAAAAGAAAATTGAATTTTCTCGTGCTGTCTCACAAATAAAACATTTCAAATTGTCATGGAATTGTCATTTAATTTCTGTATTTTAAAATGATTCTCTCCTCTAAACGTTTCTCCTTTTCTTTACTGGGGCACTATTGAATCAATGAATTGAATCTGGTGCAGTTGTTTGGGTCAATTATAAATTTTGCACATATTGAAAAAAGCGGTAAAAGGTATGTTTGCATTTCCAGAGGAAATCGCCCTGATTAAAGAAAAAAAACTTTGATAAACAACAGCCAACTACAATTAACCTTTGAATCAGTTCCACTGATCGAAGTATATCAAAATTAATTCAAATAAAACTGCATCACGAGGAAAGCCTCATTTTCGTGAGCACAATTTGTCGCTCCTAGTGCAAGATTCACGACTTACAGCCCAGTTCAACTCTAACTTGGTCTGTTGGCCCAAATATAAAACTTTCACCACCGCCTGTACTGCTTCAAATTTTTATGTAGCTCTTTGATGTTCAATTCAGTGCAGGCGCTAAACCAGGTGGGGTATATCTCGTTCCCTCGAGCCGTAACTCGAAGGCGGTCTACCATCTGACAGGAGGCTCTCTCTTTCATCAGTTGATACACTTGTCTGGTTAGGAGACCGACGGCTGCGACGTCTGCGAGGTCTTCGCGCATGTCTACGAACTTGATCCAAGTCACTGTCAGTGGGAGGAGGTGGCAGATTCTCATCATCAAATGCCCACGACATATGCAGCTGACCACGCCTCCACGGTGTGCGCGCAATCACATGGAAAAACGTCTCGACTCGGTGCCAAAGTAGGGTTAGGAACTGAATCACGATAATTAACCCGTAAATACAGAGAAACGCAAGACCCAGCACGTTGGTTCCCAAGACCTGCAGTCTAGTCTGTCTCATTAGAGTAATGATCAAAATAATCCAAATCATGTTTGCGATGAAAAAAACCATCAGAGTGTAATTACGGAGATCTTCAAGCTTCTCTTTGAGTTCCTCGACGGCCCCAAAAACTGCTGATTCAGGTAAGAGACAAAGTTGGCGCAGACCTATCGATCAATCCGTTTGAACAGGTAAGTTAAATTATTGACATTTAACGTGAAAAAGACTTTTAATTTTTTCCACTTGTTTAATATAAGGATTGGAAGAAAGAGAGGAAAATTAGAACGAAATTTCCATGTTGCCACTGATGTCTCCCTTAATTTCCCTATAAACAACATCTTTCCAGCAGAGATGTCATGAAGGTATATGTATGACCCTACCTGAACCTTAGGAAAGTTTCGTTACGAAATGCGTAATACATGATACTTTAAGGAAAACCCGCTCCCCCTTTCAAAGTTAAGAAAAAGCGAAGTGCACACTACGATCACGTGAAATTGTTTCATCGACATCTCAAACGGTTGTGGAAGTTCAGAATTCCCAGAGTGAAAAAAAGTTTTCTCATCTTGAATTAAATTTTAAACAAAGACTTATCGTAGTAGCCGTAAGGTCACGTGATGCGTTTAGATGCGTTTAGACCAATCGCACGCGGGCAAAACTTTTTGAAGGATCATAATTTAGATTAACATATCACAAAATATAAAGCACATCACAGGAATGGAGCAGTATCTACCTTACCTTCCCAAAAAAAGAATTCATGTCCACCATCCTGATTGTCCACTTTTAAATCCATGACATGCAACTTGTTTGTTTCTTCACGAGTTAAACGAATTCGTCTCTGAGCTGTAGAAGAAAACGAACTCTCTTGAGCCCTTTCACCCCTAAGATCTCAAAATAAACTCTCCTCACGATCTATAAAACATATCTTTTAAACTTAAGCTCTGAGAAATTGGTGTTAAATAAAATAGCGTTCTTAACTTTTTTGTTTCGCCTCATCACTTATCTACTTGAAAAAATCTCAACGAGAAATTACAGAGAGCTTTCTCTACCACTCTTGTTTCATTTCCCACTAACTCATTTTCTTGAAAATTCCCCCATCATACCTCTTTACCCACCCCCCCCCCCAAAAAAAAATGCTCTCCTAAAAAGAAGGAGATATAAAAAAAGAAAAAAAAATTGCATTGGTTTTGCGTTGCTTCACTCTGTGACTGGCCTGGAAAACTCGCAAAACCCGCACAAACAGTCAGACGTAACTTTAGAGGCAATTCACGGTTTGGTCACTAGCGTTTTCGTGCATGTTGAGCAAATCACTTGTCTATTGTCATATTGTGTCAAATCACTTGTCTATTGTCATATTGTGTCAAATCACTTGTCTATTGTCATATTGTGTCAAATCACTTGTCTATTGTCATATTGTGTCAAATCACTTGTCTATTGTCATATTGTGTCAAATCACTTGTCTATTGTCATATTGTGTCAAATCACTTGTCTATTTAGCTTTACTCCGCGCTATGATTCGTCAAGGAGACTCGCTCCACTCTCCTCCGCGCTGTGATTCGTCAAGGAGACTCGCTCCACTCTCCTCCGTGCTGTGATTCGTCAAGGAGACTCGCTCCACTCTCTCAACTAATCAGAGGCAACACTGGGCTTTGGGCAGTTTGCTTGGTTTTACTTTGAGTTATCATGGACTCTTTAAGGTTTTATCCTTTCTTCTGATTAATTGTTGTGATAACTTTGGTTGTGGGTTTACGATACTCGATCGAAAAGTACTGTCCTTTCTACGGCACTGATTGGCAGAATTTACCTTCACTCGGGTACTGGACTTTCTGGATCGCCTTGTAGAGCTTATCAAGATGACCCGATTTGTTGATTCCGAAGGTCTCTTTAAGCGTTTCCTTGTTCATAATTTTTAGATCTTCTAACATTCTAGGTTCCGTGTAGCCACTCTGAGTAAAGTTAGTCCAGTATTCATCAAGTCCTAGGTCAGTTAACCAGTCCTCGACATTTTCCTGAAAATAAAGTTCTCATTAAAGAGAAGCCAAACAATATTTGATGTCTGAGCCTCGGACAAAATACAGCCAAAAACTTCTTGTCCACTCAGACCTGAGTGAAACTGTAACAACTGCCTTGTGCAGAGCACGTTGCAAACTTTTCGTATCTAGGTTAAACTAATTTTGTGGATTAATGATACGAACGGGACTGACATACAAATACATGCAAACACTTGGAGTGCAAATGGCTTCTCATCCTAGCTAGGATTTGATAAACATGCAGTAATTGAGGGACCAAAATGGATTCTAGGTGGGGTGGTGTACGTAGTTGACATGCCATTCAGTTCATTCGGTTGTCAGAGACAAAGCTGGCGTGATTGAATTAATAATTACCGGAACTTCTTGAGGAATATCCATTTGGGGTAGTTTTTCAATTTCCATCAACAACCTCTTCCGGTGACCACGTTTCTCAATTCCGATGGCTTTCAAATGCTGTTCGGAACAAAGAAGTAAAACAAAATAATTCTCAACATCTTGGTGAGAATGCGACTCGCTCCCGAAATCAACCAAGTAGCAAGCGAGATCTTAAAATATGGAGGCACGTTTCTGGTATAAAAAATAACGTTTTAGAATACTTGACCTACTTAAAGGGTACGTGACCACGACTCGCAAAAATTGATAAGCAGCTCGCTCACTTTATCGAAAACGCTGCCATCATTCACACACAAATAATGTTTCATTTTAATAATTACACTTGTGAACAACCAGAGTGCAACACAATAAACTGATGAGGAGCTACAGTGTATATGTGACATCCGGTACTCACCTTGTCAGTCATACCAACGATGAAACTAACGCTGTCATAACCACCGTCTCTGAAGTTTTGGACGTAAATCTGCAAGAGACAGTGCAACAATAAAAGTGCTTTGTAACAAAAAGCGGGAGTAAAACCGCATTTGTTTTGAACTGTATTTGAAACTCGTCAGCAAAAGGCAAAAAAATAACGGAAGGAGAGGGAAAAATCTCGTTTCTCTACCTTTTTCCACCGATTAGCGAAACAATACATTCGTCTTTGAATACAGTATTTAGCACCTTCGTTAGACGAGGACTATTACGCTAATAACCACTCGTTCAAACCAATAGTAAAAGACAGTCACAAGGACTAACATCCTTGTAAGAAAAATTAAAGAGAAAGAAAACCTGTCCATGATCTCATCAGGCTCATGTGCACATCAACTAAATATACAAGAAAAGATACGTTTAGAATATTATCCTTGATTTAATTGGTTTCTCTTTCTTTCACTTTATGACTGGTTTAGAAAACCTCTGCACGTTTTCATACAGTTGGATGCAACTACGTCTTGACCACTCAAAATTTTCCGACCTTAAATTAGTTTAATTGCTTTAAAATTTAGCTTCACTTGGCTCCTGGTTCCAGATCTCTACCAGATGGATAGCGCAGTACGTTTTGTTTATACTTATCCGCTGACTAGCGATTTATTCATTGGATGATGATATCCGCCCACTGACCTACGGGGACAGCCCCCGTAAGTTTTTTCCTTCCATCTCATTACCCATTTAGAAAACTTTGCTTTAGGTATTACAATACTTTATCGAAATACAAAATAGGAGCACAAATCAAGCTTACCTGAAATTCTTTTTGAAGCCAGTCCTCCACAAGAGTCTCAGGGTGCATCCGTGGAAGCTTGGCAGCGAATGTGACTTTTTTGTCACCCGGATAGCGCCATTTCCCTAGGCGACCGCTGTCCTCTTTTAGGCCATCTTATAGAAAGTATCATAGGTAAATAACACACACACAACATGGCTTTCCTAAGATCCTGAAGTTTACTGTTAGAGACCAAAAGTTTGCGATGCAAATGGTTGGATGGATCAGAGCAAATTTCCCTTCTAAAAGACTTCGCTTCCAATTTAAATTAGCAAGAACAAACTTGATAAATGAGCAGCCAAGTGGCCTACAACAAAAGCTTATTTCGAGTAAAAACTACTTAAACACCTCCAAGTTAACTAGTACACGAGAATATCGGTTATTTAATTTACAATGTTCCTTTAAAATTCCAGGTGGGAATAGTGGCGATTCATTGCCAATTCCCAAAATGTCGCGTTCCAGAACTACATGCGACAGACTACGGACGACCAAATTTAAGAATATGATTGACTAAAATGATTAAGACTTCACAGTCTATAGCATCCCTCCTTAACGTGATTCAGACTGGTACAGTGATGGTATAAGTCACAAGAATGATACGAGCATAAAATAGAAATCATTGGTCAACTGTTAGAGAAGAACCCTAAGAGCATTACTACAAAGATTGAAGTGCGCATTCAAGAGTACACTTACCGCGAGGTGTTGAAGTCCGACGCACTATCGGCTGCTTCATGGCTGACCTCGGAGGCGGTTCATCCACATGTTTACCGTGTACTAAAGAGGAAGCTGATGCACCATCTGACCCGTTGTCAGAAACTTCCTGAACGGATGGGGCAGCGGCATTGTCTCCAGAACCTTGCAAGCCACTGTCCGAATCTGAAGTCTCCTGAGATTAAGTGGAAATTGCAAAACAAGTCGAGCAACTTCTTTTGTTCCACTAGCATCCGAGAATTAGTCGGTTGAAACAATTATAATAGGGCGGAATTGGGTCAATTTCAGTACTGGCTATTGAAGACAAGACTGGCGCGTTTAGATGAGACAGCTTTGAAAAATAAAGTTTCGAAATGCCCTATGTTGTGGTTGCTAGAGAAGAGAAGGATGGAATGGTCACTCAACGATTAGCACAGCAGGACTCTTGGTCAAATGGTCCGGATTCGAGATCTGACTAGGTCATTATGCTGTGTTATCGTATCGCTGGAAGCGCCCCTGGGCAATACGAAGCGATTCCTGTGTTCCGATTGGCTACCCGAACAAGCAAGATAGATATATACCGACCACTTTTAATACAGGTCATCGTTTAAAACGGTGCCGCTCAATACAGGTTCGACTGTAGCTCACAAGGCACTTGCGTAACAAAAAGAAAGGACAAATTCAATTAAATCTTTGAAACCTCAAAAACATGGTAAATCAGCTGCCAAATACGTGTAAAATGTGGCCAAATGGCAGCCAAATGGATACGTGAACATCAATTTGAAGACAAGAATTAAAATCGCTCACGCGCCGCAACAAAATATTCCCATATCTATCGTCGGAACCGTTGTCATCGTCAAATTTTAAACTTTGAAGCCTGTTTCTTTCCATTTGAGCATTCTTCCGCGCATTGCGTCTTTTCTCGTGAGGCCTAAAAGGGTGTAATTTGATCAGGGATAGAGCATAAAAAGAAGACAAAACCAAATAAATCCTTTTAGCCTATGGCCCAATGACAGATGCCATTTTAAATTATGTTAATAACTACATGGACTCTTGCACCCCCAAGGAATTTGAGCAGAACACAATAGCACGACTTTGGGAACAGAAGCAAACCTAGTAGGGGAGGCAGGGAATAACGCGCTAATCCAAGTTCAAATGCATGCAAACCTCAAAGTATGACTGACGTCATACCATGAGGTAAAAATGAGGAGGCAAGAGAAGGGGTTGGGAGGGACAATACAATAATATCAAACGTTTGTGAGGGAGGGAGAAGGGCATATCAGCACTTTCCCAGTGACAGCTGTGTGATTTAAGGGGCACTGACCTCTGGAGAAGTTGCAGTTTCTGATTCTGTTGGAGGCCCATCTACCCTGTCAGTAACAGCAGGCTGCGGCGCTGGTTGTGGTCCGCAACATGTGCAAATGGATCTGATCTTTGCCCACAACTTCTCATACCAAGGAACATCGTCCACCTTTTTGCTTTTCTCTTCTCTTGTACCTGGGAAAAGTGACCGTATTGAAAAAGAGACTCTTGCATACCAATCTCAAAATCTTACACCACCCTAAAACAAAGCCCTATGCCCACAAAAGTAATAAATTGTTTTCGTCATTACTCATAACCCTAAGCAAAAAGATATGGGTTTATAAGGAGATCATGACTTTAGACGAAGCAAAACTGGGCGGAAAAATGTGATAGGATTTCATAAAATAAACGAGATAATTCAAAGTTTAGTCTACTGCTTACACAAAGTACGACGAGGGAGAAGAATGCAGGTCCAGGTCAAACGATATGTAACCTAAAATGCACCAAAAATGTCACAAAGAACGCGGAGAAAACATTTAGCTGAGAAAGCGTTGCAATATTCGCTAGTTTCAGTGCACTCATTCTGTAGCAAACTAAGACAAGCTTTCCCGCATATGGAACTCAAGAGTATACATACCCTAGCCCAGGGTTTGTATGCTCTCGAGTGCCAAGCGGCATGCATGCAACTTTTCAGTTGAGTGTGGATTGTGTGGATTGTAATCTGGGGTGGGCCTGGTTTAGCTTTTCTTTCTTTTCTCTTTCTTTGCTCAGTGATTGGTCCATACATCTCGCGCCACTTCCACAACCAATCAGATTCAAAACTAAAACCAATCTCACTTCAGCCACTTGCGTCTTCGCGAGCTTCAGGCAATTTGCTTGTTTTCACGTTGAGTTCTCTCCTTTTCCTACGTTCTGATTAGTTGTTGTTATTACTTTGGTTTGGGTTTAATGACACTTGATCAAAAATAGCTCGACTACGCTAAGAAATGAAGATTTCACATACCCCAAGATCGATCTGTGAGGTTACAAATAGAGTAAATGATAAGCAGCAGATACCCGGATGGAAGGCAGAGCAAATACCACAAGCCATGAACCAGACAATACGCTTCTGTAAGATGCAGCAAGGCAGCTAATATGAATATTCCAATAAAGCCAGCCAGATACAGAGTGCTTACGTCAGCGGGAAGCTCGAGGGATCCAGGCACCCCAGTGGTAGGGTTAGTTGATGTGGTAGCATTTTTAAGCATCCCAGCAAGCCTTGGATTTGGAGTAAGAGGGTCCTGCCATGCATCAGCGGAGAGTGGGGAGCGGAAAAGAGAAGCGTTGGTTGACTTTTTAGTCACTGGGGAAGTAGTTGAAGTTGGAGTTGGAGTAGGCGGATGTGAACGTTTGTAAAGGTCATCACCAACTTGTGCGGCCACGCCCACGGTCACATAAGCCATGAGCAAGGCGAACACAATTGTCAAAATAAATGCAGTTTTCAGCTGGAAGTCTTGCGAGGTGTAGAGGCAAATCAAACCATAACCAACTGAGGTAAGTATCAAGAGAACGAGTAGTGCAGTTTGGTTTGAAATTGGAAATTCTGCATACTGCAGCCCTGACATCATGATCAGAATAACCGTCGAAGGACTGTATGAAAAAATGTCTCTTTAGTACGAACTAACACAACATCTGGACTGGAAATGAAGAAAAAACAACCCTAAACAACTACCATCAAAATACGTCATACGTTGACGAAGAGCGATGAGGCACAGATGTTTTTTTGGCCAGGGAGGTTAAAAATGGTGAAATGTTCCTCCACGTTTCACTACACTACGAGCAGTCCTTCCTTTTCAACCAAATCCGTCGCGCGAGTCAAAAAAAAAACAAAAAAACAAAAAAAGTTAGCGCGTCACACAGAACTCCAAGAGTGAGCCTACTTTTCCACAAGAGGTAGGAGGTGCGCTAACATCAATTTCAATCACTTATTTTTTGTTTAATCTCGCGACAAACTTCGCCAAAAACAAGGGACTACTCGTAGTCTAATGTTACACATAATCTTGATTTTCACTCTAATATCCGGTTAAACACTGTCATTATGGCAAGTACAAAGATGGGTATCACCTTGGTTCAGGGGCTTATCATCTATAAAATTATTTCTCAGTCCACTGTCTCAACGCCCGGTTAAACGCGACATTTTGCAGAATTGTTGCACACAACGTGTTAAATACCTTTGGCCAGCCTGTAGCAACATGTTGTAAGATGTTGAATGGTGTCGAATCGAGATAGAAAACGGTTTTCTTTTGTTGTAGCATTGTTGGATGTTTCAAGAAGTTGTGCGCGTTTGGTCAGCTGCTACACAGTACGATCATACACGTTTTTGTAAGAAGTTGCATTAGAGTATTGCGTGCGTTTGGCTAGGCCTTCAAGAGAAGCCTTTTTGTTAGTCAACTTGATAGTCCCTCTCCCTGGCTAAAAGACATCTTTGCCTTAACATCTCTGATTTCCAGCAAACCTGATAACTGTTGAGAAGACCATCAACGCCTGGTAAAGAATAAACGCAAATGAAATATAGTTGTTGGTTACAGTTAGTTTCCACTGACTGATAACAAGGGCCAGATTAGCTAAGGTGGAGGGAATCCATCGTCGCCTCTGTTTGAAGAATTCGTCAAAGTTGTCTGGGCAGAAGGTACTATCTTCAGCTGCAGCACAATAGTCTAAACGCCAGCCCGACTGAACCATCAGAGTACACAGCCATCGATCCTCACCTGTAGACGTGAAAGCAAATTTAAAATTGGATGATTACACCGATTACATCGTTCAGGGTTCAGTTGTAGCTCTTGAGTGAGTTTATTGCGCCTTGTTTAAAAACTTTCCAATACTTTCAATACCTTTTTATTGGTCTTGAATTTTTCTTTTTTTTTGGGTTGGTATTTTGGAGTCTTTTCCAGGGGTCAGGATTCTACCATCTAAATACCAGTACTAGTTGTATTTGCTGACAACGAATGCACAGGAAAGGATCAGAAGGATGAGAATTTTTTTGCAATGCCTGAGGTGGCTAAGAGCTGGAACTAAAAGTACCCTTGACTCTGATGATACTCAGGTTGTCGAAACGTCAGTCACTACTACCGGTACCGACAACAGTTCTTCTCAGGACTACTCTAACTCGGACTATTAGAGCATACGATCATATAAAGGTACTTCCGTGTTCACAAAAGCTTACCCATGTCTTTGGTGAGGAAATCGAATGACGTGTCAACTTTGGAGGAGTATATGGGCAGCACGTCCCTGATTGCAGCAGCTCTGTAAACACTGAAACAACCCGGTGAGCACAGAACGGATCCAAGAACATGGTTAGCCACCTATGTAATGGGAGAACATCTGGTAAACACTCAAATGAAACCCAGGTTTCTTTTTTTGTTTTAACTTTGTCCGATACTCATGCCATACATGTACATCAGCATGCTGATCAACTTCACACGTTGACTGAGCTCAAAATTTATCATAATTCTTACTCTAGATCTACCTCTAAAAAAGGAAAATTTTGACATTGCTAGCCTCCAGAAAAGGCGTAATTTTGGCGAGCGAGTACTCAGAATCTTTCTTATTGGAAATTATACATATAGCTGCCATCTTTGATTTTAACAGTAGTGGAAGGCTGGAGAGAGAAAGAAATTTGTATCAAGGGGTGAGCGACAGTCAAAAGGAAGGATAGGGGAGGGGTGGGGAAATAGCAATTACTCCATTCATTCATCGCCTATCCCTGCCCCTTCCCCCTAACGTCCATTCTGGCTCAAAATCAAACATAGCCAGTTAAATGACGATCGCGAGCTTGTAACGTTAACTCGCCCGATTAAGACGCCACCACTGTAAACTGGACATCGTTCATCCCCAGTACCTTTGAAACCAAATGCCCCTAACCTCGTTTTGAAATTATAGCAAAGGTATATATAAACAGGGTTATACCTTTTGGAACCAGTGTCCAATTGCGTAATCAAAGATCTGGTACCAAACAATCGGTCCAACACCCAAGGGATGAGTTCTCCCACAAACAGCGCCCACATTGGGATCTCTCATCATAAGATCAAGAAGCGCTTCTACTGATTCATGAGTAAACCTGACGTCAGCATCCGTGGTTAGTATGTAGGTGTTTTCATCTGTCACTGTAAAACAAAAAAAGAGTGTCAACAGCTTTTACATTGACTCAATACACAGGCAGGTACGCGTGAGCCTTAAGGCCTTCCACAAAGTTTCCATGAAAAAGATGAGAGGGATTTGGAGAAAAGAGCTAAAGAAGCCAATTACTCCCCATGGCATAACCAAGCTACGGTCGTTGGGGGATTATTTTGCCCAAACAATTTTAAATTTCCGGATTGAGTGAGGACAAAGGTTCTTTTTTTTAAGTGAAGAAATTAAATTTTACATTCAACTTATTACAAAGATCTCACCCAGCAATAAAGCAATGATACGTTTGCAGCTTGAAAACAAAAGCCAAACTTTTTCTAATTTTAACACTTTACTTTACAGACATTTTCAATCTTTTTTCTAAGCCTTGAAATTTTGCCTATAATTTTCCACTCTTTGTCTGTATGACCCCTGTATATAAATTACAGCATCTTTATTAGTTCTTATAAAATCTAACCAAAGAGGAAACTTCACAAATCTTGTATGTATACACTGCAGTGCAATGCACTGTAAGCCCAATTTTGGTGCGTTATACATCGATTAATCATAAACAGAATACAACAATGAGCATGTAAATTGCGTCATCTTGTTTCCATGAGTGTACTGTACAAGTGTAAAATCTATCGTAATTGACACAAAAGCAGTTCAATTCTTACAACAAAGTCATTAAAGCTTAATTATTGCTCAGGTTAGTAAGATTCAGAGACAAATAAATTACCTTCCATTAGCTTTTCTTTAAAGTCTAACACATATGACATGTACATGACTTGACTCCACCGTTTCTTGTTCTTTACCTAAAGGAATATTATGATTCATTGTGTTATTTCAAAAGTGTAAAAGTTCTGAACAAGTAACAACCAGGACAAATAAGTAACAATATTGATCACTAGCCTGTGAGATAGCTCTCATTGATTTGCCACACAAGCAGCAAAGCATGCAAGATTTGAAGCCCTAGGCAAAGGGAGCAAACTGGAAATATGCAAGGCTTTAATCAAGGAATGTAATTTATTGTGCCACATTTGTTGGGCATTTGTTGGGTTCCACACTAAGAGCCAGGATCATGAAAACTGATATGTCAATTTCCCCCAATTGTATTGCCTGTAAGACTTGTTAGTGTTTAACCATTAAATGACTTAACAATACCAGCCAATGAATAAGTGAAAATCAATCAGAACGCATGCATAACTGAGCTTATTATATAAACTACATTAGTGATGAATGATGCGCCCTGCATTCTCCCTGAAAACTTATTTATCAAAATAATTACTGGCCCCTAAATAGCCTGAGAATATTGCAAAATTCTCATGTGAGAATAAATACACAGTCTTACCCTTAAATTATCCTTTAAATGGATGTGAAAATACATTCCACCAGGTAGCCTCCAACGCATCTGCATCCCATATGGTGTCTTCAGCTTCATACACACATCAATGGAAACTTTCAGTGCTCTTGGAATCAGTGAAATTAACTGCAAAACATAGTTATTCAAGACATCTCCTTTGATTGCTCCATCAAAGAATATATGCGACTCTATTTGCCGCCTTGATTTTTCCCTTGCACAGTCAATGTCATGCAGTGAATTAAGCAGTTGTTCCATTTCTTGTTCATTTTCATGGTACATGGTGGTGCAAATGTACACACAAGTATTCTTCACCAGTTCACCAAGTTTGACATGATAGTCATCTGTGATCTCATTTCTTCGATTCAACAAAAGATGTTGCTCCAGAAACAATCCTACAAAAGAATGTTTCATACCAATATATTATTGTGTAAGAAATAAATTAACCTTCTAGCTCACACAGGTAATTAACATGTAAATTCTCCCTATAATATCAAAACTGGTAATGAGGAATATTTAAAACATCACCCTAAAAGAAGAGGCACTTAATGGAAGGGGGGTGCTTACTATTCTCCTGTACTGATTTTGTTGTAGTCGAAGCTTCAAAAGTTATAAATAATGTGGCAATAAAAACAGGTTTTCCTCATATCCCTACTATTTAAGAAAGTGAGGGGGGCACTTTTTAACATTATGGCCTAGAAGGTGGGCCCTTTTTCATGGAAATACAGTACTCAAAGTTATCAAGTAGAGATTATAATCTTGATCTAGCTAGCACCGAATTCTTATAACTAATTTACAATGAAATATGTAGCAGCTAGAGTGGAGAATTAACAGTCAGCTCTTGGGAGTTTAAGGGTCAAGATCTTTATTCTCCATCCACCATTGTACTATAGGTGTTACTACCAAAATATGCAGTTGTTAAATAAATTATACGTTACCATTATATGTTGGCATCCAAAACAAACTTGATTCCTTTGCCATTATACCTTCTTGTTTTTTTAGCACATAGTAGCCAACTGAAAAAAACTGTGCTAACAGGAAACATCCAGTTATAACATAGAGCAAAACATCACTTGGATCACCATGCTTAAAGAAAAATATATGGTCCTCTGCCCATGTGTTACTGATTAAAGTCAGGCCAACTGAAATGGGTGTTGCAAGTATCATTGGCACTGCAAAAGCAAGAAGTTGCATGCAAATCGCACAAGCCAAGATGCCCAGCATATACCCAAGAAAGCTTGTCCATATCTGCACCATAAAGTGAACAAAACCATCACTGTCAACACTGAGATTGTCAAACCCTTTCTGTAACTCTCTCAAGTCTGCTCTATTAAATATATAACAATACAAAGCTGCTACAAATGGAATCAAAAAAAGCTTCCACAGGCTGGTGATGATCGCTGCCTTCCCACGTGTAGATTTCGAGCGGGTAGCTACACCAAGTATTGTTTCACCTTGAGGAATAGACAACCCAGCTAATTCAACATTTGGCGATGGCTGACTAGTTGTTAGCCCGTTCAGACTAGGATTTGGTGGGTTTCTAACTTGCTTAGTCACATACTTAAATATCTCTGGGCACCATGCAAATGATAACAATATGAGAGCCAGTGGAACACCCCAAAATGGAGTATCCCCTCTTTCCTTGTACATCTGCAATAAGAAAGAATATAAAAATTAACATACATGCATGTTGAACTGAGCAAGGTTTAAATGGGGCAAAGTATGCTGAAGCTACTTATCACAGTTTCATGACCAAGCTGTGACTAATTCCTACAATTCTTCCAGGACAGGAGATTGATCCATGCAGGTTCCTCTAGTAATACAACCAGATACTCTGGCAGTCTGCTAGACTAATAATTGTCATAGTCATGAGTAGTAATATGCAATGTCAGAGGTAAATAGTGTCTTGGCCAAAAACACAACACAATGACTCAATCATAATAGACCTTTTTACAGTTCTCAGTGCCATATTGGATTAGTAACCGCGCACACACAATAACGAGGCTGGAGTTGACCTGGCGGTTCTTTCAAACAGCTGATCTGCTGACATTTCACATTCTCATGCACTTTTCAATGCAATTTCTCCCTTCAAAATGGTTCTTTAATACAACAATATGGAAATTTTGTCATTAGGTGACATCCAGAAACTCAAAGCAAAAGATCTCAAGGAGATTTTAAAATCTAATTCAAAATCAACGGGCAGAATTAGAGCTGACTTAGTGTCGAAGGTTTATGCTTTGCTGACGTAAAACGTCCTTCCATCGAGTAGTGGAAAAAACCGAGAACTTCTTACAGATGTCCAGGACCTAGAACAAAACCAGAGCGACTTCAAATACAAAACAACTATGGTAAGGATTTCAGCCCTTGGATGGTTTCAAGCGATCTCCGTAATTTACCCAAGATGAATTTCATTCAGCTTCACGAGTACCCCATTGTTTCACAAGAATATTGCCACAACATGTTGAGAGGAACGCATTACAGGAAGTACCACAGAAGCTGTTCAGTATGGCTTAGAAAGTGAGACAAAAGCTGTAGCCCTCTAGGTAGAGGAGATCTGTTATTGCTGCTATTGTTGATGTGGTACTTGTTGTTGTACCATATTCTTCAGTTAAAGTTATTCCCATTTTGTTTACCAAGATGTATGTTAGTTTGCTATTTGTACATTGTATCTTATGGGAAACTATACAATAGAGCCTGTAGAACCACTTGATTATAACCCTTCTTTCTACCCTTGCAAACTGAATTCCCAGTTTTCTGGGAATTCCTAGGAATTCTCAGAAATTCCCAATTATGCAAATGACCCTTACAAACTGAATTCCCAGTTTTCTGGGAATTCCTAGGAATTCCTGAAAATTCCTAGGAATTCCTAGGAATTCTAAACAATTCCCAACTATGCAAATTAACTCTGATTTAAAAAGCTTGGAATTACTGGGAATTTCTGAGAAAGGAAGACTCCAGTTTTGTGAGGACTTGGAATCCCTAGGAATTCCTAGGAATTCTCAGCTATACAAACTACCTATAATTTAAGAAGTGTGGAACTCTTGGGAATTTCTGGGAATTGAATTTGAGGCAATTTAAATACCCTGAGGTCCACATAAATTCTAAGAAATTCTCAATACCTTGAATGTGAAGGTTTTAAGAAAAGGAGTAATTTTAGAGGCTTAAAACTTTAGCTTAATAAAAGGTATGCTATACAAAACTTACCAAGAGATATACATACATGTATATGTTTATAACTTAAAGATCATGGAATTTATTATTCAAACTAAGTTTTAGTAAATCTTTACATTAATATGGATTTTCTCATGAACCAGCAGTCAGTTATGTTAAATGGAAATTGCCAATTAATCCAATGTACTCATATCACAGATTTGCTTTCTAACTTCAGAGGACTCTTGGATTCCATGATCAAAAAATATTTTATTGTGATGCAAATTAATGTCTCATGTTCACTGATGTGCCAAAATCATCAAACATTCATTAGCTGTTCCTTGGTACACAACTTCCACAATAATTAACAATAATTACTTTGTTATCTACACTTAAAGAACTTTGTTAGTTATGATCATAAGTTACTTCCCTAACCTACATCACTGGTTACCTTTGTTAGAAAATCTTGGAACAGTCAAGCTCAGTTGCCTCAAACACTGTCAGAGACTTTATGTTGACAATATTTTTAGTAGAAATTTCATGCCTTAGACCAACAAATTCAACACCTAATTAACCTTTCTTTTTTCATGATTGTTGTTGCTGTTTTTTTTTCAGTTTTTGCTCTGTTTTCGTTACTAATTGCTGTAATTTGTTTTGCTGTTTTTATTCTTACAAAACATTTTTGTAAGAGTTCCAATACTTGTGGATCATCCACACACTTTGCAAACATTTGGCATGCAGACAAGACAGAGGTAGTCAATGTTCCCATTGAGGAAAAAAACCTTTTAAATGACGTCTTCAATTTACTTTATTTGAAACTCTGATCTGAAAATATTTGTCAACAAGACTTGTTAGTAGTGAGAAGTACCAACCAAGTTTCCTTTCATAACTTAATTTCTTAAATGTCCCAATCACTGGATATCCCAAAAAATATCACATCTTTTTATTTTTGGTGCAAAATACAAGTCCTTCTTTATATAAAAATGAAAAGTGCAATTCACACTTCAATAATAACAGCTCTAAAGTTTACTTGTTGTTCTTCTCTGTCTGTCAGCTATCAACAAAATTGTTTTATACTTCGGACAGTGCATAACTATTTGTGGACCAGAGTTCCAACGCACCTCTGTAATCGCATATATTTACTTCTGTCTCTTGTACAAATGTTTCTCCTTTGTAAGACGCACTCTACTCTGTTGTCACTACTGCTTTAAGTTCAGTGGAAACGACTGACTGAGGAATCGAGATGGCGGTGTTGAAATGTGTTGCTGAACGCTTGCTACGGTCAAGCTTTGTAGATTTAGGTACTGGTACACCGGGATCATCTATGTATCTCTTATACTTCCTAATGTGGTATCCTTCTTTTATAAATATGAGGGTAAAAGACGATTTGTAGTCGCATTCAAAACTGTGATTGGCTTGTGTTATTTCCCACCTTTGCCATGAACACAACTCAAGTGAGTTTTGAGTCTTTGTTTCCTCGACAACTTTCGGCCACAAATCGTGCATTTGTAATACGATCGATTCTTGTCGATTATTTCTACATAGAGTGAGCTCACATCATTATTTATATCACCAAGGTATCCATCGTCTAGAAGCAGAGAACTGGTCGGAGAAGTCAAAATAAAGTTGTGCGCTTTTCTCAACACTGCAATCGGCAAGCCAGCGGATTTACTTTGCTAGCCAATGACAAGTCCTAAAAGATCCACGTGATCATGCCCCTGATCGGAAACAAAGAAGACTCCATTTGGCGCTCGTCTTTGAATGTACTTTTCATCGGTTGATCGTTTTTCTCAACTGTTTTGCTTAATATAACATTTCTAAAGATAGCTCTTATTGTGGTTCAATGGGAAAACGAGAACAGCGCGAGTGTTGTAAAAGAAAGGAAAGTTGTTGGCGCCGTGGAGTTAAAAGAAGGGACAACAGTTGACATATTGACTGGTACAAACAAGGGTCGAGTGGCCATCTGTAAAGCTACGATTTTGAAAGTTTGTGGTGAGTAAAAATTGCGATATTCGTTACGTGATCAAAATCTTATAAAAGAATAGATGTAGCGGGTTGAATTAAGCTTACATAACGCTCGGCGCAACTGAAACTAGAATAATTCTGAGAATCGAATCGGTCACTTGCATGCCGCAGTTTCTTAAGCTTATGCTTTACAATGAAATAAACCTATCAGTAAGGTTTCAAGATTCCTCTAGTCACGTTTGGGAACATTCAAGATTCATAATAGGAACTGTTATTAAACAAACCTTATTACATAAAGAATATATAATGTATTCAGCCCTTTTTTAGTAAAATCTATGAGAGAGATGTACTAACTCCAATATAAAAGTCACTCAATATAACAGAGATTTCTCAATTTGAGAATCCAATGAATGCCATTTTCATCATAGCCATCTTAAAGGCCTGGTCTGAGCCTTAAATATACATATTTAAATATATATATTTTTTTTCAAATTCAGATGTCATGGAATCCAGATACAAAATGGTCAAGCTCATGATTCATGGCCAACTCATTGTGAGCCCAGGAAAAAAAATACAAACAGTAGCTAAGTTTGCAGTTTAGGATAACTTCATTCTAATTTATTGTTACAGTTACAACAAGATTTAATCAAAAAATCAATTTTATTTGTCTGTAATTAACCCCTTCACTCCCAAGAGTGCTTGGTTTTCAAATATAATTTAAGATATTGTATTTTATGGAAAAGAATCAAAAGATTTTATTCACAATTTGTGTCAAACCAAATTTAATGATTGATTAGGACTATTTTATACGAATAGCTGTAATTGAGGATTAATCCGTATGAAGTTTTCAAGAAAAGAAAAATAAATCAAATTCCATCCCAATATTACCACACATTGATGTTAATAATTAATCAAAAATATTTTACATGTAAGCCTTAATTTTATTAGCTTCTAAATAAATTTCATTGAATACTTGAATTTTAGCTGGGTTTTTTTAATTTAAAGTATTCATTTTATATCATTAGCCTCAAATTTTTGCTTAAAATTCCCAGTAATTCTTAAACATTCTTAAAAATTCCCAAAAATTCCCAGAAATTCCTAGGAATTTTTTAGATTTACAGCTTTTCAGGGAAAGTCATTGGTTCTCTGAGTTGGAATTCCTAGGAATTCCAAGTCCTGTTGGCTATAAACTTGGAATTTCTGGGAATTTCTAGGAATTTCTAGGAATTTCTAGGTTTTTAGAACCAGAGTTGTTATGGTTGGGAATTCCTAGGAATTCCCAGTCCGAATTTACCGTGAAAATTCACACCTTTATTCCTAGGAATTCCAAAAGCCATTTCGCAAGGGTATCAACCCATGAGGGAAACTGCAACTAACAGATGTCATAATATTTCGAAACCCACCAGGCCTAGGACAACTTATGCTCATGATACATTGAAAACCATTTTCATTTCACAACTCATGGTAATTTATTAGGTGGCAAGACACCATTGAAAGAATCAGACCAAAATATTAGACAATTTAAAAACTCCCAAAAGTGACTGATTCATGTAACTTCTCTATAATATCCAAACAATATCCAGCAAACAGATAATGATAATACTGAAACTTATCAGGCAGAAGTTATCTTGATCTTACATCAAATTCTCATAACTTATTTACAAGTAAATGTGTAGCAACTAGAAGGAAGAATTAACAATCAGATCTTGGGTATTAAGGGTTAAAGGAAGAGAACAGATATGCTTCCTCTCAGCTACTGATCTCAACAATGCTAGTCCTTTACACACATTTAAGTTTCTGTCAGAAATAAACATTCTGTGAATTGATATTCCCATTCTTAGAACTCAGAGGCCTTCTGACACAAAGGTTTGCTATACTAGTTCTTATTGAACTGTGTCCAAATGATATAATTTTGAGATGTAAAGAAGATACTTAAAAGATTGAGAAATATATCCAAATCAAGATATTTATTTTATACTGTTACAGTTACCATAAGATTTGTTTGAAAGAGAATCTTTCAGACCATCAAATTGTATGAGAAATTATTTTTTGCGAGACTTCTATCAAACTTTTTATTATGAGGACAATTTTGTGAATAATAAAATTTAAGTGTCATAATTCATCTTTGTGTCAAGAACTCTTTTAGTTAGTGAAACTCACTTTTTCTTTTTTTCAATTTGAAGCATTAAATTGATCAATACATAAAGCACACAAAATATTTTTTGAGAGTTCCGTGTGGCATCCATAGTGGATTACTATGCTATCATAAAAAAACAAAAACAACAACTACTGAAAACTGCTTTTATCACAATTACTACCAAATTTGTGTCAGTTTTCTGGGTCTGCCATAACAAGTGAAAACTTTGAAGATACAGCGTCTTGGTTATTTTATTAAAAGCAATTACTTTTCCAAGAGTTCTCTGCTAGGAGTGTTTTAGGCAAGCCATTTAGTAAACAGGTGAGCAGTACTGAACTTATTGACTTACTGCCAGAATAAAAAAAACTCTATTGAACTTAAACCAATTCAGGTACCTAATAAAAAATTTGTACTAATTTTGCAACAATAGTTACCCTCATCCATAATTCACAGAGAATAAGATAAGTATAGAATGATAAATACTTAGCAAAAATACATGCCTCTGTGCATAAACTTGAAGTAGGCAAACCATTGGGGCCATAAAATGTATTTGAACAACCAAAAGCGGCACACTGCTTTCCATTCTTTTTGGGAGAAAAATTAGCTTTATCGACGGAGATTTCGGCTAGGACCATCCGTTTTGCTTAAAAATCGAACAATTTTACTGCCCACTTACAAATTTCACAAAAAGTGCTCACAGAGATTTAACATGAGTCAACCCCAGCCTCGTTTTCACATGTGCGTGGCTGCATGTCCAATATGGCGCTAAGAACCGTAAAAAGGTCTATTGGAGCCTGGTTCTTTTAACTCAGTATATGGCAGACTTCCATAGGCTCCCTCTGCAGGTGCCTTCCATCCTCTGATGGGATTGTTATGAAACTTTGCAAAATTTGCTATCACAGCTTATCTACTCTGCATAATTTCTTTATCAACTTCAAGTTGTAATCAATCTTTCACCTAATAGGTATATGCCTGCATGGAATAAGTTGGGGGAACTCACTTAAAGAAATTTGAAAAAACAAACGCACACAACTCACTGACTATGTGCAACAACCCTTTTGCATGATCACCTTGTTTACTGAATAAAAAAGGTGCACAAAATTTGTCATGGCTATAGACGTACAAAATGATGCCAATCCAACAAAATTAAACTGTAAATTATTGGTACTCCTATGCACATAAAATAACTCCCTTCCCTTTCCCTGGTTTTCACTTTTTGCTGTTTTGTTTTTCAATTTTTTCCCAGCATGTTTCAAATTCAAGTCTAATTTCAAGGTGGGCAGACAGAATCACTGCCATATACAGTAACTTTATAAAATTAATGCAGTTTTCTCATGTTTTGTTTACTGTAACTACTTCCTTGTGCTTAGCATCTACAGCAGCAATTTGCCTACAATAAACATTTCATGTAAGAGTGAGTACTTGTCCGACACTTTATCTGATTCAATAATGAAACAATCATTTGACAGAAATGGGCACCAGGAATCAATCCCTTCCTTGAAAGCACTTTTGTCATATACAATCTCTTAATTGTCACAAACCCATTTAATTTAAATAAGACTCAGATCTAATTCGGGGCACGCTTGATCCAGTCACCTGATTAACTCAGTCTATAACTTCTAAGATCTAATTGTCAATTCTCCTTTCCATCTGCTACACATTTTTTTTCGAATTTATTCAGTTACAAGAATTTGGTGTTAGGTCATGATATTAACCACCATCTAATAAGTTTGATGATTCTCATTACCTGTTTCCTGGATAATATATGAATATTACAGGGAGAAGTTAAAGTTTAATCACTACTGAGGGCTAGGCTTAATGAGGGTGAAATTGGGGGGTTCTGAACACCCCCCAATTCTGCAACAAAAATTAAGCAAATATGGCAATTTCACAAAAAAGTTTGGCAAATACCCAAACACATCAATTCCAAGTTTAGACTCAGTGTCATGCCAAAATCATTACTCTGTATGTTTCATTTAGAGGAAATAATATGGAAATAACAAGTAATAGAATAAAAGTTAAGTCAGGTAAATTATGTTGCTTAAGATGGATTAGAGAAGCTTTAAGTTGTTTTAGGTCCTTTTTCAGGTTTGATTTCCAAAAAAATCTCAAACTGGAAAAGACTAAGACTCATTGTAGACAACTTGAAGGATAATTTTCAATATTGTCCAAAATGTTAAAAAAAACTGCATTCCACAGATTCAGAGAACACTGCAATACCACAATGTGAGATTAAAACAACCAAAGTACCTAAAAAAAATTGTCCAAAACCACAAAACGGCAAATTGCAATTTCCCCTTTGTTAACTCTCCTACTTGCCTTGTATGTAAGCATTCCAATTCCTGCAAACTCTAGGATCAGTGCAAGGATGAATATAAAACATTGTCTCCAAGAGCCTTGAGCTTGGCACCCTCGGCTTCTGAAGACTTGCCACAGCACCGGAACAACAAACACTCCATTCATCATAACTATACGCAAACCAGGGTGGATCTTTAGATCAAGCAGCACAACAATGGCAAAAAAGCAAAGGCCAAAAACTTCCAGTGAAGAAGAAAACAAACCCTGCCATAAAATGGATAAACAAATTAAGTGCAATATCAGGGGTATAGGGGATGGGGTGGAGGGAGGGATTATTAATCTAAGATCTACAGTAAAAGCATTTTACACACTAATTTTAAAAATTCTTCTTCCGAAGTGGCCAGTAAAAAAAAACAATTAATTGGCTACTAAATATACAGCAAGAGCTGTAAATTTAAGAAGCTGTGTTTGTTGGTCATGTGAAAAGCTGCACTATTATTGGAACTTAGTAGATAGCATTTAGAGTTGTAGTTAGGGTGGCTGTCAAGTATATAGTACTGCATAAAGAGTTTGTTTCTTTTTTTGACAATTAAAATTTAACTTCTTGTGACCGCATGTTATGATTTTTGTTTTCCAGAAGGCAACTTTGAGAATAATATTGATGATAATGACTAAATTAAAAATAAAACATTTGCTTAGTACTAGAAACTATGTACATATTCAAAAGCACTTTACATTACATTAAGGATTATAAACTAGTACTGAACACTTTCCTAAAATAGAAATGATTTGTGTAATTCCTTAAAGGTAGCTAGGCTGCTGCAGGGTTTGATTGGTAATGACAGTGAGTTCCATAACCCAGGAGAAGCATGAGTATGAGCATGATCCTGAAGTGTAGTACAGTTGACCAGTAGAATAAACAGAAGAGATTGTGTAGACGAGCGAAGAGCATAATTAGAAGCATGTTTTAAGAGATAAAAGATCTTTAATGTAAGGTAGACTTAGATAGCTTAACAACTTAAATCAAAAACAGAAAAACTTTAAAAGGTTCAGCTTTAAGCTAATAATGCCAGGTTTAACCAGTTTTTTTAATAGCCACATTCTGGCCATTGGCTTTTGTTGTATTCACATGCCTTTTCAGGAAATATAAGCAAATTAGGAACACAGTCACAAGCAAAGATCACAACCCATCGCATGATGACCTTCTGCCTCTTAGACTATCTGAGAGCTTAACAGCTGTAGGAAGATGGATATCATGACACTGATCGAGTTACACATTTTTATTCTGATAGTCCCTATCAAAGATGATAAATGTAGTGTAGGGTAATCATTTTATTAAAATTTGAGTGTAAGAATGTGTATTTAGTAAGACTGATGAAATAAATATAGCCTTGTTGACCTCAAAAATGCCAAAATTATGGACCTTCTTGCTACACAGATTTGAAACCCTATCTTTAGTTGCAAGATTTTCTTTGAGAATCATCAATTTTCTGAAATTAAATCCAAAACAAACATACATTGGCCAGTTGATTAGTGCTCGTGGATTTGACAGTTCCCACTTAATATTTGAACAAACAGCGAGAGTATTTGCTCTCCAAAATCATAATAAAATTGAACCTTAAGGAAATCTAAATAGTGACCAGAGTGTACAAAGTACAAGAATGTAATTGAATTGTTCGGCACTTTATTTTTAATCTATCATAGGCACCAAGAGTGCAAGTAGACCAATTATTTTGGCAAGAGGAGTAACAACAGCCGAACAAAGCTACGAGGAACGCCGTAATTTCAATCTCGATGAACATTACTTTGACTACGCTAGTATTTGAGTTCAAGAAAATTATGTTCACATGCGTCAACTTTTTGCGACGGAGGTGCAAAAATGTATGATTCGCGATCATCGCTAATCGAAAAAGTCATGTGATCTCAACCGGACGTAAATTTCCGCTATGCTTCCCGAAGAACAACTTCGATTTGATTCTGTTAAACTTGTAATTCTCACGCGATTTTGGACTAAACCTTACACATTTAGCTTCTGAAATTTTTGTAATGAGCTTACCATAAAAACAGCTTTCCTGCTTGGCCACTTGTGAGTTTTGGAGAACAGGCTTATCCAGGAAGCCTTCAAAAGCGTGTAAGCTTCCGGTATGATCAGAAGCACAACAATCATGATGAACAAAGTTTCTCTTTCGATGCCAGATGAAGCGTTTCCGTGGTAATGTGCAATCGATAATAGAGAAAGTTTACTGGCGACCAGGCAAATCAAAACGGAAACAAACAGGAAGGCGCCGAAGAGACATTTCACTATGGATAGCCATGCAGAAGACCTCGACTCGCGTGGTTTCTCTCGGTTGATCTTCGCAGTCTGTGATACTGCATACTCAATTTTGGGAGTTGTTTCTGCAAGCAGTGACCTTTCAGATGGATCTGTTGAGCTGTGTTCGGGACGCGTTGCTTGTCTTGCCATCCTCCACGTCCGAATATCATCAGAGTGATTTCCCTGCAGCTTTTCCATACAGAATTCGTAGAAATGCAGGAAGCGATCATGAGCCCGCGAGCGCGCCATGAAATTTGCCCTGGCATAGACCCCTATCAACTCCTGGTGTCAAATTTTTGCGGAAACTTTTTTACGCCTAGATACGTTAATGAAAGACGGCGGACACCCAGAGTGTTGCTTTCGGTTCTTCCGACAAAGTCCGACGAGTTTTGATTTGTATTTCGGTCGAAAATCCAGAACAATGGGGTTGGACGTGCGTGACTAGTTGACGAAAAGTAGGAGTTGTTATGGAAACGTCCGATAAAGGAATTCGCAGAAAGACGACGGAAAGGTTTATTTAGTTCGAAAGACGAAACGTAGCGAAAGACAAAATCACGAACATCTCTACTTTTCAGATTTTCAAAACAACAAATGTTTATATTTCGCCAAACAATTCAACACTCTTCAATGGACCGCTAGTTCCCTAAGGAGAATGCCTCTTCTCTCAGTGAGAAGCGTGCGCAGAGCGGGACCCGCGTGGGGGTGTTATGCGAAGTCTCTCTAAAGCAAGGAAGAGAGAACCAAAATAGCGTACGGTTTCTTAGCGCTGCACAATATCTCTGGCTTACATTTTCTGGAATATTCTTCGAAAGATTGCCCCCAGGTTTTTCCTCATATGAACTTTATTTTATCCGTTTCTGGACGAACAGAACACTTTCCAGGCAATCTTCCGTCCAAGGAAATTCTCCCTTTTCGAGCTCCCCGAAGGCCTTTATGAATTCAAGCACAGTACCCCTTGTCACTTTTTAACCAACTGAAGTACATTTTTCACAGCTGGTGAGACGATCCAACGTAAAATAGAAGAACCGTTTGGAAACATAACAAAGAACCAGCAGTTGGTATTTGCATTAATTTATTTTTAAGCCGCTCAAGGTGACATTACGTCAAGTACATCAGGAAATAAAAAGCATTTTTGTGTTGTACGCTATAATTTTATCGAAATATCCATTTGGGCTCAACTGACTGTCCATAATAATCTTTAACGTACAAGGTTCCTCTACAGATTGCTACGATTGCTGCCAAATGATCATCATTCACTTTGTCGCTGTATTCAAGTTCAATATGCCGTAACGAGGGCGCAAAGGACATGGAGCGACATGGCATTTGGTCACCAAGGGACTTGGCTGTTTCCTACAAACGAGAGAAAGAAAAAAAATTGGTTGCAAGCCAAGGTTGACAAGACCAAGTTGTAAACTTGACTTCCGCCGGTTTCTCGGGTTCCGTCCTTGATCCTTTAATCTTTTTCACAGCTTCGCCGCAGTTCTTTAAGATGTCACGCAAAGCTACCCTACAAACTCTACCCTGTTCTGAGGTTAGAATTGCGTGACACGCGACCCGACCCAAGCCTCCCTCGTTTTTTCACTACCGAACCAGGAACTTCCGAGCAAGAAAGTGAGCTCAATTTCCGAACAGCGGGTAGAAATTGGGCCTAGACCGCGTAGTTTAGCCTATAGATTTGAATATCCGGACTTTCCAATTCAAAATTCCCCACTTCACCACGTTTATTTCCCACAAAAGAGCGAGTTCCAGATAAGGAGCTATTTTTTTAATGAGAGATTTTCCAGGTTTTTCTGATTAACCGTGAAAATTTGTTTCCTCAAAGCAGACACATTCGTTGTTGCTCATTCGTCAGTGACGTAAGGAAAGGAAACTACAAAAAATATATCAAGATCAACTAAATGTAACCGTGGAAAACAAAATATCAATTAGATATATGTCAAAGATTTGTAGATTTTGACACCAAGGTATGGGTAAGAGAAGCGAAAATTCTCGAGTGTTGTTTTACTGGGAATCAGCGAATCACTCACCGTATCACAAGGCTTCAGAGAAACTTTTCCTTGAGGGAGAACACTTTGGAATTTTTTGTTGTATCTCCACAATTCTTGTAATAGACTCCAACAATTTAAATCTCCTACAATTCCCAAAAATGGATGGGAGGTTATGAGCTTTAAACCGTTCAAAACTGCTTTCTTGAGCTTTACACAGCTTTGCATCAGGGCTTTGATGCCGTTGTCCGATAAACAAGAGTTCCAGCTTGCATCTATTTCTCTAAGAAGCGGCATGTTTTTAGCCAAGCTACTGAGTGCATCATCTGAAAAGCTATCAATCCCTGCAATATTCAGGCAAGAAATATTATGGCAGTTCTTTCCAAGTGCAGTGATGGTGGGCTTAGAAGCTGCACATTGTCGTAGACCAAGTCGTTGAAGGGAGCGACAAGAATTTGCCACTGCTGATATTCCCTGATCCGTGACGTCTTCGCACCAGGATATGTCCAAGACTTTAAGCTACAGAAAAGAAAAAATATATCCATATTTCAGTACCTGCCTAAAACTTGTACGTCTAACAGGTGCTTGAGAACTGGGCTAGTCTCACGACTCGTGGCTTGAACCCAAAATTAAAGGCAGTCGACCGTACAACAGCCCGCGATCAGGCCCCCACTATAACGGCTACGAGCGTTTCTCCGCCCGCGGAAGGATTTGAGAAGAGTCGGGGAGAGGTCTACCAGCATTGCTCAAAGCCTCAAACTTATTCCCACGCGAAGAAACACTCACTCTGAAGCGCTCATAACTGGGGATCTTCTCACCGGCTGATTGTGCAGAGATCACACTACACGTATATGTAGACAAAATATGTCCGAATACTTCCCGTCATTCGAGCACTTTCTCTGGGCTACCTTCAACCCTCAACCGTGTAAACACGGAAACAAAACAAACATGCCTCAGAAGTGTATGCTATCAAATAACGACAAAGTTGCAATGGTGGCTAATCAATCACTTATCCAACTCCCTTTAAAGTAATAAAATCACCTTAATTGTTTCTTTGCTTCACCCCACTCCCCACATTTCTCATAGAGCTACTATGCTTGTCCCATACAAAGCTCTTTCTAAATCAATATCTTTCCTGCTCCCTTCAGTCTTATACAATGTATTTCACCTTTTCCCCACAGCCCTTTGCTATGCTCTCAAGTGTAAAGTCAGTGATAGCAGCCTCAGCCAAGGACAAGGATTGTAGATGCTTGCTCCTTGTGAGAGGCACCAGTCCATGGTCAGTGACATAACACATACCCTTCAGCTCAAAGCTGCTGAGTGTTGGACAGTGCACAGGGATGGAGATCAGGGAAAGGTTGCTGAGCTTTTCACAATCAACCTGGAAAGAGTGAAAGGAGAAACAAATCATCTAACTTTGTGTAAGTCTAATTTTTGGATACTCTGAAGGTATGATTGAGTCAAATTCCCCTCCTGTGTTTCTCTTTGGATCATCTGAAATATGATGATAACATTTTACATATCTAAATTGTCAAGACGTTATACAGACCACAAGAAAAGTTTGTAAATCATAAGGCAAAGGCAAACTACAGTGGAACTTCCATTCTGGGGTCACTCTTGCAAGCAGAGCAAGAGTTCCCTAGATGTAGATGTCCCAAAGGAGAGGTTCCACAAAATAAACAGACTTTTTCAAGTTTCCCATCAACACCCCACTTAGGCAATTACACACCCACACAGATTGAAAGTTCAGTCTATTGCTAAATCATTGACCTGCAGAGCAAGCATAATTTTAGCAGGTGTTTATGCTCTGTATTATGTTGGTGAAAATTATGGCTTTCATCTTTCATTTTTACAGCAGCAAAATTTTGGGGAGAAAAAGAAATTTGTACCAAGGTGGTGAGCGACAGTCAAAAAAAAGGAGAAGAGAGGGGTTCAGGGGCAGTGAATATTTTTAACGAAACAAGGCCGGTCATATAAACATTTGCAAGCTTCTTCACATTAACTTGCCCTAATAAGAAGCCTGCACTGCAGGCTACTAATTCATCAAAAGCTATGGGTTTGCTTGAACAATAAAGTAGAGGTTTCTGAGCCATTACCAAGTATCTTAGTTATTTTACTAATATCTACAAGTTGCATACATTCATGTCTAACCCATACAAATAATAACAATATTTCATGGATATTTCTACATTTACATACCAAAGACAAAGATTCCAGGTCAGGTTGATGCCTAAGAATGTATCTCAACATTCCATCCTCCAGTTCCAACCATGATATTGTAAAATTTTTCAAACCTTCATTAGCATGAGAGAAAATTTTCAAGCATGCATTACCTAGCTGTTTGCTTGGATAATGCATGCCAGTAATGTCCAATGTTGCAATTTGTGGCTGAAAACTCTGCGTTACTAACAAATCACTGATTTGAATAACTCCTTTGGGTGACAGTAAACAGTCGGGCGTACTTTTGTTGTCCTTTTCACCAGTATAAATTGTATGCTGATTGGGGTTAACTTCTTCCTCACTGTCAATTAGCACATCTTTAACCTCCCAACAATTCTTAGACTCCTTGCCTATCCCATTTTTTTTAGGGATATTGGAAGGGGTGGAAGATTTACACCCTGCACATGACATTTTACATGCGGCAGAGCTGTAATCACTATCCACACCATCTAAAAGAACGTCAACAAGTTTCTCTCCTTCCCCACTCCTAGCATGGATTCTAAAATCCTTAATTTCTGCATCTTCATCCTCTAAAGCTGACTCTGTAGAAGTTATATCACAATTCACACTTGTGGTAGGTGAGGAAAGATAGTTGGGTGTAGACTTTTCCTCACCAGCCTCTTCACATCGTGTTGTCGTGTCATCATGTACTGGATGGCTCTCTAGTTCAAAATTATCTTCACAAGCTAAAATTTCCTCTGACCCACAGTGTTCTGTAGTTTGTTTTCCAACAGTCATTAAGTCATATCTCTCCAAGCCAAGCTCCCTGTTGCCCACACTCCCAAGTTTACAAGTAGTTGTAATTTCTTCTTGTTTTGAAAGTAACTGCATCCTGTTACAACTAGTGCTTTCACTATCAACAGTTGCCTTGGATCCATCTTCAGTGGGAATGTCATTCCAGCAAATTGTCCTATATCCAGCTCTCTCCTTGAAATTTCGTTCACCATTATCATCATTGCACTCTTCATCTCCAAACCTTGCATTTTCATGTTCAGAAGCTTTGTCACTTGGTGGGATTTCTGGGGACAAACTGGAAAAAACTGCAAAAGAGGTATCAGACCCAAACTCCTTATGGCTCTGTCCATCTTGTGCTTTATTCTGTTCATCCACATGACATGTAGGGAGAACAAACTTTAGTGTCAAAACTTCCATCTCATTCAACAAATTTTCATTAAGTGAAAGATCATTATCTTTTGACATCATTGGGGATGGCTGTGTTTTAACAGAATCACTGACATCATTACACCACTGATTGTGATTGGGAATTTCCTGTACTGTCTCTTGGTTTGATGTCGAAGCAAGATCAGTGGCAACTGCATTGTGCATGATTCTTGCTACTTTATCTATGTTTAATCCAGCTAAGTACAGCAATGCCATGCAATTAACTCCTGTGTAAGCAAGATTGATACTTGTTAAACTAGATCCACACAAACTGACAAGGTGTTTCACTGTATCAGTTGATAGTGAGCGACAGCCTGATATATCGACATTGGTAAGGCCAAAACCTGCATGAGGCATTTGGTGAGTAGGATCTGTGATCATTGCTTCTTTCTTAGAATTATGAATTGCAAAAGCAGCATCAGTAATGTTTTTACAACTGGAAAGGTTGAGGTGTTTTAAGCCTGGGCAGCACATCAAAGCCACCTAAAAAGGAAACAAGTTCAGTACATTATATGTGGACAGCATGGGAAGATAGGAGTAACATATAACAATACAATAACATTTAAATATTGTGAGTTTTAATTTTATTTGAATTTTGTACATTGTCTAAGATAAAAAGCACACTTATTAAACTCAGTCTCCACCAGAGTTCCCACACAGTACAATTTTTCAGTTGAATGAGGTATAACAGTAGTTTGGCAACCATGATTTGACATTAAAATCATATTGTTAAAGCAGAAAACTGGCTCAGTTTTCAGTAGGCTTTCACAATTGATGGTTGGTGATGCACGGCTCTTGATATTTGGTTACCATTGGACACAAGAAAGGTTGGCCATGCAAAAACCTATTACCAAACTTTTACCCCACCTAGCTCAACTGATAATCATAGTACACTACAAAGGGATTGGTGGAAATCAGTCGCTTCAGGAAGAAATCTCACAATCTTATTTCAAGCTGTCACTGTGTTATAGGTAGCATACTTACTCAGAAATAATTATCATGTCCAGGGTAATTTTAGATATGCTCATTAAAAATTACTTATTGACATCCTGCATGTGAACAGCAAAATTTGGGTCCTATTTTCCCATGTTTATAACTGAAATGCCGGTGATGTAAATAATGTTTATTTCAAATACGTTGATATGTGTGATAACTTATTAGTGCCTTGAATGCATACTTACCTGAACAATGTCATCAGAGACAAGTTCTGAATTTTCAAAAGATAGAGATACCAATTTTGTTGCTTTCTCTTTAATACAGCAAAACACGACTGGATGAAGGAGGTGGATACATTCAGTGAAATCAATTGCTTGAAGCTGGTGACATCTGCAAGGAAACGAGTATAACACAGTTTGCACTTGGATGCTAATTTTTCGATAATTAGGTAAATGAATCTGAATAATCAAGAGTTTAACTTCTTCAAATCCACATACTTAGCGATTGCTGTTTGAAGTCCGCTGCACGACAAACGATTACAGCCTCTCAGTTTTAATTGCTTCAGATGCGGAGGTGACAAGACAGATAAGAGTTCATCGGTGAGTTCACCAGGAAAATCTTCAAAGACCTGTGAAAGAATTTCGTCTCCAAAAATGCCTTGCCCAAAATTTCGAAGATACTCCAGCATTACGATGTGTTGCCGTGAAATATCACTACTGCAAACTAAGTATTTTATGATCGTTGCTTGAACAATGTATCGCAAGCTAGGCGGGTCCATGATCTTATTAAGACAGTTTGATTAACACTTTAAAATTATTAATGAAAACTTAGTTCGTCCGCCATATTGACCGATCTACCCATAACTCTTTGCAGGGATATAATGTTTACATACGCATGCGTTCACAATGTCTAACCGCCAATCGAATTTTGCGCGTCATTTTCCAAAGCAACCAGCGCTTGATTACTGCCGAACGCCACGAACGGTAGCGTAATAAAAAATACCGTAATTTTTTTTACAATTTAATCAAAAGCTCAACAGAAAGCGACGATGAGTCTTTCATTGAAGACGCCTGATTTCAGCAAAGGAAGAGGCTCTAAAGGCAAGCGGCGGGAGCTGGGCGAAGAACAAAAGCAAGAAATCAAAGAGGCGTTTGATTTATTTGATACGGATAAGGATCGTGCTATAGATTATCACGAACTGAAGGTAACTTAAGCTTTAAACATAAAATCATCTTTAGTATCCAACTCTTGACGTTTTTCTGAGCTTGTCAATCGTTATTTGTTGAAATCGGCAAAGTTTTATTAGGAGCAGTGCTTGCCTTGGATATTGGAAACTGATTACTTTTTTGTTCTGTAATGATTGTGTGACGATGTCTTTTCCACTAATTGACCTTTGCTTTAGAAATTATTCTTTGAGTATTGTTACAAGACAAAAAGTTAACCGTTGTTGTGAAACCATCCAAGACGAGTATAGTCTGAGCTGCTAAACCGTAATATACTCGTCGTTAAGGCCTACTAGGAAGAAAACGATTGATTTCTCGCCAAATTAAATGTACAGTCGAAACGATGTTAACGTGTTTGATGGTTAAAGTACAAAATATTTTAAAGTGCATTACGTGCATTGTCCGTTCACTTTCATCTCTAAATCAGCACTCAATTTCCTGTGCTTTATTAAACACAGCGCATCGAAATTATTTAGGCAAACAATTTCCGAAATTTTCTTGCATTTTCTAACAAGGGTACCTCTTAGGCGAACATTTCGACAGAGAGAGCCAATTTGACATTCAAACACATATTTTGAAATTACTTTTCGATTCTCGTACAGGATATCTATTTTCTTGGGAACGAAACTTGCGTGTCTCGTTATATTTTAAGAAAGGGATTCGTTGCCCGACATGTTAATTCTTATAATGCTAGAATTGTTTTGATAACTGTACAATCCCTCAAATTTGCGATGGTCATGCATCATAAGAGTAATTTACCATCATTTTTTTTTTATGTGCCTGAGTAGTTGTTCACAATTTTTAGTGTATTCTATCCCACAAATGTATGCGTAATACTGAGTCAGTAATTACCTTCAGTGTTTAATTGCATTCAGCCTGTCAAAGAATTCAATTGATGTTTTTGATTACTCGAGTGGCATTTTCAATCAGTCAGTCCCTTTTGTTTCTTTTGAAAGCGTGAAATCGTCGATAATTAGTGTGTCATTATTAGACCTCACAAAGACAGGAAGTTTTTTTTTTTGATGGTAATGGCTGGGGTAGAGTATCAGGTGTTTCAGGTCAGTGTTTTAGTGTCATATTTTAGATGAAATCAACCATGTTTTAGATAATCAAGGAAAGATGTATAAACTCAATCCTGACTGTTAAAGTGCTCTTGAAACATGTTGCTGGCTAAATTTGGCTTTCTTTGCTATTATGAAGTACTAGTGTGTTCTAGATTGCACTAACAAAGAAATAATGCTTGTAAATGCAATCTATTGATAGGTCTAACCTTGTGTAACTGAAATTAGATATAGTCTACTTTATTTTAGCCTTCCTTCATGAAAGTAGATTTTTGGTGTTTACTTAATATAATTATTTATTTTTTGTCTGTTTGAAATTTTTACTGGGATGATAAACTTGGGTTTTGGTTCTAAACAGACTTAATACACTTTGTGGTTGCATAGAGATAGCATTGTCCAAAGTCTGGGATATCTATGTTCAAACTCCAAAAAAATTATCACTGAGTAGAGTTTATTATTACCTTGTTTATATTTTTTGGGAGGGTATTTTGTGGTTGCAGAAGTCAATTTGTTTTGTTATGGCCAAAAACACACTGGAAGGATAACACTACAAACGATTTTCCGTACAGTGAGAAATCTTTACTACCACCACACAAATTAATTTTTTTAATGAATGACTGATTCATTGATTATTTTGATTATTGTTTAGGTTGCAATGAGAGCTCTTGGATTTGATGTGAAGAAAGCAGATGTTCTGAAAATCATGAAGGACTATGACAGAGAAGCTTCAGGCAAAATTACATTTGATGACTTCAATGAAGTCAGTAAGTAAACCCAAAATTAACAGTCATTTTAATAGTTAATTTATCATGTGATTCATATGGCCCATGTGAGCAATCTCCTAGAAAACCATTGTGAAAGTTGACATGCATATGACAGGACAGGTTTATGTGAGCTGGTCAAAGAAAAGCGGTCTGCTCTTGCACTTACACAGCTTCATTGCAAAAACTTAAAGGAACAAAGAAAAGAGTTAAAACACCATGTGTGCATTTTCAGTGAATTGTGAGTTTCTGGTTCCTTCTGGGAAAAAAAAGGGAAAAAAATGAAGAAAAGTTGTTAGATAACTGGGAATATATGAAAATCATATATGCAAAAAGTTTATAGTATAGAATCTCTTTGCAGTTGTCCCACATGTGCCCATCTATCACATCCTATTTAGGTTGAAACCAATTTCTTCTGAATTTTCAATGCTTTATAGTGGTCATATGATGAAATGTTTATTGTCTGAGTTTGGTTGGAAGAGATGGGAAAATATATGGCTCTTGGTCATGACCTTGAGTCAATTATTTCTGGTCAGCCCTCCCACTCAGTCGATAAGTGCATATTGCAATCAATGTGCAGTGTATGAAAACAGAATGGTAGTGATGATAATATTAATAATGAGTGTAATACTAACAATGGTTATACAATAAGAATTATTATATATTTGTGAAAATAGTGTACAGCTGGTATGATGCAGCATTTTGTCTCTGTCAAGAGAGTTAGCAGATACCTATCAAAAATTTCAAGCAAAGTTGTTTGGATTCATTGATCATTTCTAGTAGTGTAATTTGGTAATTTTGTTGAAAGTGACCTTGGTAATAGAAAAGGCTTTGTAAAATGTGAAAAGTGTAAGCTACTGAGAACTATCACTCAACAACAAAATACAGGGAATACCAATTGTTTCTTCTCCTAATTTTAGTGACAGATTGGATGCTGGATAGGGATCCACAGGAAGAAGTGTTCAAGGCATTCAGATTATTTGATGATGATGACAGTGGCAAAATTAGTCTCAGGAATCTGAGACGAGTAGCAAGAGAACTGGGAGAGAATATGACAGATGAGGAGCTTAGAGCTATGATTGATGAGTTCGATAAAGATGGAGATGGAGAAAGTGAGTGACTTTAAATTTGTCTATAATTATATTTGCCCCTTATTTATAACTTATATTCTAGTTGACCATATAGAACTTGTCAAGAGCATTACATGTTCCAATATGTATCAATCCTTTAACTTCCAGTGACACACCAAGACAGAATTTCTCCCTGCAAAATCAATACAATATCAAGCAGACATCAATTGAGAATTTAGAAACAAATATATGGATTAGGGGTTTATTAGTTGATCCAATAACAAATCATCTGTATTGACATGGTAAGAATTGTATAGCAGACAATAAATACTACTGAGATATTGGAAGTGGAAGTGTTAAGCCTTGTGTAATCATGTGTACCAAAACATTATGTGGCTTAATTCAATTGCACAAGTACATGTCATTGTATTTTTCTTTTCTTTGTTGGAATCCGCCCTAATGTTTTTATTTTGATTAGCAATGTGTGTAATTTCTCTCCATCTACAACCTTCCTGCTTCCTCTCTTATTTGTTTTCCTTCTTGTGTGTTTGTTTACTCAAACAAACTACTATACTGTAAATGGGGTTCTTTTCAAGTTATTGTTAAGTGTACCCATTTTGAAATGATTTTCCATTGAGATGCACTTCTGAGTTTCAGTCAGAGAAATGATGATTTTTCATGGGGCAAGAGCTAATTTCAAATTTTTTCTTTCTCTGAGGAACATTTTCTAGATCAGATCTGATTTGAATTAAAGAGGAAATATTTTAACTCTTACTTAATAGTCTGGTGGCATTAATGAGGAATATCAGTATCAGGTTGTAGAAATATAACCAAGAGCCAAGATCGTAGGGGTATTTGGCCCACCAGCTTTCACTGACCCCTGTTTTGGTTTCTGCATCAATCAGAAGGTTACAGATCTGTAGAAACAGTGAAATTCTCTAATGAATATCAGTCTTCCTCATCCATATTGTAAACTTGTAAAATTTTGTCAATCTCAAAGATATTTACAGGGTGTTTTCACAGTCTTAGCCACAGATTTTAAACTTGCTAGCTTTTAAAAATTAAAAGTTACATTGCTTATGACAGACCAAAAAATAACCCATTTCAATACTCATTTGCATAAAGACTATCTCCCCCATGATTAACATGTACAAAATAAAGCTATATTTAATTTGACTTTCACTTTTGTTTCTGCAGTAAATGAGGAAGAATTTCTGGCCATCATGACAGGAGATACATAAAGACAGGCACCTTTGGAAAAAAATATATACTTGTATATTTTGCTGGAAAATCTGTGAACATGCCCTTTAACAATAAGATATTTTTTTTACCAGGAATAAGCAGACATGTTGTAAATTGTACTTTCACTTAGCAATTTGTAAATTGTTTATGCTAATGGCAATGCATACCTATTTTTAATTTACTTACTTAAAAATCAAAGGAAAATTAGATTTGGGTTGATGTATCCCAAAATGTGGTGTCATCAAATGTTTTGAAGATGTGATCTTGGCTGATTCCAATACTGAACAGAATATATGAAAGTATTTAGCTTTTTTTTAATTGTATTATTTATTATGACAACGCCATTGTAGATATTTTATTACTTCTTAATAAAAAACTAAACTGTTTCAGTTAGTGACTTCTTCAGCGGAAAGTATTTACTACCCTGGTATGATGGTGGGAACAAAAAGACGAAAGGTTTGGGGAAATGATTTGGTTGCCTGTTCAAATGAAATAATAGCCAGGTGACGCAAATGCTGTTTCCCCTGAATAATCATTTCAGTCGAAGGAGAAGGATGATGATAAGTTAGAAAAATGCCAGCTCTTACGATGTTTGATTGATGTGAAACCAAATTCTCAGGGCTTAGGGTCGGCCGCGCTGTGTTCACTTTTTTGTTTTTACCAACCTTCTGGAGTCGGAAAAATCAGCGAAAACAAAATTGATGCGAGCTCCCCGCGGAAAAGGAGTGACTGTTCGTAGTCAAACATTTTGACGTCCACTGTGATTTAATTTTGAACACAGGGGTTTCAAAATGTTTTGAAGTAGGAAGTAGTTAGCAAAAGTTGGTGACTGAAAAGTTCATTAACTTAAAGGCCAACAGGTAATTAATTTGACCGGAGTAACCGGCTACATGTTATCAAGTAGCTGGAGGAACTCTGGCTGCTTGTTCTGAAACCCCTGTGGATAGACGCACGGTAACACGGAACCTGCTTCATATGATAAAAAGCAAATGGTTGTTAGCAGTTATGTCATTTGAACGTCTGACCTCCATCAGATCATAAGCAAGTATCAATCAAAATGTGTGTAACATTAAGCTTATGTAAAATCTGCTTGATTGTGACGTATTATATGCCCAACATTATTTGTTGTTTCTGATTGCTAAATGACGAATGTATATTAGGTTACAGGGGGATCGTGTCGTTTGATCGTTCGGGTGAGGGTAGTCCTGGGAACGACTGTCGTCGGCACTAGTTACTGACGTTTCAATTACTTTTGTGTTGGTCATCATCAGAGTCATAAAACCCGTCGATTTTTCCCTCTCATATGCCCGACTAACGATGGATAAGACCTTCAGGAAGACAATTATCCAGTTAAACACCAAGAAAGAGTGCATGCCTCTGAGAGGAGCTTCACCGTTTTCCTAGCTAATAGAGACCTTAAAACCAAAGTAGGTTGTTTCGAGGTCTGAACACTATAAATTTAGTTTTGGATATGTTTAAGGACAATTTATTTGAAGCAAACCAGTCTGAAAGAATATTAAGTCATGATTATGGAATTCATTATTGCTCAATAAGAGTGGGTCCTTGTTAGGAAAAAAATTAGTATCGGCAGCAAATAAAATAGATTTCAGTCAATATGCGTCACAAAGGTATTAACGTAGATGATGAGGAACAGAAGGTCAACAACAAAGCGTTGAGGGACACTACAGTGTATTACCCTGGGAATGGGTCTCTGAGGAAAGTAGCTCCATTCAAACGCCAAGCCTCGGATCCCATAGAGACGTAAATAGAATGCTGTGGTTTTCAGTATCAAATACTTTTGACAAGTCTACGAATACCCCCAACTGCATATTCCTTGCGGTCAGGGTCGGAAAAATTTTGTCGCACAAATCAGCAAGGGTTGGGAAGTTGATTGGTTTCACCTCAATCCGTACTGGTTATTATAGAGAACACTGAATTTATTCAGATATGACTGAATAGTACGATTGTCTAAAACCCTTTCTAAGAATTATAAATTTTTGAAGAACCAAGTAAGAACCGAGACAGGTTTATTGTTAGTGAATAGAGTTTGGTCTCTAGGTTTCAAAATAGAAACAATTCACACGAGGAATTTTCATTTCATTTGGAACAGCACCTTGCAGTGGAAGTGGTGCAGATATGTAGTAAATGCATTGTTTAACAATGGAAATAAAGATGTTTTCGTATCCAGCTCTACCAGATTTAAACGTGTTAATCAATAACTTGGTCATCAGTTTCTAAATTTAAGAAAATAGATCGAGGAAAGTTTCCAGAGAGACAGTGCATGTGTGAAGATGTGGGAGTCATCGCTCAAACGCCGATCAAAGGCAAGTTTGTGGGTTGGTAGGTGACTATAATTCGACTTAGAGCGGAGGACAGAGCACAACTACCGCCGCCATCTTGTTGACATAACCTTTCTTTCTCCTTGTCACTCCCTCGCATGAAATATCAAGACGACAAGAAAGGTGCCTTATTAGCAGGTCATTTATTGTCAAATAAATACTATTAAGAAAGTAATGATTAGTAACACTCATTACACCAAATTTTGCTGCCTAATGGTTTTCCAATAGAATATCCCAAAGTTACAACGAGGGTCCAAAATAAACTTTTCCGCCGCTATTTTCCATTACATCCCGCCATCCCCCTGCAATAAACATTTTCATCCCGATTCCGCCTGGTCAAACTCAAATTACTCTAGTTTACCGCTAACTGATGGAAAATTATAGTGAGTACATTAATCATTGCTAAGAGAGATATTCCAAGAACCGCCGATAACATCCTACAGAAAGGGGCGTTCACGCAGACGTCCTCGTGAGAGCAAAATTATAATGAAGGAGAGAAAACTGGGCATACTGTGGAGTCGTGTGTACACTTGTAACTAATACAAAGAAAACTGGATGTACTAGAAAGTCATTTGAGTCTGTTAACCCCAATTTACACGGGAGCATTAATTAAGCCCGTTTCTAAAGCAAATAAATACTTTCTAATGTCTCCGAGGTCGTGTGAGTCGTAACTTGAGCCAAATCATAATTCCGCGTGAATCCGCCCTCTCCCCTATCCCGCCTCCAAAACGGAGCATACCTTGGTTCTCGTCTTTAAAATTCCTCGTATCCCACATCCAGCCTCGATTTTAAGCCTCATCCCGCATTCCGCCAAACCTATGCTGGACCCTCTACAATGTCTGAACAGTGCGAGCAAAGAAAGAATAAAAAACAAAACACTCGTAACTCATAATACATTTTATTTAGTTTTTCATTCATCAACAGCTTTCGAAGACTAAACGAAGGCACGCCAATCATTGGTTCTTGGGCTCAATTGCATAAATCAGTGGTGCAGCAGGTGATCTGGCACTCAGTGAATCTCTGTTCGTGGCATAACGAAGATGTGCCGTTGCATTTCCCCCTGGGAACACAGCCTTTTAGATATAAATCAAACCTCTTCTTCCCATGAAGTTTGGCGCATGCGTCCTGATAGGGTTGACATTTCTGCACTCTCTGTGTTTTCTTACATCTATCCCAACTGTGGGTATCGAAACATCCGTAACACTTGAGGCCATATCCTGACAAAAATGATCAACCAATACAGTAGGTGGATGGAATAAAATCTGGCATATTTGGCAAAATAAATAGATGTTTTAATAAATAAATAATAGATCGTGAAATATGGTCTTAAAAGAGGAACAGATAACTAAGTAAACAAATCATTAATAATAGTAATAGGACCAAGTGGAGACCGATTCGGTCTGATCTGTAATCATAGTGATTACAACATCGGACGACCGCGAAGCTGGAGTCAGATTTGTCAATTTATTTCGAGCATGATTTCAGACAGAATTGGACAACACGAAGTCCCTGTTATCAATTAGTCATAACAATTACAATTTCCGGAAAAAAAACAAACAAACACATTTATTTGAGAAAATATCTCAAATTATCTTGGTTAACTCGAACCCTCCAGTAACTAGAACACCATACGATTTGCCTTGACCCATTTTTGAAGTCATTCAGTATCAGCTAACTCAAACTTCTGTTTCCCTTGGGAGTTCGAGCTAGAGAGGTCAGCTAATAATACGATAGTATGACTCATTTATGTAGCGCATATACGGAGGGTCTATGCGCTTTACAATTTTATCATATGATAAACAACCAGTGCGATTGATTTGTCGGAGCAGTGTTAGATCACAGAACTAGCACGAGCGTCTGAAAAACATGACATGTTCGAATTTCTTGCGTCAAACACAGACGCCTGGTTATTAAAACAAAGTTTAGCTGCTTTTAAACAAAACCACGTCCTTCTAAACAGTCCTTGATTTAGCTAAAACTTTATCTGAATATTTACTTTTGTGAACAGAGTCAAGAGGGTGGAAAGGTAACAGTAGAACCGTCCCACAATGTTTCTAGAACTACTTGTAAATCGACATACAAAATAAAGATAAATTATAATGTGGATGCTGACTGAGTTGAGCCCTGATTTTTATTGCTCCGTGCAGTAGTAGCTTGACGGGAAAAGCTCGTGACCACTCTTTGACTGCACCAGGCGACAATGATATAAAAGAGTATTTATTTTTCGCTTTAAGAGTTAAGGAAAGTGCGATGTTTGAAACTTACCAACAGAGATGCAGAGAGCAAAAATGAGAAACAACTTGATTGATTTCATCTCAAAGGCTTTGTCTGTTGTAGACGGATTGACTGTTTCAGAACACTGTCTGTATCGTAAAGCGGCTGAGATGACGGCTGGAGAAGCTTTAACCAGTTCATTTGATAGCAAATAATGAAGAATGGCTTTTCTTACCGCTGTCAATTCTAGCCAATTAGCAACTTTCCGTAAAAATTTCACAGTTCTTTAACCAATCGGAACGAGCCAAAACATCCCACGATGGAACTTGAGAAATTCTTCTTTCCTCGGAAATTGTAATACTCGTGATGAACTAGTAAAACTCGTGCCTGAACTCGTGATAAAGAAATCGGACGACCGTGCAGCGGGAGTCCGATTTTGTTATCACTCGTATGAGTACAGACCGAATTGAACTCCTCTCAGTCCTGTTGCCGTTATATATCTTTCAAACGAAGATGTAAGGTTCGTTTCCCACGGGGAATGGCAGGGTGACCGCTTTTAAGCGGTTTTGACCTTTGGCTACAGGTTTCACAGAATACGGGTCAAACGCGATAAGAAACGCTTTTTCAGTACAATCTTCAAGGCGACAAATTCTCATGTAAATCTGTAGACATCAGCTACAGAACAATTCCACGAACACTACATCGAGAGGATGACTACGGCCGCTATATAGAGGTAAAAATTTCAATTAATAGGGAGAAAAAATTCCGGGACTTTGACAACCGATCGACCGCTTATATTTATGTGGGGTGATCGCTTAGTACAGGATCGCTTAATACAACATGACTGCATGCACTCATTTTTTTTTTCTTAGAGAGCAGGGGTGGAGCAAGAAAAGTAACAGGAGGAGGATATGATAAAACTTTACTTTTGAAATCCTAGTATGCATGCATAGTTGTATCTTTCGTGCAGTCGAATCCTCATCCTTTCGTTTCATTTGGAAGAGCACCTTGCAATGAAAGTGGTGCGGATATGTAGTAAATGCACTTTTAACAGTGGAAATATAGATGCTATCATATCCAGCAGCTTTACATGATTAAGCTTGCTGGCCGTATCAAAGAATTGGTCATCAGTTTCTAAATTTAAGAAAATAGATCAAGGAAAGTTTCCAGAGAGACAGGGCATGCGTGAAGATGTGAGTCATTGCTCAAGCGCCGATCAGAGGCTAGGCAAATGCAAGTTTCTGGGTTGGTAAATGACCATAATTCAACTTAAAGCGGAGGACAGAGCACAACTGCCACCGCCATCTTTTTAACATAACCTTTATTTCTTTCCCTAGCTCAAAACTTACAGTTTCTCTTATTTCTATCTACAGACATTACGCTACCGACATTGCTGATCCAAGCAGTAAGCAGGACGCGCGTCATATGAACTTCGTAATAGACTTCGCGCACCGTGGAGTCTCTGTGGCTCAGTGGTAGAGCATCGGGGCTCGGGATCCGAAGGTCTGAGGTTCGATTCCTCATGGGAAATTTTTTCCTTTATCCCGCGCTCGTGACAAAACAAAAAAACATCTTTCTTTAACCTTTCTTTCTCTTTGTTAACCCCTCGCGTGAAATATCAAGACGACAAATAGAGTGCCAGGTTAGCAGATAGTTTATTGTCAAAAAATCTTAATAATTTTTGAAAACTCAACGCGCTTTAAGAAATTAATGAATAGTAACACTCGTTAAACCAAATTTTGCTGCCTAATAGTTTTCTCAAAGTTACAATGAGGGTCCAAAATAAACTTTTCCAATCCTGCATTCCGCCGTCATTTTTCATTACATCCCACCATCCCGCTGCAATGAACATTTCATCCCGATTCTGCCTGGTCAAACTCAAATTGCTCCAGTTTATCGCCAACTGATGGAAAAGTTACAGCGTTTACAATAATAATGATGTACTCTTATTAGGGAGAAAACCATTGCTAAGAGAGATATTCCAAGAACCGCCGATAATATCCTACAGAAAGGGATGTTCACGCAGACGTCCTCGTGAGAGCAAAATTATAATAAAGGAGAGAAAACTGGGCATACTGTGGAGACATTTGGGTCTGTTAACCCCAATTTACAAGGGAGCATTAATTAAGCCCGTTTCTAAAGCAAATGAATACCTTCTAATGTTTCCGAGGTTGTGTGAGTCGTAACTTGAGCTAAATCATGATTCCGCGTGTACCTGCCCTCTCCCCTATTCCGCCTCTAAAACTGAGTATATCTTAGTCTCGTCTTTAAAATTTTTCGCATCCCACATCGCGCCTCGATTTTAACCTCTACAATGTCTGAACAGTGCGAGCGAAGAAAGAATAAAAAACAAAACACTCATTTGGTGTAATTAGTTGCTTCTTTAAGGGTCGCGCTTAAAATCCATTTTATTTAGTGTTCATTCATCAACAGCTTTCGAAGACTAAACGAAGACACGCCAATCATTGGTTCTTGGGCTCAATTGCATAAATTAGTGGTGCAGCAGGTGATCTGGCACTCGGTGAATCTCATTTTGTGGCAGAAGGAAGTTGTGCCATTGCATTGCCTACTGGAAGCACAAGCTTTTGCATATCTATCCGACTTTATCTTCGCATGAACTTTGGCACACGAATCCTGATAGGGTCGACATTTCTGCACTCTCTGTGTTTTCTTACATTCACTCCAACCCCCGGAAGAGAAACATTGGTAACATATGAGGCCATATCCTGTCAAAAACAATCAAACAATACAGAAGTTGGATGGAGTAAAAACCTGGCACATTTGGCAAAATAAATAAATGTTTTAATAAATGAATAATAGATCGTGAAATGTGGTCTTAAAAGAGGAACAGATAACTAAGTAAACAAATCATTAATAATGATAATAGGACCAAGTGGAGACCGATTCGGTCTGATCTGTAATCATAGTGATTACAACATCGGACGACCGCGACGCTGGAGTCAGATTTATTATTGTGAGCATGATTACACACAGAATTGGACAACACGAAGTCCTGTTACTAGTCATTAGTCATAACAATTACAATTTCCGAAAAAAAACATTTCTTTGAGAGAATATCTCAAATTATCTTAGTTAACTCGAACCCTCCAGTAATTAGAACCATACGATTTGCCTTGACCCACTCGAACTGCAGTTTCCCTTAGGAGTTCGGGTTAGGGGGGGTCATATGATAAACAACTAATGAGATTGGCTTGACAGAGCAGTGTTGGATCACAGAACTAGCACGAGCGTCTGAAAAACATGGTATGTGCGATCATCCTCTGTCAAACACAGATCTCTGATTATTTACACAAAAATTAGCTACTGTTAAACAAAACCACGTCCTTCTAAACAGTCCTTAATTTAGCTGAAACTTTATCTGAATATTTACTTTTGTGAACAGAGTCAAGAGGGTGGAAAGGTAATAGTAGAACCGTCCCAAAATGTTTCTAGAACTACTTGTAAATCGACATACAAAATAAAGATAAATTATAATGTGGATGCTGACTGAGTTGAGCCCTGATTTTTATTGCTTCGTGCAGTAGTAGCTTGACGGGAAAAGCTCGTGACCACTCTTTGACTGCACCAGGCGACAATGATATAAAAGAGTATTTATTTTTCGCTTTAAGAGTTAAGGAAAGTGCGATGTTTGAAACTTACCAACAGAGATGCAGAGAGCAAAAATGAGAAACAACTTGATTGATTTCATCTCAAAGGCTTTGTCTGTTGTAGACGGATTGACTGTTTCAGAACACTGTCTGTATCGTAAAGCGGCTGAGATGACGGCTGGAGAAGCTTTAACCAGTTCATTTGATAGCAAATAATGAAGAATGGCTTTTATTACCACTGTCAATTCTAGCCAATCAGCAACTTTCCAATGAAAAGTTCATAGTTTTTTAACCAATCGGAACGAGCCAAAAAACCCCACGATGGAACTTGAGAAATTCTTCTTTCCTCGGAAATTATAATACTCGTGATGAACTAGTAAAACTCGTGCTTGAACTCGTGATAAAAAAATCGTGATAAACAAATCGTGATAAACAAATCGGACTCCCGCTGCACGGTCGTCCGATTTTGTTATCACTCGTATGATTTCAGACCGAATTGAAATCCACTCAGTCCTGTTGTCGTTACATATCTTCCAAACGAAGATGTAAGGTTTGTTTCCCACGGGGAAAATAGTTAGTAATTTTATTTGAATGATTCTTATTTGAGTGACCGTTCTGAATAAAGGTGAAGACAAAAATAATAAATAGGCTGTTGGGATTCCTTCAAGGATGACCACGGCCGCTAAATAGAGGTGAAAATTTCAATTACTAGGGGGAAAAAATTCCGGGACTTTGACAACCGATCGACTGCTTATATTTATGTGGGGTTATCGCTTAGTACAGGATCGCTTAATAGAACATGGCTGCATGAACTCAGTTTTTTTCTTAGAGAGCAGGGGTGGAGCAGGTAAAATAACAGGAGGAGGATATAAAAACTTAAATTTTGGAATCCTAGAATGCATACACAGCTGCAACTTTCGCGATTTCGAATCCTCGATTTACCTCATAGAGATGGATTTTTAATTTAATTTGTGTCGGCTCGGTTAGGGCCTGTTTACATGGAGGTGGGGGACCCTAGGTAGGTGACGTAACCCGCCTAGCCGTGGTCGAAAAATAAAACGCGTTTATATACGATCTTACAACCCCGAGGTGCTGGGGTGAGGTTTCTTGAGGTTGTTGTTGCGCTTGTAATTAGGAAGTTTGAGCATAGGCGCCCAAAGCTAACGTCTCGAAAGAGACGAAAGAAATTCTCGAACACGTATGTATTTAATCATGAAAGCATCACGCGTTGTGTCACCCAGTGTTAGGTTACGCGAGGAACCGCTGACTTAACGTCATCAGGAATAGTTTGAAGTATGGTCGATTTACAACGCTAAATATTCCGAAATGTGAAAACTTTACACTCCTTGTATTTCCGTTTCGTTTTCTGGTGATTTCTGCCATGAGATGGCTAGGAAATGTACAAAGTTTTAAAACATACGTGTTTCGCTTTTGAGCTTTTTGCTATGAAAGTGACCCGGCTAGGCGGGTTACCCCACCTTGAGACGTTTACATGGCAAATTGTCACCCCGGCTGACAGGGTTACCCTCCCTGGGGGACTGGGCAACCTGCAAAGGCGGGCCAGCCCACCAATCATGTAAACGTGATCAAGATAAAACAAGAAATTATGTGGACATGCAGATTACTCCACCTACACGGGTTACCTCACCTACCTGGGGTCTCCCACCTTGACATGAAGGTGTTCGGAAATATTGCCCGCTTTAACCTTTTACGTACAATCTTACTACCCCGGGATGCCGGGGTGAAGTTTATCGCACTTGTAATTAATCACGGCAACGTGTGGTAAAATGTCGCTGAAAAAGGTAATTTATTTTCTTCTACGATTTTCGCCAATAGTTCGATGAGTTCACCTATTCTGATGATACGACGTCTTCACTTCGGCATAATATGTGAAAGTGTTGAGTTCAAAGTGAAAACGTGACTATACATCGCCGTCGAGGTTTCATTGCTAAGAGGACGTGTACATTGATGTTTTTAACGTTTTAACTCTACATGGGATGCCTAGGAAATGTACAAAGTTTTAACACATGTAAAACACCTGTTTCGCGATTGTTTTGCTCATTTGATTTTTTTGTCTACGCGGATTACCCCACCTTGAGACGTTTACATGGCAAATTGTCACCCCGGCTGATAAGGTTACCCTACCCAACAGACCGGGAAACCTGACTAGGCGGGTCATCCCACCTATCATGCAAACGTGATCAAGATAAAATAAGAGATAAAATGGACAGGCGGGTTACCCCACCTAGGCGGGTTACCTGACCTACCTGGGGTCCCCCACCTTCATGTAAACAGGCAATCAGGCTATGTCTACACTAGCGGATAGCTCTCGGGCCAGCATGAAACCGTATCGGATAGGGCTTTTGTTCACACATAAAACGCTGATTTCGGGGTGGTTTCCGTAACGGAGCGAAACTGCACTAGAGCGAGGATTGGAACCCACTGAAACGGAAGTAAATATTCAGGAGTTAGGGTTGGAAGTTAAGGCAAAGATCGCGTTCTTACTTTGCTCAGGGCGTTTCTCTAGATTTGTACTGCCAGATTTATTCGATTAAACGCCGCCCTCGAATAAACGCCGCATTTTAGAGCAAAAATATTAATAAACTCCGCCCTCGAATAAACGCCGCAGCGTGATGCGGCGTTTATTCGAATAATAGGCTCAAAAAGCACACAGCGATCATTGCTTCGATCGCAGTTGGAAATTTTAAGTGAACCAAGGACAAATTGATTTGAATGTACCTGTTCTAATGCCGAGAGAGCATATCCAACATTAGATCTTTATTCACTTTATGTATTGCAGTAGTATTAACATGCAAATTGTGAAATTGAGGACAACATAAGAAATGACTTTTTAATCAAGCATTAAAACATGTTTCTATTTTCTAAAATTTAAATGGTCAGTTACCTTACTATTGTTTGCAAGAAGTCAATTGGATTTTAAATAAACGCCGCCCTCGAATAAACGCCACACTCGAATCACGAGAGATTTAATAAACGCCGCGGCGGTATCTCAAGCGCTTCTCTGGATTTTCAGCTCTGTGTTATGAGTTCAACGGCTTTAAATCAATGGAAAAGAACAGCTTTTATTGATGTTGAAAGAAATGAGGACTGGAGAGAATCAACAGAAGGAGGTTTTGGCGGGAAAGACTATTTTGGATCAGGCCTGGACGATGCATTGAATGATGGGACAACTTTGTTACTGGAAGAGTCACTTGAGACGAATGGAAAAATAATTTCCGTATGAATCACAAGACGTTTATGAAATTAACTGAAGAACTTAGGCCTAGGATCCAAGGATAAGCTTTTAGGATGTGAATACCTTTATCGGTAGAAAAACATTAGAAAAATATTATCTTACAGATGAAGGGTGTATGCGAAGGGTGGCCAATGCGTTTGGCATTGGTAAATCATTTGTTTCAAACGGTTGTGAGACGTATCACCCAGTCTATTTCTTATCTCCTCGGTCCTCTGTACATCAAACATCCTCAGAAAATACAATTGCAAGAATGTCAGAAATGGCAAGGCAGTTCGAGGAACGGCATGGATTTTCCCAATGCATTGAAGCGATCGAAGGCACGCACATTGGGATCAAAAAACCTCTTGAAAATGCTGCAAATTACTTTGAGAGAAAGGAAACTTACACTATGAGCATCCAGGCTTGTGCAGATTTCAAGTATTGTTTCTTTGATGTGGTCATTAGATGGCCAGGAAGCGTGAATGATGCAGGCGTATTTTCAAATTCTGCCTAAAGAAAATCTGACGGATGGCTCTATCCCTCTATATTACAAGGTTATCGTGGATGGAGAGAGTCCAGTTGCAATATGTATTTTAGGAGACCCAGCCTATCCCTTGCTACCTTTCGTTATGAAAGAGTTTGCCAACAACAGCACTTTTTTGGTTTCAAAATTTTATCTGCAATGTGCTTTGGGGAGGTTGAAGGGTCGTTTATGGCTGTCTCAAGAGGGATATGGACAGAGATATCAAGTATTTGCCGGACGTTGTCCATGTTTTTTTTTAGCTTGCATAATTAATGTTACTGCGAGACAAACAATGATGTAATTTCCAAGTTTAAGGTAAAAGAAGCAATAAGATTTGATCTGGAATTATAGCCAATTTTTTAAACATCTTATGGTGTAACTAACAATGAATCTGAAGGGGAAAAAATGCGTCTAATAATTGTGAAATACTTTGAATGAAGGTCAGACATGGCTTGATGCTACTCTGGTTTATAGATTTAATGAATGTAACCGAGAAGTTACAATTCGTTTCGACACTCATATCTAGTGCCTTCGTCAGGGCTGATCTAATCGCCGTAACAGAGGTCCTTTTATATGCTCACTAATTGGCTGCCCCTTTCCGGGGTTGATAAGCTAGGCTTTCAATCAAAGGCGCAGGTGTCACCGTCGATTAGTGGTGATAATTTTAGACTTATCCCACCCAATTGTATGGTTAGTTAGGCATTTGTGCTCCTACAAAGCTGAATTTCTTTTCTGCAAAAGAAGACCGCTTTTTGATGCTCTTCCAAACCTGTACCAAACTGACGTTTGGTCTATCCGATATACTCGTGATCACAGTCATTGCACGGAATAGAATAAGTAGCGTCGGTTCGTTGCTCTTCCGTGACAGGATCCTTAGGTTTGGCAAAAATATGCCCTTAAGTTTGAAAAGGTTTTTGAGCAACTTTAACGTTGTAGCCATTCAAAATTCTCTTGATGGGTTTCGTAACACCCTGAATGTAAGGAATAACAACAAAACCAGTCGCCGGTTCCTTCTCATCAGGATTGTTACTAGTTGTCACTTGTTTCTGGCAGTTACGGGGAAATGTTCTGGTATAGTTATTTACCTTTAGGACGTCCGAAACATATTTTTTCTCCTCAGCCTTCGAGTACAGTTGAGTAAAGTTTAGCTACTGACTTTTTTATGGCAAATAGGGTGGTGAGAGTCAAAAGGGAGGTATTTGTCGGCGTGGGTAGGTTTACGATAAATACTTGTCTCTAAATTTCCCTGTTCCGCTCTGCACACATTTAAATCAAGGAGGGGCAAGTGTCTATCCTTTTCACGCTCAAGGGTGAGCTGGATAGACGGCACTACTGAATTCAAATGCGAAAAGAGGCATTCCGCTAAAATAACATCATCTACATATCGTTTCCGGAAAAAAGGGTTTAACCGGTGAAGAGGCTTAAGCCCTTTGTTCTATGTCTTCCATAAACATATTGGCAATGACAGCAGACGTGGAACAAAGGACTTTAGCCACTTCAATGGTTAAACTGTTGTTGTGGAAACGATATGTCGATAATGTTATTTCGGCGGTATCCGGAAATGAAAAGAAAAACCAGCACGGACCATGAGCTTGTATCCCATAGCATTCCGCACAGGAGGCCGAAATCTCAAACGCGATGGAATCACATTGTTTTCTTTGCAACTGTGATTGGAATACAAATGACAGCGACACTTAGCAATACAGACTCTAATGTTCGCAAGCCTGTCGACCCTTGTAACAACAGTTTGACCATATTTTTCTCGTACATAAATGTAGGAACGCACCGGAAAATTTCAAAACGGTTACACGAACCGTGCAATTTATTTGTAACCAGTGATTTCTGAAACATGATTAAATTAAATTACACTACAGCCAACTACCCACAACAATAATTACGATCACAAAGCGAAACACCAAACGGCAAAAGACAACGCAAAACGGGCCTGACAGTTTGGATAGAAGAAGTACACGAGATGCAGCAAAGAAACGACCATAGCACGACAAACTGCATAACATTACCGTTCTTTTCGCGCGAAAATTTCAATGCATGTATACGGACGCGAGGGGACTGAAGCCTGATTTGCAGATAAACCGCTGGCCCTTAAATTTGTTATAACAATAAGTACAACTTACATCGAAGAAGACCAAGTTCATCGTCCGTTCGCTAAAGCTCGTTGGAAGCCGCCATATTGAAAATGCGCGAAAATAAACCGCCGTACTTAGTAAAAAGCATTTACATTACGAAACCCTCTTCGGCCAACCGCTCTGGTACGATCTGTCGGACTGTGCAAACAACTTGTTTATGTTCTCAGCCGTTTCTGTTCGTTCCAGGCAGAATTTTTCTTCACGTTGACATGATAAGCTGTCCGGTAGAGAGTAAAAATAGCCTCGGTCGCTATCATACTTACTATGAAAAAACAAACGGGAAAACAAGAACAATGTTAAGGAATTACAGGGAATGTTACTCAATATGATGGTGGCAAATAGAATAGATTTACTTGAAGTGGCAATCTTAGAGGATTTCAACTAATTTTGCAAGGTACACTAAGACGAGGGTGACTAGGGGTTCCTATAGTTCATCCCAAAATAAATACCATACGCGTGAAGTTTTCAGACAGGAAAGGTAAAGTGAAATTCGAAGTATCACCTTTTAAACTCGTAAACAACTGTTTTCAGTAGGGTAATTTAGTGTTATCAACTGAGTTGAGTGCGTAAATTGGCCACCGTTAAGAGTTTAGAGCGCCAGCCCTTCGTCAGAGCGATATGCATACTGCTTAAAGTACGTACGTGAAATAGGATCAGGACACGCCCTCCTCCCCCTTGCTACTTTCGTAGAGAAGATTGGTTATTCTATACTAAAAACTGAGAAGCACTACGCAAAATAACTCTTTTATTTCCCTTTTAAATCAAGCCATTACCATGTCATCTAACACTTGAGAGGATTCATTTCAAACTCTGACTATCAATTGTGTGTATATCCATTTGCAATCATTCATTAATTTAGATTTTATCAACAGTATTCTAAATCACATTTCGCTTCCAGTCCCTTCGTTAATTCTAACCGTGTGCTTTGTTTCTATGGAATCATCGTAGATCGTTGGACTAAGATGGTCGTTGAAGAAAGCAAAACTTCATTAAATATAAAAATAACAACAAAATACAAAAATAATAAGTTCTTTGAATCTAAGCCATGAAAATGTTAACAAAAATATATTTAAAAAAAATACAAAAAAGTTATTTTTCGAAAATCGTACAAAACAGTTACGAATATAACGGAACCCGTACACACAGATACTTAAAAAAAGCGTCAGTTCGTTAATTTGTTGTTTTCACCACTAAAAAACAGGGTGAGGGTTAAGTCGTGCACAGAGAAACTAAACACTTGCCGAAAATAAAGCCTCACGACGAGAAAATGCCTACTGATTCTGACTTGCCGGGCATATATTATTGTTAAACCAAACATCAAAACTAATCTTTATAACTAACGACGTAGATTTGTCATAACTTCTCCTATAAATATAGAACAGCTTACAACAGACAGACTCAACTAAACAATGACCAAGTATCGTATACTACTTTCTATACTTTGACTGATAAACGACGAAACCGAGGACTTATCAACTGAGGGAAATGCTTCCAATTTAAACATTTGACAGTGTGAAAACCTTTTCCAACTGCAACTAGTTAGTTTTATACAATGTTATAAGATATTCTTGGAACTGTCATTTTTTCTTGAGTTAATCATCCTCCTCCGGCCTGTACTTCGCCTGTCGTATTTGACTCAGTTTATTTCTCGCCGCTGCCAGTTCTTTTTCGATGCGCAGGATCTTCTCCTGAGCTTCCAGCTCCTGCGCAATTCCACCAACAAACCGCTGATTAATAACAACCGTAGTCTCTTGTTCTTCAAAGATAGCTGCACTCTTAGCCGCGGTTACCAAGTTGTCTGCTGCTCTCTTGACGGCATTGCCGGCAATCTGTAACGATACACCATTACTAAAGCTTACTGAAGGATTATAGCCGAAAATGTTTTTTTTTTTATGAAAGTTGATCGTCTCTTTTCTTTTTGTCCAGCAAGGTAACTTTTTGCATTTAGAGATCCTAGCTTCCTGGGCACTCCGACCAAGTTTGTGTAGCCGACTGTCCTCAAAATACCCATCACTTACCTGAAGTCTCCTCTGTGTGTCACTATTGGAGTCAGCTTTCACTCTACATGCTAACAGCAGCTGGGCAGTGGAATTCGACACTTGTTTAGCTCCTGCTATTAGCCTTTCCTCGCTTGCGTTACCCTGGACGGCCGCGTTAGCTGCGTCACACAATGTTGTCGTTGCTGCTGCCACCATACGCGCCTGGAATTGACAATTTAGATATTTAGACTGGTCATGTCATGCAAAAACTAACGCGGCGCGAAAATGTCATTTTTCAATTGAAAACGCAAGTAATAAAGGGCTCTCTGTAATTTTAAATTACCAACGTAGTGTGCTTGGGAAGTTTGTTGGTACGAGAAAAGATTTAGTGAGAGAAGCATTAAGTCTGAGATTTTGCTGGAGGTGACTTAGGCGGTGGGGGGAAGACTTAACTCTGCAAAAAGAGAATAATTGTATTGTTCAAGAGCCGCTTCTCAATTATCATAACCTTGCGCATACGCATACCTGTATTTGTCGGTTTTAAGTATTCAGTGGACTTTTATTTCTACAAACGCTGATTAGAAAAACAACATACAGAAAGAATTTATGAGATCTCCAGAGTTTGACTTACCGCTGACACAAGCCCTTGTGACCATTGTCCATCCTCATTAGGATCTGTGGACGCTGAACACACCTGAATAACGAGCAAAAAGAGGTCAGATGTTGGCAAATTGACGGGAAAAGCAGATTTGGAACTGAGTAGAAAGCGAACCTTGTTCGATTTGATTAAGGATCTCACAATTTCTCTCACTTCCAGAATACACATATGCATACGAGCAAGCGCACAACTCAATACGCCAGAAGGTTTGCTCCCGGAGTATGTTCCAGGGTTACTATGCAAGACCAATGCAAACATTGGAGTATAATGTGCAAACTTGTTCCATGTCACAATACAAACCAAGGATCAAACAACACTAAGCTATCTGTAAGAGAAACTTACCCTGCCACTCGCCACCAGTTCCCTTTGGGCCGCTGAAGCAGACTTCACCAGTGCCACAGTGGCAGCTGTTATTGCCTTTGCAGCTTCCAGAATTTGTTCTTCGAAGTTGAGCGACTCGTCAGCTTCCTAAAAATAGCAACACCACCATAACATAACGCTTAACAAATGTCGATGTAAACTGAGTCCAACGTAGGAGAATTTCATCCAAAGTTCTTAAAACATTTTTTGTAAAGACTCTTCCAAACCATTTTGTTCCAGACAATTTTTTAATTAAAGAGGATGAGTTTCTAAAGAAACTGTGGTGCTGCGTCGGCGGGAGAGTATAACAGGTAATTTAGTGTTAACAACTGAGTTGAAAACGTAAATTAGCCACCTAGAGAGTTTAAAGGCTGTCGTTTCGAGCGTTAGCCCTTCGTCAGAGCGATTGGAGGAATTGTGGGTTGTGTGTGGGGGTTTATATCCAGAAAATGGAGCTACGTTATTGGTGGGAATATATTAACGAGAAAAGAAGAATAGGCTAGTTGAATGAAAAGCGCTCGTTGATACCGTGGGGATTAAGAGTTCCGATTTGAAAGATAAATTTTCGTTCAAGTGTTTTGCGGCTTTCCGAACTGCCTAGATGTGAGGAAAGGCCGCAAACTGCCATATGCTGTTTAGAATGATTAGAGAGATTAAAGTGTCTAGCGACTGGTTTGGATGCGTCCTTGTCATCTCTTTCTACGTCGTGAAGGTGTTCTCGTGAAGATCCGTTCTCTTAACAGATCCGAGCCTATGAGTAAAACCACGTGATAAATGTAATTGTCAACAGTTTACCTCAAAAATCAAATTTCTCCAAACGCGCTCATAAAAGATTTGGCCAAGGTAGTTTAGTTACCACATTACATGAGCTGCCTTACACAAAGATTTCACCAGGGGAAAAACTCAAAACTTAGTCAAATTTTCAAGACTTTCATCTTTTTAAGGTCTAAAACACTAGTTTTCTATTAGTAAAATCTTTAAAATATTCAAGACCCTGTAGGAAATATATTCATGTGACTTTACCTTAGGACGTGGTTTGGGTTTGAGTTCAGCAAGTTTCCTTGCTGCTGCTTCGATCGCAGCAGCGGCGCCAAGCAGCTCGTTCTCAGCAATGACATTAGGATCTTCAGGGTTCACCCAGTCAGAACCTGAGAGGAAAAAAACAGGGCCATATTACATCGCATGATGTGAAATGAACTTCGCTTGATTTTAAAACTACATCCCCATGCGTACAGCAGACGAGAATTTCCTTGCCCAATTATTGTAGAAACAACCGAAGCTTTTCCCGTTTTGCACAGTTATATCTGACTGTCACAGACATCCTTCCTCCAATAAATGATCTAAACGTGTAAAACTTTAAGTGAGAAATGTCACAGCTTGTCGTGTAGGCCTCTCATTTTTGGAGTTTAGAGGTGAGGATAACGTTGACAACAAGAAAATTCCCTGACTACTAGAAACGCTGTTGACACATAGAGGAGGGCGGTTCTTTCTGTGGAAAGCGATTTCCAGAAAACCCGAGCCGAATTTTGCGTAGCGAAAGGACTTACCTTTCAGTGCTTCGGCCGATTTGACAAGTTTGGCGACTTGATCAGCGACAATCTTAGACTGTGGCGTAAGTTTCACCTTCTTATCTTGGGACGGTTTCTGAACAATCTGTATGGTAAGCAATGCAATAATGCTTTTAGACAATGGCCGATACTGCGAAATCTTTCTGATAGCACAATCGAGACAACAACGGATGGGATGCATAATCAAAATAAAAGATAGTATTTTCCCTCATTTCTGAGGCCTAGTCCAGCTTGGTAGTAATCAGAGAGGGCGTAACTTAAATGTAACCTCCAATGTAAGCCCACGGAAAACTATGCGAGTTCTTTCTTTACACATACAGACTTTTTCAAAATATCGCTTGTGGTGGATCAGAGTGTTTCGCAGAAAAGGAAACAACAAAGCCGCTTAAAAAGAACTAACACTGATTTAAGAGACACTCTCGTGGTCAGCACATTTTGTGTTTGGCCTGTAGACAAACGACCAAGCGTAAAACTCAACATTGTTCAGCAATTCTTACATTATGCACGAGATCAAGCAGCTCCCCAAATGAATTGCCACATTCCATTCCACTCCGAAGGGCCTGGGATCTGGCGTCGTTACTTTCTGCCTTGTTGGCGGCACCCTAGGAGAGGGAAAAAAAGCACTTGTCAATCAACTCATGGACGTTTACTCCGCATGTTTGAATTGTGAGGTTCCTTAGTATCTAAATTTCTAACAAAAAATGATCAAAAAGCTCATCTGTTCCTCCAAGCAGGCGCAGAACACAAGCAGGTAACCTATTTCTGATATTATCACTTCTCCCTCTTTCTTGTTCTGCTATTTCAGGTAATAACCGTCTAGTCTCCAACTCCTAAGTTGGGATTTTTTGAGCTGATTTCAAGTGTGGTCTTGGCACCAACAGAAAAAAAAATTTATTTTAACTCGAATCGATCTTTCTGCTAATAATCATTTTAATCATGCATATCCCTTCGCGTGTATTCACCTGATAGATTAAATCAATATTAAAACGTAACACAAAATGTGTGGAACATTAAGACTTAGAGAACTATGAAATTAATAAAACAGGGAAGGACTACAAGATGTTAGCAATTTTATGAAAATCTTCCCACCTTACAAATAATTAACATTTCTGTCACTGCTTTGCGGCCCATGTTAGCAGCTGTCATGATGTCATCTTGCTGACAAGAATTCCCAGCAGCCACCGCTTTGGCTGTTGCTAAGGTGACGTGTTTTGTACTCCTTATAAGGTCTTCGGGTGTAGCATCCCGAACAGGCATCGACGGATTTTGTACTACCTAGAAAGGAAAAAATAACGACGGGAAAAATATAATTTCTCTCAACCACCCTTTCCTGCATGATCACGACAAAAGGTCACATATTTGTTTGACAAAGTTTCCAAAGCTGAGAAAATACTTACGCTTTGGACTGATGAGAGATTTCCTGGTAACGAACCATGACCGTGGAAAGTAGATGTAGGATTAAAGTCTGAGTTGCGCGAATGAGGGATGGCTTGATGTTAACAGACATTTCAACTACATGTACTTACCAGCACGGCCTGCTTGACAGCATCTATGGTTGACTCCAAGGCTCTGGTACCTCGTAATGCTTTATCCTCCACACTCTTTACCGTTTTCAGCAGCGAGGACACATTAGCTACCATAGTCTGATATGAAAACCAGATAAAGCCACTGATCAGAAACACAGTTAACAGTGTTTAAAGCCTTTGACGTTGGGCAACTAGACTTACTGAAGAAACTGGGACCAAACTCCAGAATATTTAAACGTGCAAATTGGCGCCACACTGACTTGTCAAAAAGCTGTCAAATGCAGTATTCACAGCAAATATTGACCTATTTTCGCACATGCAGCGAAGATGGATTGATAGTTCAGTAAAATACCGCAACCAATGGTTTTAGGCAGAAATCGAGGCATATCAAGGCTCCTACACAAATAAATAAAGGGGGTAAGTTTCTAAAGAAACTGTGGTGCTGCGTCGGTGGAAGAGTATAACAGGTAACTTAGTGTTAACAACTGGGTTGAAAACGTTAATTGGCCACCGTAAAGAGTTTAAAGGTAGACGTTTCGAACGTTAGCCTTTCGTCGCTCTGACTCTGACGGAACACTAAATGAGCTGTTAAGGTTGATAGGCAGTTTAGTTTGCAGTGTTGTTACATACCTTTCCTGTTGTCTTGAGCACTTCAGTGGATGGGTCGCTGACAGGTTTCCCGGATGCATTCTTGGTAGCGTTAATCAGAGCTCCAAGGGCAGACGCCACGTCTTTAGCAGCATTAAGCAACATTTGCTGCACAAAAAGACAAAAAACAGCGCAATTTCAACATTATGTCACTCATTTTAGACCTTTAAAGGAACTAGTAATAGCATTTCTACGCCTTTAACCAGTTACACCCTAACATCAGTATGCACATTCTCCATACTGTTCTCCATACATTCTCTAGGATGCTGAAAAGGAGAATTTGTTTAACAATCAACAGTATCTGTAGTGAGTGAGAATTTCCTTTACGCGCATGACCTTAATGTTTCATTTAGGTTTGACATTAAGGAGAAACTAGATGCTGGCCAGTCTCCTTAGGGGTCAAGAGATTCATTGACAACAAGTAGAAAATAGACGAATCTTTAAAGATGCGAACGGAGATTTTGAAATCTGTTTTTAAACTAATAAAGAGAATCTATCATTGATCCGCACACATTAAGACATTTTACCTGTGCATCACTATCATCCGGTCCGAGCGCCAGAGCTCCGAGCTTCACATTATCTGCTAAATTGGAAACTGAGCCGACCGCAGCCTCGGCAGCTGAGGCTAGGACATCTTGGGAGGCCTGTGCCGCAGACACAAGATTCTTAGTGTCTTCCACTAAAGTCTTGGCTGTTCGAAGGATAGCTTCCCTACAGAAAGAAAACACCACAACTGGATGATTACGTTTTCAGCTCTGGCAAAGGAACGTAAAATCTCTAGCAATAACGAAGAAAACTGCCCTCATATAATGTGACTGAGATGTAGCATTGAAAAAAAACACTACGTGTAATATTCGGAAAAGTTGTCTTGGTTCAACGAAAGTTTGAAAAGTGAAAGTCAACTTTCTTTGACCAACAATGTTTGCGGAGAAAGAGAGACGGATGATCCCGAAAAAAAGAAAAAAAAAACTATCCCTAGTTATAATTTATTTTCAACTTAAAAGGGCAGCTATCATTCAAGCTAACTGCGGTCTTTAGTATTTAAGGACGCACAAACACATCTCAGGCGGTAATTCATCCTTCGTGTGACCTTAAGCCTGGCATGAACTCATCCCAATTTACATCCAAGGTCACTCTACCCAGCTCTTGGTAGCACGTTTGTTTACAATCATAACAAACCTGTGATCTCCAAAAGTGTCCCCTTCAGTCTCAGGGTGCAGTGTACCAGTCGAAGCAAACATCACAGTAGTATCCAGGTCACCCACTATTCCCTGAACAGCACTTGCCGCATTAATGCAGGCCTGGGTACCACGCGAGCCTTGCTGAAGGGCTGCTAAGAGATGAGAAACCTAAAACATAATAAAGGACGGAAATTTTACAAAAAGATGCTGGTACATCACAATACTACAAATAAAAGTCCTAGCCCATAGCCGTAAGATCACGATAATATCTCAACTTTCTCTGCTCTCTGATAAAAATACGATGCAAATGTTGTACATCAATCCAGTCATACCTTCTCTGCGACATGTCTGCAGTTGTCAGCGAGTTCTTTCTTTGAAAATGGATCCTTTGGTCTACTCTGGACAGCTCCACCGCTCTGAATCAAACTGATACAAGCCTCTCCTAGACCCTGGACACCAGTGCGAATGCGGTGCGCGATCTGAAAGGAAAAAATGAAGACACATCAAACTAACATAGGAGCAGATAACTTCAACCTTGGAATGCTGTATGCCAGTAGGTGCAGGTATTTGGTTTTTCCTTGGTTACAGCGTAACTTAAAATGTTGGTGAACTCGGTAAAAGAGCATCAGTTGTTTCCTACCTCAGGGTTCCCGACTGTTTTGACAGCTCCTTTGGCGTCTTTTGCGATGTCATTGTACATTTTACTAATGTCTTTACCAAGAGGACCAAGTTTGGTCGGATCTGTGGTCGATTTACCAACCTAAAACAAAACAAGTCCACCACATGTCAATTGGAAATTTCTACTGAACGAGGACAAATGGCCTGCCACAATTACTGTATGGAATTCTCAATTCAAAGAATACAACGGAATATTTTGAAACCGTTGTGAAGTAATTCAAATAAATTGCGCCGCAGACTTACAAATTAAGGTTAGTCAGTCATTTTGACGAGAATCGAAAGACCTTCTCTTATATTTGATGGTTTGGACGAAGTATTTTAAAATAATCACCTATACCAAAAAATTCATGAATTATAATCGTGTTGATGCGATTTCCTTACCAAGGCTTAATGAAACTCACTCCTGATTACCACCCTTCAAATAAACTTTGTGAGAATAAATTCACCAAGTGAAAAGTCAGTTGCCTCTCACTCACTCACCATATCATGAGCTTTCTTGGTCAGTTCCTTCATGCCGCGGGTCATCTTCTCTTGATAATTGACAAATGGTTCATCGATACCTTCAAATCCATCTGCTCGACCGTTAACCAAGGGTTGATCAATCTAACAAAATAATTATTCCAAAATGGTTTTCGGCTGTTAAATATAATAACAATTAAAATGTACTGTGCCAAGTGAATCTGCCCTGAAAGAACAAAGATTCTCAGCGCGAATACGGGCAGTTTTTTTCCAACCCATCCTTTAACTTCACATTTATAACACGTTCGTAAAGAGTTTACTGATGAGCATCTCACCTCAGCTAGTGCTTTTCCGATACTGTCAATCAAACCGGACACAACACCGGTTTCACTGGCGGCTTCTTCAAGAGTTTGTCCCAGGTCCCGTACGGCTTCCTTCATTCCCTGAGCTGCTTCGTCAATATCTGGATGAGCATGAACAGCCTGTAAAATTTTACACAGTTTGTTTCAGCTTTCAATTCAAGTCAGTATTAACAAAAGAAACAAGCCTCTGCCAGGCTCTCCTTCTTGGAGACGAGCGAAAACGCGGGCGCGCAACAAATGCTGAGGGATCATGGGAGCGTTGCGCAGCCGTTTCCTTGACAACCACAACCGCTGTTTGTCGTTCGCCCGCTCTATCGCTCTGGCTCACAATCCTTCTCCTCACCAAGGAGTATAATTTGAATGGAACACTTGACTACATGCTGGAGTTGGGGAGGTGAACCAGTTATGAACCCAAGACACCGCTAGCATCCCCCTTAAAAGGTGGCTATGCTCCAAGCCCCTTCAAAATAATACAAAGCCCGAGACAGGTTCAGGTAGTGATGGACCACTTAGCCGTAAGATTCAATCTTCAAACGTACTTCCCACACACAATAGTACAAGCTTTTAACCTTTGGATTTCCTCCGCCTTCTTTAGTGGCGTACATGAGTTGTGCTGCCGACTCCGCCACAGTCTTGGCCTGATCTAACAAGTCAACCTTGCGTTGAACATCTGCGGTACGTGAAGCTGCGCCTACAGCCAGGTCGGCCAGCGGAGCAATAAAACTCGACATCTGAGCTACCTGTTGGGGAAAAAAATCGGGAACATAGACATAACTACCTGTTGGCTCTTTCTGGATTTCAAAATTCAGTCTAAAACAGAGAATACACAGATAATTAATCTTGTGGTATGATATGGTTATTTCACGCAAGCAAACCACAAACCACAACCTCCCCACCCCCCCCCCCCGGAAAAAGAAAAAGAAATCATATTAAAGCAAACATACATCTTTTTCTTCTCGTCATTTTGGTCACAGTCCAGTGGAAATTATAAACAAAAAACTACTACAAAACTGGTACGTACCCTGTGCCCAATCTTCTCTGGTTCGGACTTCGCTGCCGCTGCTAATGGATCGATAACATCAGTCATCTGACTCAAGTTTTGCATCATTTGTTCTTGGAAACCCTGATAAGAAATCGAGGAACTGTTTGGACTAAAGTTCATGGCATAAGGAACAAAATTAGTGGCAGGCTTCTGAGATCTTTCAGCGAGATGGCGGAGAGTGAGAGAAATCGATGCTGGAGGTAAATGTTGCAGTGAGAAAGAACAGGAAAGAGGGGAAAAGGGAGAGAATGGACGGGTTGAAGCCAAAGCCACCGTCGCCTCCATGTAAATACCATTTGTTGGCTAGCCTAGGAAAGGACAAAGAGGAGCGAGCGAACAACAGACCCGCAAACTATCGGTCGTATACCAGTTCTCAGCTGTGAGGAACTAAGCGCAAACCAGTCAATTTTTCTTTTGTAAATAGCACTGCTCCAGCCCACTGCCAGAATCACGAGTTGTTTCAATATTTCAAAGACTCACTGAGACGATAGGTCTTTTTAAGTAGCTTTGCTATTTTACCTGTAAAGTGTTTTCAGGTCTCGGTTCCAGCTGCTGACTAATGGCAGCCAATGATGCTTGATCCAGTTGATTTATGGTGTAGTTAATTTGTTCTAACGCTTCATCGCATTCTCTTTGACCAGGGGCATTGTCTCTGCAACAAAAAAAAATATTCATGTGAATTAAAGAATAGCAGAAGTAATAATATCAAAGTCAAGTGTATGACAACACGTCCAGGTTGTCAGCCACTGACTACGGCGAAAACCCATTTCAAGAGAATGCTCACCTTGGTGAACGAAACCCCAAACCAAAGTTATCAAAACAGCCAATCAGATGAAAGGGAAACATCCAGAGGAGCCAATGAAGACTCAGCTTCAAACAAAAAGTTTGAGTCGCACAACAACGCGAGTAAAAAGATATAGCGAAATAGAGTGAAACCAAACAACCTTGACTCACTGTGGACACTCAGTTGCTAAATCGCTCTGTACGAAAACTTTTCGATACAAACTCACTTGATCGCAGTAATTAGTCTCCTCATAGCATCAGACACAGCTTTAGCTTGCTGGGCGAGTTGTTGCCAGCCTGTCTGATCTTTAGAGTTCACAGCAAGAGCTTTGGCAACATTGAAATAATTTGAACTTGAAGTGGCCATGGATTTGCCGGACATGATCAGCGGAACCTGAGCTGAACGGGCCTGAAAAAGGGATGCACTCGATCATAAATGACAGGAAAGTTCACAAGCTGCTTTGCATCTACCACAAACCGATTTTTCTGAGAGCGCGATTCCATTTCGAAAAAACACACCAAAGTAGGTGCAAAGGAAAACGTCAGTGTCAAACTGTATTGCATTAGTGGCTTCAAATGTTTTAGCTAAGAGCGAGACGGTAAGGCTATTCAAAGAGGAGAGCAGCCGGGAACCTTAAACTACTCTTACGATCTACCTCAGCCAGAATGTCAGTGTTACTGCTCTTACATTATAACTTGCGTAGTGAAAAATCAGTTAACATTGGTTCTCACCTCCGCACTGATTTTAGCGGGTACTGCAGCAAATTCTGGGGACAGCGCGTACGCTGTTAGACTCTCTACGCTGTTTATCAGCGGTTTAGTCGAGGCTGCGCATGCTTCCCTGTTATTATCGGACATGTCACTCGCAAACACCTGAAACAAAAAACGACTGCGTTACATTCCCTTTCACAGTTTGTGACAGGAAATATATGTTCTTGTTCAATCTGAAGAGTTAGAGGCTAAATACACGCACAAACCTTAATATTCTTAACCAAGTTTGCTGTATTGTTGGCCACATCTTTGGCTGACTGCACAAACTGCCTCTTGGCTGCAGGGTTGTTGGTTTTCGCAGAGGCTGCTTTACACGCATTGCACAAGGCAGACGTGTGCTTGGCGACTGATGTAGCAGCTCCGAGGACCTGTAAACAGCAGAAAAAATAAGCTTTCTTCGCAAGGAGGTCAAACGGGAAAATTTTTCCGAGAATAGATGATCGGTTGGTTAACAAACCAGGCAGCCAATTCAATGTCTTGAACCCCTAATTGATTAATTCCATTGTGAGTCGAGATGTCCTGAATTGTCTTTTTTTTGCCGAAACAAAAGCAACTTCTCCTTCTAGTTTAAAATGTTAAGTACATAACAAAGAGGATACGAAGTGTCGCTGAATGATACAATGTGCTCTTAGGGATATTTACTAATCGCTGTAACTTTCCACTCTATGAAGCTTGCTATTACCTGCTGTTGACTGGCGTCTGGGTTGAGCAGACTCTGACATGCGTCTACAATCTCTTGTTTTGAGTTCATAAACTGCGCCTGGTCTATTAAACCTGGTCTTCCTGCCACACTTGATGGATCAGCAACTGCCACAAGGTATGCAGCCTGAAATTTGAGACGCACCAACAATTACAGAATATTATACTGTTTTGCTTAACAGGATCACTTACAACGTTCTAATTTCTTCACTGCTGGCATCTTTGAGTTCGGGTGCAGTTTGGTAATGGCCCTTACTCAGCATTCCTATGCAATTTCGTCGCGATTGTTTTCAAGCGTTCCCTACTGATACTGAGTTTTAAGTCTTTAGGAATAAAATTAATTCTAAGAAACCAGCTTTCACGCAATTAAAATCACTAAAGCATGAGAACGTGCAGGTGAGATTTCTCCAATTAACGCAGGTGATACACCAACATAACATTATTTCGTCTTTAGAAAAATAACGAAAAAATTTTACCGCTATTTGCATTGGTTCTGGAGTTTTTTTACAACCTACCTGTGCGGCAGACTCTGTCAACGCACATACAGCACCGGAGGCGTTTTTAACGCCATCATCAAACTCATTGAAATCACCAGACCTGACACTGTTGGAAATCCTTGGCATCGCTTCTGTTAGATCCTGCAGAAAAACGACAGTGCAGCAAATTGACAAATTGATACAGTTTGGTGGAACCTCATCGAACAGAGAACACAGCCATTATCTGGGCATTTGAAGTTCATTATCATTACACTAATAATCCGTGTCAACCTTCTCCAAAGTTAACCTTTGTAATTTCGCTTTGCTTTCTTTGAACTTCTTCCTTGTTGATTGTTGACTTACTCCTAAAAATTATCACATTGAGGAAGTTCCTTCTGTTTAAAACAAATCTTTAAGATTAAAATCTTGAAAAGCTGAGCGAGTCTTACCTGGGATTTGCGAGTTACTTTATCGAGACAGTCAAAGAATGTGTCGTTGTTGACTGGTTCAACTGGATTATCCAGGATGTTACTAACTGCCTGTAAAACAAAATGAGCAATACCGAGCTAGTTACCAAATAAAAAAACATTCGAACAAACAAATCAAAAGATGCTGTGTATAATTACAGTCAGGGAAACATTTGGTAGTGTGGGAAAGTGTGAAAAAACATCCTCTGGTTAATCAGAATAATCGCCACGACCATAACGCACTGTCGCAAATTTGAAATTCAATTGGACCCTAAACTATCAGGCATATCTCTCAAACAGTTCAGACGCCATGCTAAATAAGGATTGTAGAACATTTATTAGTAGTCGCTTTCCGTATTCTTCAGATAAAATGCTATTCGTCAACTTAATTAAGGCAAGCAGCCCGCGAGCCTCAAATAAACACCATTATTTAAACTTTTCTGAGCTAGTCGCACCTGGATATTTCTCAAGGCATTGTCGCATTCCTTTTGCCCAGGAGCGGCAGACATACAAGCATTGAGCAGCATGTTAATACTATCAGTAACAGCCCTGTTAACAAAAAAGAATCACCAGCTTTTAAACGGTCCAAACTAATAAGTTCGCGTCCCCTCAAGAGCACTTTTCTTAATAACCATCACGAAACCTCACAACGAATGGAAGAATGGTAATGCACCTACGGGTAATTCGGAATGGGCTTGTTACAATACAAAACTGTTGGACACGGAGGCCACATTCTCGCGGACAACAAGGTTGCGAAATGTAAAGAAAGAGTTAAAAATATAAACTACATGTATCTTTTATGATTTGTAACATCGTTTTAAAAAACAAACTGATAACAGGGCTAATGGATTCCATGTTACTAACCTTGCAGCATTAGCGAGCGAGTTCTTAGCATTAGGTGCATTCGGATCGGAAACCAATGATTTGGCAGCCAAAAGGAGTTTACTGGACGCAGTTGATGTGTTCTTCAAGTTACGCACCAAGGAATCCTTGGCTGCTTCATCCTGAAAAAAATATGCATCAGGTTCTAACACAACCAATTTCAAATCAAAGTACTTCTAAGTACGGTATACGGCCAAAATGTGTCCCAAAAATCCCATTTTGAATAAATTCCGAGTAAACTTGTGTTCAGTACCAATTAAGTTTCATGTTGTTTGGGGTGGTCACTATTCAAATTCCGCATTTTCGTGAAAGGTTAAATTGTTTCCGCAAAATTTGCATGGATGTTGTTTCTTTCGCTTCCTCGGAAATTTTGCGCGGAAAATTAATCCACTTCTGCATTCTACACGCCGGCCGCCTTGTGGATCAAAATACCTTGGCCTGTCCAGCTAGCTTTAGTCCACTGTCCAGCAAGTCTTGGTAGGACAGTGAAAACTTCTTAGTGGATACAGCCAGTTGGTTGGAGGTTCCACGCGAGGCTGACACCATGTCACTGGCTGCGGCATTCAGCGCTGCCCCTCTCATGCTGAGCTTCTCTTGAACAACTTGGTAACCTTCAGAGGTGGATGGGAACTAAACCATCAAACAAATAATAAAGTCAAAAAAGAACAGAACAAAAGTAATACAATACAACATAATTATATGTTACTGAAGTTTGTTGCTGTTGCTGTTTCTGTTTAATTCATTACGGTAAGCCAAGTAATAAAATTATTCGTCCATCTTTTCCACAAAATTGAAAAACAAAAAAAAAATAGCCGCATCTGCCTATATGGGCCTACTTGATCAAAGGGCGTATAACGCAATCTAACATATCAATCGCTATCCTGCGGATCAGTGTCATCAAAAAGTACTTCGCTATCCACCAAATAGAGATTAATCCAGTGGAAAGCATCATCCGTTCTTCGAACAACCGAGGCAAGAACTTAAACTCCATTGATTCAACCCTTATTTTGTGGGAGTTTCTCAGTAGAAGAGAATGAGACGGAACTATCCATTATGACGCCAGCCATCACCGTGTTATAACTCCTACTTAAAGCAGAAGAAGGTTAAGAAGATAAAGACATAGGCAAGAGGAATTAAGGGGGGGAGCCGAGCCAAACACGGCTGTTAACTAAACGATGGCGAGCTTAAAACTTCACGAGAGAGCTACACTGTTCGCTATTCCAATTCTGGATAGTGTTTCTGATAGTCACTCATTAGAAATGCCTAAATACAGTGCATTTATTTAAAAAAAATAAATACATAAAAAATAAAAAATTGACAAGGTTTTTAAAGTAAAATGGATTGAATACTAAAGATAAGATTTATCTTACATCTCCTATGGCTAAGCTCTGACTGGAGTTAACCACGGCTTTTATTGCTTCATCAACATCTCGTTGACCCGGTAGGTAGTTCACACAGTTGTTTAGTGCGCTCGATACATCTTTAGCAGCCTACAGAAATAAGTACATTGTCTTAACAACTAAAACTGTGGTCGTGCATGAGTAAGCTTGAAGTACATTAAAATTGTGCTTGAAAGCAAAAACAGAAAACTTGCAAACCTATCCTCGACGCAAGGGTTTCCTCCATGTTCCAAGTCATCACATGGGCTATAATGCAGCTTAATAGCTGTGACAAATATATTGGTGTGCGCTCTTCCCAGTGATCGCGACAACAATAATTTATTTAAAAAAAAACATTAAAAAAGGCTAGGGACATAAAAATTGGACCAGCCTAACAGCAGTTGCGTTTGAACATACATTCACAGTGAAGCTTATGGACACAGGAAAATGTTCGATGATTGCCTTAACCTCAAGTCGTGACCTACACAAAACCTAGGAACCTATGTTCGTACATTGCTGTGACTCTTACCTGTGCCAGCCTTGGCTGGTTATTAGGATCTCCTGGGTTGTTCACGGCACTTTTTGCTTCTTGGATTAATTTTGCCGACTCAGCAACAACAGCCTGCGTTGCTTTGATCAAGTTCATCTGCAGGGCTCTTTCGTCAGCTGTTGCTGCCACTCCCCTAGCTGCTGCAGTCAGCACACGCAGGGCGCTAGCTGTGTCCCTCGCTGCGATACCAGTGTAACTTTCATTGCCCTGACAATGAATGTTGAAAAAGCTAAGTCACCGTCTCCTCGCCTTGCATATTTCAACGTCACTATTTCAACTTACCACTTGCATCCCACGTTCATCCTCAAAAATTGTTCCTTCTCATTTATGAAACAACAGAGAGACTGAACCAGCTACGATTGGTAACAAGTCCATCTTTTATGACACGAGCAAATTTACAGCAATTTCATAAAATTAAAACAATTAACTGGGATAATAACCCAGGAAAAAAAAAGAAAGAACGAAAGACGTATAAACGATCTTCAACCACACAATCGAACAACATACACAAACAAGTGACTACAGAGCGATTTATCAACTTTGTTGGGAAAGTTTAGGGCTACACATGCATGGTCATATCTTCATTAGTTTAATTTAGTTCTTTCTTCATGTCAAAAGTTACCTGAGAGGCAGCGGTTAGAAGTTGTGCCATTGATGAGCCAACAGACTTTGATGTTGCACCAAGTTCAAGACCACAAGACTCTGCCTAAAAGTAAAAAATAAAACATAACGTTTGTTGAGTTTCTGACGGCTCAGATTTCAACCGCAAGTCTGTTCTGATCACAACACGTCTCCCGAGACAACGTACAGTATCTCCTGGCAGTGGGAGCAATTTTCCTTCCTCAGCGCTCTTCTCATATGCCTCCAAATCACGTCCAAGAGAACTAACTGCATCCAAAGCACTGTCAATCTCCAGTGTTCCACAGGCTTCAGCAGCCTACAACATGTAGTAAACGGGCATTAGAAAAAACCGTGATAAAAACAAGCGAGACTTGAACGGAAAGGATGCGTAATACAACGAACAAACAAGTAAAGAGAACGACAGCACGACTGACGGAGAAAATAGGGAAGGAGGAAAAGCCACAAAGACACCAACTGCGTCCTAGACTGAATTGTATTGGCCATTTGCAAGCTTTGTTCTTTTATAAAATTTGAAAGTGTGAATGCTTTCTTTAGGTTTTCTTTCTTTTTTGGCAATTTTTGTTTCATAGCGCGATATTGCATATATCTCAAAATTGCATCAAACAAAAAAGAGGGAGGAAAATAGTTTAAATTAAGTTTACTTTTAGTTTAAAAGTAGTTTAAATTAAGTAAACAGGAGAGTTATGGGTGGAAAGAGAAATCTCTTTGAAATGATTTTGAAATCTCTCTGAAATTATATCGCATACCTTATCCGCAGCATCTCTCAAGTCTCCAAGTGAAGATGCAGTTGACTTGGCAAAGTTTGCGAGCTGTGTGGCTGTGATCGGATCTCCGATGGTCGGTAGAGCAGCTTTAGAGTTTGCCACAAGTTTGGATGTGGGCTGTAAAATATAAAGACATAGTTTAGGGTCTCAAGTGTTGGGAGATCCACTCTCATACTGGACTGACAAGGAAAATTTGATTAACAGTCAAGAGCTTCTATAGTTGGTGATCATTTCCTTAATTCTCATGACCTTGATGTTTAATTCAGACGTAATACTGTGAGGAGAAATTCTATGCTGATCGCCCTTAGGGTTAACGAGTTAATGAACTCACGCACACTTGAAGACAGAGACAACCTAATTTTATCTTTCATAAGTTTCAGCGAACGGTTGTACGTTCCTTTTTTTTTTTTTTTTAAAGTTGATTTTTCTAGGTCAATGTTTGCTTTTACTTACCTGCATGAACTCCTTTGAGGCGTTTATTAACGCAAGTTGGGGGGCGGCAAGATCAGGATTTCTTGATGTGTCTCTTAGAGCTTCTACCAGTTGGTTAATGTGTTCCTCTACTGGCTGAAAAAGGAAATCATCGAGTAAAAATTACTTTATAATAATTTTTAATGAAATGAGCTTCATTTGACCTGCAGGTAAAAATAGAATAAAGATATGATCCTCGCAGGTGAGTAGCAATTCAAGAAATAGTAGAAAAGAAGCTGGGAAAAATTCAGGCTTCGACGGGAAACGAACTTGTGCCTCCCAGATATTAGTAACGCCTAACTGAGGTAACTCAAGTAACTCAACTATTAGAAAACCGTCCATTTTGGCTTTTTTGTTTGCTTAACAGAGGTAAATGCGGCAAATAAAGGTAGGACAATTAGGAAGGGTTTGCTCAGTGCAGGTTGTCTGCTGAATAAAGGGTTCACTTCAGCAGGTTTACTTTATTTCAGTTCTGACTTACCTTGCATTGGTCATTCAGTTGCTGTTGTGACGCTTGATTTCGATTCGAAGGACCTGCGCTGCGGGCTGCAGCGATCAGCTGAGTAGCTTGGCCAGCTGCTTCCTTAGCTGCTGTCTGATAAAGAAAAACAAGAGGCGAACTTTTAATCCATCGAAATACAAGTAGCACCATGCAATGTGTCCAGAGACCACCAAACGTTGAATCAAGACAGACTTATTGGAGTGGTTGAAGTTTTTTTTTTCTCAAATGTGAAAAATGAACAACTACATATTTTTTAAAGAGAAACAGCAGTAAAATCCTCGAAATCGCAGCGAAATCGCAGCGAAATCGAATTTGATTTTCAGTAACTAGAAGAGGCCAATTGCTACTACAATACAATATAATAGTTAATCACATTCCCCTGGTGGGATTTTTGGTGGCAGTGCGAGACAACTAAACTAATTAAGTTGAAAGAAGTGGTTTACGACTCAATTCAAAGCTAAGAGTTCACTTAAGCCTCTGAATAGCATGTGATTTGATTTTTTCCTCTAATCTTTTTTCTTTTTTTTTTTTAATTAAGACATGGTACTCACCTCAAGTCTCTTGACCAGCTTTTTCTTCAAAGCATCGCTGGCCGCAGCATTCGTTGCTGATCTCAAATCTTCTGCAGCCTGTTTTAGTTTCTGCTGTTGATCCGCTGCATTTGGGTTTCTTGCTGCTCCCTGTTTAAACCACACAAATGAAAGTTCATTCATCTCACCCAGAACTTATCTATGGTAAATAACCACATGAAAGAGCACGTTTTAGTGTCTAGATGCCAGCGCACCTTAGCTGCTTCCACGAGCTTTGCCGTAGCATCGGCCAACACTTTGGCAGCCGCTAAAAGTCGCTTCTGAGCATCTGAGTCATCTTGAGTTTCAGCTTCCGCTTTAATTCCAGTCACCAACGAAGAAGATGCCTGAGTGAGAAACAAGAGGATAAAAAGTTAATAGCTGGTTTACTACGCGACTTAACTATAATATATTTCATAGTCAAGACACTTTGTAAATACAAATAGGGTAAAAAAAATACGATGTAAATTCCTACCTGCGCTAAAATCTTTGCCTGTTTGACCATCTCCCCAGCATTACCCATGCTGTTAAACAGCCTGTCAGTGGCTCCAAGAATATCATCACAAGCAGCGTCATACTGCCCGGCCTGCTGGGCTTCCCAGCTTCCATCTCGCACCTTCTGCAGCAGACTATTCATGGCATCTCGAACAGCCTGGGCAGCCGCCAGGAGCTCCTTCAGCAGATCAGAATCTTCAGGGGCCGCTTCCTGAGACCAGAAAACATTGAGAAATTTCTTATAATTTGAAAGCGTGACCGCTCCCATAAATAAAAAAGTAACTTGGCAACAAATCAATTACGTTATAAATACTTAATTCAATGTCTAAGAATTACAATACCATAACAAAGAGCCAAAATATGCACCTATGAGAAGAAGTAATGCTACACTTACATGTAACTGCAAAATATTTACTGCCAGTCCTACCTGCGGGAAACATCTGGTTTCACATTTACCACAGTTTCATACACTTAACCTACTGACCTCCTCTTCCACCCTCCCCCCCCCCCAAAAAAAAAAATTACTAATACAACTCTCTAAGATAGCAACCCACCAGGGTAATACTCGTCCCAAATCCTTGATATGAGAAGACGGTTTAAAACAAAGGTTACAGGATCACTCTCACAGTTTAAACAAAATTTAGCAATTCGCATGAAGAGGTTTTTCATGCCCCACTTTCAAGTTTGATTGGAATTTGGTTTGTTGGACTTTGTAAGCAGGAAAACGATAACCAACAGAAAACCGGATACCCTGCAGGGTATTCTCAGAGTTACAGTACACAAGACCCACCAAACCAACTCAACCCATGAGCAAAGCTAATTCTGGTAATCAACCTCATGACTGCATCTTCCAAGAAGTTTTATCTCACCTTACAAGCTCCCTCAGTATCATCAACAGCAGTAGCAACAAGTTTTGCAGCTTCCACAACTTGTTCTTGACACATGTGACTACTGATAGATGGAACGACCACCTTAACACAGGCCACCAACTGGGCTGTTGTCCTGGCTGTCTCCTTGGCAGCAGTGATTACTTTGCCTTGAGCCCCTGTATCATTGGATTGACTTGCAACATTCTTAGCTTTAAGCACCAGAGCTGCTGTTGCATTAGCTACAGCTTGGGCCAAAGCAAGCAACATCTCCTTTGTTAGAAAATAATAATATTATCAATAATAATAATAATAACAATATTAATGACATAATTTTTGGGTAGCAGTAGTTTAAAGGGGAGATGAGACCTGTCCTACAAGGCCAAGGGATCATATATAGCTGCAGATGGTAGCTGTGTTTATTTACTTATAACACTATTACAACATACATTTCCCATACAATAAACAACAATAAACATTTTCTCCTCTGAATCTTGTTGCTGACATAACCTTTTTTAATTTTCAAATCACCCTTAGGGATCACATCATGTCTGAGGGGTTCTGATTAGTACAACCAGACTTTTTCTTGACACACAAAACATGTTATAGATAAATAATTAAATATTACATAAAAATAATAAGAAAAAGAGGGAGACACATTTGATCAAACATTCAATTTTGTCAGACTACTGATGATTAAAAGTCAAAGTCTTTGCACCAAAAAAATTCTGGAATCTCATGTGGTGTCTTAATTCTGTGTTCATTCCACATGTACAGCCAGCTTGTGCATTTTTCTGTGTCGTATCATTATTTATGTATGTGTAAGATGTCCTTACTTGAGTTTGTTGATCTACATCAGGTTCACCCATGTACTGCAGAAGAGTTGCTCCTGATGAGCCCACATTACCAGCTGCTGACAACAGCTTGCCTCTGGACTGAAGAAGAAAATCCCCATTAGTGGTAAGATCTCACTAACATAAAATATATATATTTTAAAAAACAATGTCTTCCATGCTTAAAAAGAAAGGCATGTCCAACAATACTTCAATGTTAAAAGAAAGAAAGTCAAATTCTTTAAAATCAAATAAATAAAAGGAGCAAGTTTCTCAAGAAACTGTGATGCTGGTGGGTGAGTATAACAATACATTAATAAGGTTTTCTCAACTCAGTTGACATTTACCAATTATCTACTTTGAAACCAACCTCACTATCGGCTCCACCCCCTTCCTGAGCAGCTTTCAAGAGAGCAGAAAAAGCACCTGCCAAGCTGCGTGTGGCATCCAAGAGGTTTTTACCATCATCATCATCATCAAGTAGTCCTGCAATCATTTTGATTCCTTTGGATAAGTCTTGAAGGTTTGAAGATCTGAAAAATGAAGCCATACACTTAATTCAGTGTCAAACTTGAAGCACTGTATGAATGACAAAAGGAAATAAACATTCTCTTAGTAAGATTAGGAGAAAAAGTATTCCACAATGTGATGATCAACCATTGCAGAGATCTTGTCCATTCACAAAAGGCAGATTGTTGTAAAGAATATGCAGTGCAAGGTTGCACATTATGGAAAAATGTCCATCACCTACAAAGATACAGTAAAACAACACATACAGTTGTACCTTAAGTATCTCAAACACATTCTACTTACATAGTGTTGACAGCAGCACCAGCAGCAGTGTAGTTTGTTTCCTCTGGCTCACCTTAAAACATGAATAAAATTGAACTTTAAGCAAACATTATACAGCTGTATCTATACTTGTATACCAGTTTACAATAGTTTCCCCTTTCCCTTTTCCCATCATACTGAGCCAAAATCTAAAAACTGCTAATTTCTTGATTTTGGCCAGCTGCATCTCACAGCGTATTTAAAATGACTGAAAATCCAGGAAAATGACTAGAAATTCAGGAGAACAAAGAGTAACTGAAATGTTCAAGAGCTTTATTAAGCATAAAATACCTGATGTGAGAGTGACAATGGAGGCACATGATGCTGACAGAGCAGCAAGGCGAGATGCAACATTTTGTCTGGAATGGTCCAAAGTGTTCTGCTTCCACTTCAGAGATGCCTAGTAACATCAAAAAATAATGATAGAACTTCACCCCAATAATCATTTACTTCCAGAAGGATTTAAAAGAAAATAACTATCATGATAATCTTTATGGTCTGTAAAGGAAAACTCGAGGGAAAATATATAATTCAAAGTACATTAAAAAACTACATGAAACAACAAGAAACAGTGTTTTTGAAATATGCATTCACTAATGATAATTATTTCCAAATTCATCAGAGAAGGGAGGCTGTTCCTCATAACTACAATAATGTGCATGTTAGTGCAGTTAATTGTGGAAATATTAGTCATGCAGATGTCCTACAGTAGTGGTGAAACCAATGTACAGTTACACTCTTCATGAATGGTTTATCTTACTGGATCTGAACCAAGGGCAGGAATTTCTGCAGGAGATCCCAGGTCTTGTTCAGCAGAGACAATTGTGTCCAGACCATAGCTTAGGCTGCTCATGTATGCCTTTTGTGCTGGAGTGAGGCTGTGCAGCTTGGCTTGGGATCCCTGTTACAGGTAACAACAGCAGAAAGTTTGATCACCAACTGACACTGATAGCATGATAAGAACACAGGGTTTAACACCACAAAATTTGAGCAATAATAATCAAGCCATCCTACACCAATTGACACTGATAGCATGATAATAATGACCATTAAGTACCACTCTAAGGAATGAAAATTTCATACAAAACAATGATACAAAACCCTGATAATAAAACAAATACATAGTAAATTATTACATTTGATTAATTTGCACACAAATCCTTTTTTTTATGAGTAAAAGGTTTGGGCACATTTTCCTACCATGGGTGGTCTGTGGGCAGAGTGTGCTGATCCTGTGACTGTCCCATACTGGGCTGGCTCCATCTTACCCACACTGTACCTGGATGCACCTACAAAGCGAGTTCATTGTAACTCAGATTTACTGGTTTATAAAGATGTATTTTATGGCAAACCAACATTATGGACTTGTAAATAATAACAAATAAAGAAGTATCAACAATTTTTTTAGTCTAAGATCTTTAGATTTACATCTAGCTTACTATTAATCTGCAAGTACTATTGCAATGGTTAGCATGGTGATTGCACAGCAGTTTTATTTTGTGGATTAGAAATTTTGTGTGCTCTGCAGGAGCAACCTTTTGAGGTTTAAGTTAACTAAAATATTTGGGAGCTTACTTTTGCAATATTCTGCTGGTCAATAAATAACAAAACATTACAAGGAAAGGAGACTATAATATTTTAAGGCAAGCACAAGGTGAGCACAAGGCATGAGTCAAGCATGAGGGGAGGAGCAGGCTACCAACTACCCTAGGGATATTCTAGGTGATCATATGTAAGTATTCCAGAGTTTTTTTTAACCCTTTAACTCCCATGAGTGACTAAAAAGAATTTCTCCTTACAATGTAAATACAATATTGACCAGATAAGTGAAGAGAATAAAGAAAAATATCAATTTGGGGTCAATTAGTTGATCCAATACTAAATTCTCAGGACTAACATTATAAGAATTGTATGGTTGACAGTAAGGAGAATTACAAATATGATCTGGGAGTTAAAGGGTTAATGAACTAAAGTACATTCACTTTTGTGGCATTTTCTGCATATTCTAAACTCAAGAGATATTGCATAATCCTATGAAAAAGAGTGAGATACAGAGCTGTACAGTACCTGGACCTCCTGCTCTCATCACTGCTGGCAGAGCTACTGATCCAGTAGCAGCATGACCAACTTTATTAGTTTGTCGTTCTAAGTATGTGCCTCTGAATTTGACAAAGAAAGAAAATTAAGTTAATACAGTTAACTAAAGATTGAAATATATGTTTGCAATCATGAAAGAAAGAAATTTCAGAGTATTTTCATGACAATTTGAACCCCCAGCCAATTCAAGAGCATATTATTTCTATAATTGTACTTTTCTAATGGTCTTACCCAAGTAACATCATGTCATATAAAGTGGTCAGATATTTATATAAATTTAACACAATTTTATTGCTTACTTTGAGGGAGTAACAGAATCCTCTACCATTGTTGATTCCTCATCAAAATCTGGATCATAACCATCTTGACCTTTTCTCTACAGGCATCAATTGGAAAAAATAAGCAATAGACAGTGACATGACCTTTAAGTAACTGAAAACCACATTTAAATACCCTATGTTTTAAAAACCTTTTGCTTCCATGTTCGAGATATCAAGTTAATTCTCCACATTGCCTGCCATGAACATTTTTTACAACTCTAGCTCTAATAATTTGGTGTTAAGATAAACAAATTCCATAAGTTTATATTTTTCCTTCTTTCATCACCTTTATTCCTGTTTGGTCTTAATACATAACTTCTATGAATAATAAAAGAAAATTCAATCATGTTATCAAAGCAATAAAAGTGGCATTACTAAATTTGTGTAATTGGTTTTAATTTTTTGATTTGTTCTGATTGTTGTTTTCTTTTCATAAATCCTAGGCAGAACTGATATAAAAAAAACTGTAAGACAGTTACCTTCTTTAAAATAATATCAATGTAGCCAGCAATTAGTTGAGATATTTTCTCTCCTTCATTGGTTTGCACAGAGTAATAAGACTCTAAATAATCCCCAAAATCCTGTTAAAAGAAATTTAAACATTTATCATCCTTTAAGTAGGACAGAAAATAGTATAAAATTTAAAAAGATGATCTATTTGTCAACACTAACATTAGTCTTATTTATTATAAGTATGTGCCTATGTATGTGGAAACCACTTCCACCTGTGAAAACAAAGTCTTGTCCAGTGTTCAAAAGTACAACAATGTAACTAAATTATGTTCATAAAACCTTTTGAGGCCTTAAATAAAATATTCCACCACAATGTTCTCCAGAGAATAAGCACCTTCTGTTTTAGGAGGGATACTGAAACTGGGGGATCGGCATAAACAGGTTGAAGGTCAAGTGTCTTAGTCTCAAGGGAAGAGAATTCAAAACAATAAAAAATCCAGACTTCTTGTGGGCAGTCTACAGGTGAAAGCACCTAATTTTTTTTTCTCAAAGACAGCTCACACATGGGTTGACTTCATAGTGGGTTATCATCCCAAGGGTTTTTCTGTGTGTAACTCAGTTTTCCCCTCCTAAAAACATTTGACAATTAACACAAAAAGCACCATATGTTCAGTCTACCCTGAAACAGCATACATCTCAATGCTTGCTCCAATTCACACCTCATTCTCTATTTCTTCTCAAGTTCACATTGGGACAATATGCAAGAAAACATACCAGAGTAAAACTGTTGGGTGAGGCTGCCCATCTTCTTACTGTAGTAAGAGGCCAGGTTTTCATTACCTGTCAGAAATAAAATGTCAGTATTATTGCAATATGCCACAATCTGCAGTTAACTTACACATCTATGTATACACGTGTGCATGGATTCATCAGAAGAGAGAGAAACACTGAAGTTTTTCCCATTCATGATGAAAACATTGACACAACCCTTACCTCCTTAGTTTTCTCATCAACTCTTAGAATGCTCTCTTTTGTGACTCCCAAAAGCCGAGGGACAAGTTTATTCTTTCCTTTCATTTTCTCCTACAAAATAAGGTTTTATTTAGTGAAACACTCTATTAGAAACCCTCTACAAAGAATCAACTTGCAGCTTAACCTTAACCCTACAAGTGACTAATGGGTAATTGTGAAGAAGAGCTCCCCAAAAAACCTGTCGGCCGACTGTCGGTCAACTGTCGGCTGACAGGTTACCGACAGTCTACCGACAGCTAACCAACAGGTTACCGACAGGTTAAGAAAAAAGAAAAATTGTGTTAAAAACGAACAGTTAACGTGACATAACAATCCGTAATGGTGATGTATGACTCGACAGACTTCACCTACTTACCTATTGACGGCAAAGTTGAAAGTATGTAAAGAAACGTTTCTTCCTAAATGTTGTTATCAGATGCGTATAGGATATATCACTTGCGTAATTTACAACACACCAGACAATCTAAGAATCGCATTGGAAGATAATTTAATCGAGAAACTCAGCCAAAAACTCTGATAACCATAAGCTACGTATCAATACAAACACTTTCGTTCAAATCGCCCAACAATGCAACGCTGCCTCTTATGGTATGTTATGTATGTATCAATAATGTTTACCTTGTGCATTTGTGTTGCTAACATCGTCCTCTATCTTGCAGGTTTGGGATGAATTGCTATTTCCAATTTCAAGTTTAATAAATGATACAACTGTGAATCTTTTTATTCGTTATGTTAAGTAATAAATTATTATACGCAACAATTCGATAATTAGACTTGGATGCGTGATGTGATAATTGATTTAGGCGCACGCCGCTAAAATCACGATTCTACGAGTGAAGTATCTTGTATATTTCACCACTCACAAACAGCTCCTTTAGGAGCCACCAAATCTTGAAAGTCAATTGTCAACGTATTACACATGTTGGATGTTGTATCTAGTGAAAACCGAGAGAAAACATTAAGGTTTGTGTTAACGTTTCACGGACAAGCTACCGACAAGCTGCCGGCAGGTTACCGACACATTACCAACAGTCGGCCAACTGTCGGTCCACTGTCGGCCGACAGGTAGCGTATATTTCGGGCAAAACCTGTCGGCCGTCTGTCGGCCGACAGACGACCGACAGTCGGCCGACAGGTTTTTTGGGGAGCTCTTCTTCACAATTACCCAAACATTAAGGTCATAAGAATAAAGGAGATGATCATCAAATAAAGAAACTCTTGATTGTTGAACAAATTCTCCTTGCCAGAACCCTAGGAAATGTCTAGGGAGTAGCATGGAGAATATTCATACTAATGTTAAGGAGTAAAGGGTTATAGGATATTTGGGTTAAATTGTTAATACCAAACTAGCCTTCAAACCAAGTTAACATTTTTTACTTGCCTTGACAAGAAAGAAGGTTACTCCATAAGTCTTTAATCCTCTACATAACTGCACATACTTGTACTTGGCCTGTAACTCATCATGACCAGTTACTTTCTTGTGTTCCTAGTGGTTTCAGTGATAGCAAAATGAACTAAGATACTTCTCAAAACAATGAGCAACTTAAAAAAGGTTTTTTGACCGCGTACTGTATTTTAGTAATTAAACATCCATATTGAATAATGATACTTAACTGGTCAATAGAACATTTGTGATATTTTTGAAGAGTTGCTTAATAAGATGACCACAGATACTCACCTCTTTTATCTTCTTCTCTATATTCTTTGATTTCACATACTCTTTAGGAAGAAATTCTTTAAGACTATTGAGAGAGAAAACCTCTGAATTGGTTAACCCTTAAAACCCAAGGAGTACCCAGCAACTAATCATTAAGACCATGAGAATTAAAAAAAGTTACCAACCAAAGAAGCTTTGATTGTTAAATGAATTCTCCTTGTCAGTACCAAAAGAAATTTATAGAGAAGGGTATGGAGAATATACTTCGAAACATGTAGTAATGTTAGGGTGTAAAAGGTAAAGAGTTTTTTCATGATCAGCATGGATTCTCACTTTCGTCTTGTAACCACATGAGTGTCAATAGTGTCTCTTACTCTATAAATTTGTATTTTCCTTCTTCAAAGTCTCCAAATTGGACTTGAATCTGAATAGCTCCTAACTAGAGAGGAAAAAATTACAGACAATAATCAAAACTTCCCTTTATTGAGGGGGAGGGGGTGTGGAAGGTTGAAGACTATAAAAAAAATGAAAAGTTTAAGTCATGCATGTTGTAAATAGTAGGTAATCAGTAACATAAGTATTTTCTTCATGAAAAGTTTGGCTCCCATCCTGGATTTCAAAGCAGGGGAGAGTTAGGGAGAAAGGGGGAAATTTCTAATAAACATTGGCAAAGAGCTTCAATGTAAGACGTTCTAAAAGGGGAGGATTTTTTTTACCTGCGCTGCCTCCTCCTGTGTGCAGGGATGGGTTCCGTCTAAGATACCATCTCGACACTAAGATGAGAACAAAAAGAAAGCCTCAAATGAGTACTGTTTTCTTCTCTTAAAAGTTGAAGGTGATAAGTGGTTTCATCAGTTTCTGATTTGTGCATTTGTTTCCTACCTGAACATACAATAAGCCAAGCTGGACAGGATCTTTGATGTCAACATTCTGATCTGAGTAGAAGTACTTCCGCCTATAAGTGCATGAAGAATCCAAACTTGAGTACTATGAACTTAACCATTGAACTTCTAGCCAAAATAGTGAAAGCTCAGTTCACAAAAAGTACAGCCAGAACAGAACAAAAGCTGAATTCACATAAAAGAATTGTTGTGCTCAGTACAGACTTTATTAGGACTCTCTACTAGAAGTAAACATTTCACTGGCTCACTGGTCACTTTATCACCATTTGATAAAATGCTGAAATACTGTATCCTGTAAATTACAACCTACGCAAGTCAACAATTGGCTTCTTTGTTGCTTAGGTTGGGATTGAAAGCCATTCCCTTCCTCCAATATTTCTTGCAGAAATTAAATATTCAGAAAGTTTCAACAGGTTTAGGAAGTACATCATAACAAATAGTGAATTTCAAACTAATACACAAGTTTTGACTCACAGTTTTCTTATGAATACTTCTAAAGGAAACCTGACTTAAGAGTTAAATTCAAAATTCCACAAGTAAAATTGAATACAGTTATATGTACATGAAACTCAACAAATATGTGTAGAAACCTTAACAGAACTGTGTGTGAATCATCTACTCCTTGTTCTCTGAGAGTTTTATCATGATCAAGCCAGTGTACTGAAAAAAAAACCACAATTTTTATAATAAATACTGTACCACACTAACCAATCACACCTTTACATTAAATCTAAGAAGAAATCTTCCTTTCTGGGTATCTACAAGTAGTTCTTCCTTTTGCTGAATTAAAGTTTTTGAGGCCTTGCAAGATACTGGTATTCAGAGAGCTCTCCTATCAAAAATAACGCTGATTGCCAAACAAATTCTCCTTGTCTTTACCATAGAAATTAAAAGAGAACAGTGAGGAGAATATGAATGCTAATGCTAGGGTATGAAGGGTTATGAAACTCTACCTTCATCATCTGTGTGGAGTTTTTTCTTTAACTGATCCATTTTCTTTTTGTCTCTTTCTTCCATCTTCTTGAGAGATACATCTTTAACAGACTTGTCCTGGTTTATTTTTAGGGAAAATACAGATTAATTTTTGTATTTGAGCAACTGTACACCTACCCCTCCCCTAACTCAACAACAGTCAAATGATAACAAGTCAGGGATAATGTTGGGTCAGGGGAGGGGTAGGTGGGCAGTTGCTCAGATATTGATTTTGATCTGAAATACATGTATATCCAATTTTGCTGACATTCAATTCAAAAATAAAGCAAGGAGCTGTTCCTCACATGATACCATGATTACAAGATTATGTTCACTAGACTTTGTTAATACATGTAGTACATATTCTGCAGTTTTTAACTTACTTATCATTAGAAAATTATGAAAACATTCTGGCACCTAAAGCAGAGTGCCAGCATGATGTTGGTGTTCATTTGTGTATGTCTACATACCCTTTTTATTGTCCCCATTCTGTCTATGTCCTCCCTGTCCTCTTTCTGACCTTCAACAAGCAGGGAGAATTCCTCCACATTTCCAATACCTATAGGAATGTTATTTGAAGCTTATTATGGGTGCAAATATTTTTCTTGATTTGGAATTTGTCTATACACATTGATTTTAATTTTTGTTTTGTTTTGTTTTCCATGCGTGTGTGTGTGTGTGTTTTTTTCCTTTTTTCAGTTGAAGCAATAATCTTTATCTTAAAGGAAATAAAAACTTAAGCTGGTTTGGAAATTTTACATCAGTGAAGAATTACTCCCACCATTTTAACAAGCAAATTGCTGGAGCTGAACGGAAAAAAAAACGTAAATACAAAACAGATACAGCAACAAAATTTCAGTACACGCCTCTTACACAACTATCAGCAACAAGTTGGAGACACCCAAAGTGTTCAGCACACATCTGAGAATGGACAATTTTCTAACATGTGGGCAGAATTTTAAGGCTAAATTTCATTTCTATGTACCTCAGTAATTTTCTTATTTAGCAAATAGGAATATAACGCAATCCCTTTACACAGTTCTTCTGCTATTACATTTCTTGATGAAAAACCATGCACAACACAGATTCATCATATATATGCACTGCATGATAGGATCGTTTATTTCAGTGATGGCCAATTCATGGACAGATTGCCAGAAACCTGTTACACAATTCTGTGACAAGATCAGATACAATCCATTTCATGCTGCTGTATTTAAATACTGTTTAATTACATACATATACCATTGTTGGTATTTATGTACATACCCATCTTCAAGCAAACTGAATCTAAAATCTCACCAACACTGTGACTGTCATCAATCTGAGACAAAACCAGAAAAATGAAAATAGAATCTGTGCTCAGTGTGCATTCAGAGCAGGAAGACTAACATGGATTAAAAGTAATTATCTAACCAGGTTTTAAGAATGCTCAGTAAGTTATGGACCAAGTTTTTATCTGCTCCAATTTATAGTCCAAGCACAAAGCACACGGGACACAAATCCAACCAGAAAACAAGTTTCCATAACTTACATATTAATTTTTTTCTCAGAGGGCATGATAACGAATCCTGCAATCTGGACGGTTCTTTGTGTGGTCAGGATTTTCATATCTCTGCCCACAGGCACAGTAACACTTTTGTGAGTCACCCAGAACATCCCTAACTTTGTTGACATTCTTCATGAATACCTTTTGTTCAGTCAGCTGGGCAGTGTTTTCAAGCGAAGTATTTTTAAGCTAGTCAAGCCAATTAATCACTTATTTATCCTCTCTTTTCTCACTCTAAAATTGCTTTGGTTGCCAAAAACAAATTGTTTTTTAAATGAATTTGTGGTAGCAAATGTGTCATAGAATGGGTTGACACGTGGCCTAACAAACATGCAGTTTTTATTTAACTTGTCTAATAGAAGATCTTGCTGTAATTACAGCCCTTTTAGCAAGTATTTCATTACCTTTTTGAAAAAAAAATAAAAATGACATTCACCAGCCTTGGTTGGTTCATATTGGGAAAAACTGTGCCCTCTGTCTTGAGTACTGCCTGAGGCCCCAAGGCCTGGCACAGTTTTTCCTAATATGGACTGCCCAGCTGGCAAATAACAAAGAAAGGGAGGTTAGTAAGATGTCTATCATATTTTTGGGTTCAAAAGATTTTCATTCCAACAAACTTTTGAATTTACCAGGCCATACAGAAAAATACTGCCTGCATGATTGACTGATCATAGTGCAATTACTGAGAGATATAAAAACATGTATCACACCAAGCTGTCAATGTAAGAATCATGGATAATATTTGTAGTTCAATGAAATTAGTTACCTGTAATGTTTTCACTGAACCATCCATGAACTTGATTTTCAGATGTCTAACTTTTGATTTATATTCAAGCATATCCTGAAGAAAAAAAACCATTGTCATGACAATGATGCACACTGGGTACTTCATATCATGTTACTTAAATTTTACATTCAGTGAATCAAAAAACTAATTGCTATTAGAATTATTTGCCAAATAATATTCTAGCACATGTAATCAGTCATTTTCCTCATGATGGCTTTGTCAGATGTTCATGGACAAGACTTAAGTTTTGATGTCTTATCTTTTTGCCTGTATATTAACCCCTTTAACTCCCTGAAGAAATTAACAATTAACTTCTCCTTACAATATCCATTCACTATCCAGCAAACAGGTAAAGAGAATACTCAAATGTATCAGGTAGAAGTTGTTTTCTTGATCTAACACCAAATTCTGGTACTTTATTTACAAGGAAATGTGTAACAGCTGGAGGGGAGAATTAACAATCAGATCTCAGGAGTTCAAGGGTTAACTAGCATCATAAAGTCACCTTAAACTAAAAGAAATCATTTTAAATATATATCTCAAAGGTAAACTTGTAAACCTACTCCAGACTTGAGGGGATAGAAGTCAAGTTGTCTTGCAGGATCCAACCATTTTCCTTTATACGGATCATCATCTTGACAAAACAGACCATAATCTGAAACTGAATAAAAAAATCACCTTTGAAGACCAAAAACAATGTGCTTTTGAATAAACTGTTAAAACTTGCAGCTTTCTCCATGTCACTTCCTGTCAATTACTAACCTGCAACAGCTATGGTATATGAACTACATGAAATCTTTCACACAAATATCACCACAAGTATAGCTAGCTGTACAGCTTATGAATTCTTTCATACAGTTTGAACAGCATCAACCATTCAATACTAGAATGCATACAAGTACAGCATAACTTCTCAAACAGAATGATATCAAATTTGCGTGATTCAGGCAGTCTATAGGGTATAATTAACACTACCAGTACTACTACAAAAACTTTCAGTCATATTTTTCCCATATAAACCACACTATCAGCAAGCAACAGTGTAGCATCTTCAGCAAGTTACAAGTAAACATTGTACTACATTGAACATTTTGGTGTGGGAGCATTCTCAACAGACTGAGGTACTAATATTGATTTTGCTTACTTTTGCCTGGACTAGAATCTGGAACTCTTTCTCTGATGATTCTCAATGCTGCTGCTATGGTAGCCGTTGGATTAAACTGTAAAATAATATAAATATAATAAGTCAATGTTGAGGTTCTGGAGAAGGCTGATTGATTATTACGTCTAAACTTAAAAGACTAATGTATACAAGCACATACTAAATATTCTCACATAAAAAATGATCAAACACTCTACATCACTATACAGACAGTGCATGTGAATTATTACCAATAAATAACAAGTTGATATCAACAATAAGAAGCCCAATAAACATAGACGATGCACAGTGTAGTAAAACTCACCTGTAAAGTCTTTACAGAACTATTCTTGACAATGTTGATTTTCAGAGTCAGAGCCATGTTAAATTAAAATGTCCTAGATTCCCTACTGTAAACTTCTCTCTGTAAGCTGAGAATGTTCAAAAATTATTTTCAACACACAGAAAAAAAAAAAAAACACAAGCACCCGATACCCCAAAAATTCAACTGGCAAAGGACAAAAGTTAATGTCCGTGCACTTACTTATAGTATGCATCTCAAAGGAACAAAACATATGTTATTGGCCCATGCATATCTTATTGGCCCTGCATATCTTACTGGCCTGGCATATCTTGTTGCCCTTGCATATCTTATCACCCTGCAACCAGGTAACACAAAGCAAAACCTGTGTTTCATTACCTACTCTTCCTAGAAAGATGTATGTATGTACATAATTTTTATCAACTAACCTTGCTTACTTAACTTAGCATGGCTGTCAGAATATTGACCTGTTTTTTTCACTTACATCAATTAAAAACTATGCCAAAATCCAGCTCTTTTGGGTAACACTTGGTCTGACTAACATTATCCATTCAAACAGTTAGACAAATTTGAAAAATTTACATAACAGTTTCATTTTCAAAGGAACCTGTCACAAATGCATGTCAAATGTCAAAAGGATAAATTCAAAAGCATTCTTGTTGATGTGAAAGGAAAATTTTGTGGTTCACAGTTCTTTTTCAAGGAACTTTACGCATAGAGAGCGAGTCTCCTAGATGTATGACACTTCAGGGTAACCAATCTATAAGAAGAATAACTGCCATCAAAGAAGTGATAATCATGAAGAAGTTCATGCAGACATCTGCCCACAGCTGCGACGAAAGAAATTGAATAATTAACTTGCAATTTCCCTTGAACTTTGGCAAACAATTACTGTATTGTCAGTAATAATGTTTCAAATCCATTAACATTACCATGCTGAACAGGTTTCATGATCACACCACCTTACATTACATTAAGAACATATCATGTACAAGAAGTTATAAACAAATTAAATGACTAATTAACACTGACCAAAAGAAAAGCACTAAGGGTTGAACAAAGAAATAACACTCCAGCGTAAAATAACCAGAGAAATTATTTCATGTAAGGTGCATGCACTGCGAGTAAAATTAGCTCAAAGCTCAAGGAAGAAATTTAAAATCTAAATTATCGAAAGCGCATGGGTTTTAGCTCAAAATACACTCAATTATGTCTTTGTCTACAAAGGTTAACTCAGCAAGAAACTTTCAATATGTTAATCCTCGCAATTTATAATTGAAATGAAAAATAAAACGTTCTTCATCGCAATAATTGGGCAATTTAACGAAAACCTAGACAAGGGTGCGCGTTTGGGATTCATACATCCAGCCTTGCTAATCAATTAAAAGAATCACCAAGCCAGAGAAAAATATTCCACAACGATGAAGGTGTTAGTTATGTTTGAGAGAAAACGAAAGCAGAGGGATTCTCATATTAAATAGGTTTCAATATTGACCCTAAGTAAACAAACATCAAATTTATCTCCAGCTGAGGAATTGAGTCGAAAGTAGAAAGAAGAGCTTTTGTTAAAATAGCAATGACTTCGCGATTAGTACAAAGGGTAACATATTGAAAAATTCTTAATTACGATGATTAGCGTTATCGGCTCTGAAGGATATTCAAATAATATTACATTTACTTTAAAGTTTGTTTTGAAAATTTTAAACTTTTCTCTGCCGTGTTATGAGAACGATCCGGGGAACAGCTGAGTTAATTTTCGGCATGCTATCATTTGAATAGTAAACAGAAGCTCAAGTTTGGTTCGACACGCTACATGAACACACAACTTCTGGATATGCACTCGTCCATTGAACCCGATATTGCTCGATTTTATTTCAGAAAACAGACGAAACAACACAACAACGAACTCAAGCTACAGCCTGAAGATTGCTTGATATCCCACTCGCGGTCAAAAGTTCTTTCGTACGTAAGAACTGTTCTTGCCAACAGTCTTCAGCGACTTGCCGTTAGCACTCCAGCTGAATGAAATTCCAGAAGACCATTGAAGACACTACTAGCACGCAAGGAAAATAGCACTTACCTTTAAAATTTTGTGTCCTATACGAATAACACATGCAAATCTTCAACCAGAACGATGTTAGTCAATTCAATTCCACACCTCCCTAAAGAAGAATTTCAAAGACGGAAATACGAAATCAAAAAGGCACTTCAAATCGAACATGGCCGTCACTTCCTGACCTGAGGGCGGCAACCAAATATCCAAATATGGTATGCAACTATTTTGCGCATACTTTGAGTTATATCAGGTGAAAATTAATCCAAATTTCTCCACATTTTCTTTAAAATTCCACCTTGTTAAATTTAATATGGCTCATAAAAAAGAACAAGAAACTACAGCTTAAAATAGCATCTCTTCTGGCAATGATGGCTGATTTTTTACTATCTTTATTTGATGAGGAGTATTGTTAAGCACACTAAGAGTTCACTAGTCTTGGCTTCAAATTTGGAATTATTGTCTATCCGCACATCTCAGCTGGCACTCCCCAACCAACATCTACCACAGAGAAAAAACCTTATTGCTCCTCATCCCTTTCCCTAAAACATTTTGGCAAATGCATTGAGTAAATTAAACTAGATTTAGTGGAAGGAAAATATATTATAATCAGTGTGGATTAAAGAGCTTTCTCCAGAATACTCCAGACCAATTTTAGAGAGAAGTATACCCAAAGGAAATCAAAGAAGTGTTAAATCTTCAGGATGCCCCTAAATCACCAGGTATTTTTAGAAAAAAATGGATTTCCTACTAAAATAGCGCTCTCAATAGGAAAATCTCTCAGTTATCAAAACAACAGCATGTAGACTGGTGGTTAGTATGCTGTAACTACACTTGCCACCACTCTTAATTCCCATCTCACTGATTTTAATTGCACTTTACTGTGCACTATTAGTAGTTAATTAGATTTATTGTAATTTTATTAAAATTTAAATTTCTTATCAAGACTTTTTTTTTTCTTACTCAGATTTTGGGTTGCACCTTACATGGGATACTTCTCCCATTTGTGCAATCCTTTCTGGTCTTTTCATTTCTACCATTGATTTACTATACATTTATATAACTTATGGGACCAATAAAGTTGAAAAACTCACACAAGCTTCAGGAATCTGAGTCAATTTAGGGGTAAGGGGTCAGTATGGGCCAGGTTAGGAGTGTCAATTTGATGCTCACAGAGTCAAAAAAATACCAGAGTCTCACATCTCCCAATTTTTTCCTTGGTGGAGTAAATAGAGCAACATCTAGGCTAAAAAAGGAACACTGAGAAAAGCCTAAAAAAAAATTCCTTGACTACTATGAAACTCAATGGGCCGGTTATTGAAATGAGATCCAACCCAAATTACAGTTTTACACAAGCAGTGAACCAGGGTGATTCTCCATAGGGAGGTTGATTTCATTTAAATAAATGTCCTTCCACTGTCCTTTAAGGAGGCGAGCGTGGCCTTTAAGGAGGCGAGCGTGGCCTAGTGGTTAGGGCGCTGCACTTGTAAGCCAGAGGTCCCGGGTTCAAGTCACTGGATGGAATCTTCGGTGGCTCCGATTCACGCTTCAAATAGCCAACTGGTCTGCCTCCTACCAGTTGGGGTTTTTAACGAGTTTCTGTTCATTTACGATATTTGTTTCCTTATTTACAGTGTCCCCAATCAGCACAGCAGTGCTAAAATACACTGACACTTAAATAAAGTTATTATTATTATTATTATTATTATTACTATAAAGTTTCGGCCTCTTGACACTGTTCACAAAAAATTGATCCCTAGATAAAAGGTTTGGCCAATTTGAAGATGGCTTAGAAAGTGGTTTTGTTAAACAACTGCTAAACTTTGTTTAAATAACTGGCCCGATGTGTTCAACAGCATACACTCAGAGAGAAGCATTCTTTTCTACCATAATAATTTGTACAAACCATGATCTGAGATATTCATTGAAGTTTAAACAAATACATTATGAACCAAGGAGTAAGAATACAGCCTACGTGTACATTAATAGCTTTCTGTGGAGCTGAAAATCTTTGTTCTGGTTTCAAGCTCAAGGTATTTAGATCTCTACAGTTCAGAGTCTTCAGCTTGACTATCTCTTGACAAATTTCTTGTCAACTATCAAGAAAATCATTATAATCACCACATAGAATCATAACTGCAGACTAGGAGACTTTCCTTTAGGGCCTCTAAGGAAATCAGTTTTTGTAACTGTAGGAGTTACCCTAACCAAATAAAAGCATCTTCAAGAAATCTTCTTCTTCCTCTCATATTCAAAGACTTATTTCTTACACAGGACTCAAATGCCATTTGGTATTGCATTGCCAAATCAATGTGAAAAATTCACCTCACTTTCAACAACAATCTTATAAACTTCAAGAAACAGCACAGAAATGGTATGCATTACATATATAGAGTTCTAGGCTGAAACATTTTTGAGTCTTAGTATAAAGTACTCATTGCCAAATTACACCAGCACTTAAATTTGCCACTGTTTTAAACACTATGGCAACTAAAAATAATTTGGGCGACTAAATTTGCAGAAGTCACCAATTTAGCAACCTATGTTCAATTCTGTAGTCCTGTAGAAAGATGTAACACCGCTATAAATTGATGTTTAAGGACAAGAGTTGCAGGTTACCTCTTGCTGGGCTAGAGCAGAGCTCTCAAGTCTTCCACATCATGCAAACAAAATAATTAATTGCAAATGTCCACAGAAAGATAAAAAATGCCCTTAAAAATAACAGTCACACTTTTCATTGCAAAAGCTAGCGATAAAAACTACATTAGACAATGTAAGAATTAATATTATTTAAAACCTATCCTATCTATATAAGTATTCCTTCTTTGCCGCACCAGGATTTCATGCCATTAAATCATTCTCTTGAGGAGCAACTGGACCATAACAGTATTTTTCAGCCAAGTCTCTCCTCAGAACAACAGTATGACATAATCCTGCCAACAGAGCTTCGTAGGTTGCCCGAGTTCCATTAGCTTGCTTCCATAACAACAGCAATTGATAACTTTTTTCCACAACTTTACGACTTTCCTCTTCAACGACCTCAATCTGGGCTTCAGGAATTCCCAAAGCACGCGCAAGATTCTTCCACTTAGCACCAATTTCTGAGGACAAACTCAGCAGCTCTTCATCCCGAGGAACACCAACTCTGAGAGCCATGGTTTGGTAATGTATTATCAATGGATTTCCTGAGTACAACAAAAGAAATTCAACTGGTTAAGTTTGAATCGAACGTATAAATTTATCTAGGCGCGAGTCTGTCCTGTGGATGAAGAAAAAATTGGGTACCTTACCTAATGTGGCCTTAGATTCAGTTTTGAAAGTTATCACCAACTTGTGTAAGAAACGTGAAGGCTGTTAAGTTCTTATTCCTAATGATCCGCCATCTTGGATATGGAATGCATGTACTCGTACCCAGGGTACTCCGCTGGCATGATATTGATATGTTATGAGATTGGCACTTGATCCCAATGCAAAATACATGAACGAATGAAGCATTTGCTAGAACAGGAGTCTTTTTGCCGAGAAGTCCACTGCTTGAGTCACGGTAGTCTGGTCGCCAACCAAATTGTGCAAAAAAAAAAAGTCTGAAAGAAAGGTTCATTAAGGAAAGGTACTAAGAACATAAAATAAAATAGTCAAAATTCATGTGCGATCTAACTGGGCAGAATGCGTCAATGCGGTAATAATTCTTCCTGGAAACTTTTTGCTACGGATAAGAGCTGTAACGATTTGTCAGCAGAAACGTGTTATTGTCCATCACAGAGTAAAACTCACCTGAGTAGTGTAGAATGAAAATTCCTCCTAACTTTCAGTCAGAATTTACCATGATCGATAGAACTCTAAAAATTACCGTTGTGACCATGGTGGCTAAGAAAACTTACCTTGATCTTCCTGAAACTGACTCGGTCTAATAAAAGTCTTAATGGATTTTTGCTTTATGCCCCAATGCAATATACATATGCGAATGAAGTATTTGCAAGAACAGGAGTCCTTTGCCGAAGAGTCCACTGCTTGAGTCACGGTAGTCTCTTCGCGATGGACCAAAAAAACAACCAAACGCAAGTTGTTAAGAAGACGCTGGAAACGGTTACCGGAGGCCGATAGATCTATCCCAAACGAGTAGAAGGAACGTAAGGGTATACCCGATGCTCTTGAGTAAAAACAGCATGAAAAATATATTAAAATAATAGATGCATTTGGTTCGGCTCAGTTGAAGTACGGCGTCTGAATCAAAGCCGGCCTACAGCCGTTCTTCCTGGCTGAGCCAAGCGAGATTAATTGAGCCGATCTAAATTAAATCAGCCGTTCCGATTTGATTCAGACACCGTACTTCACATGAACTTAATTCGTTGAGTTTGATTCGGCTCGGCTGAAGTTCGGCGTCTGAACTGGGCCTAAGGCGTCCGTTATCCTGGAATGATCTATAATTTTTGAAAACGCTATTCATAAAAAGAGGCAATCATGAACCCACGACTAACGTACTTCATAACCGGAAGTGTGTCAATAGGGAAGTCAATTCTGTTCGCTACTCAGAACTACAAAAGTTGCTTTCATTAGAATTTTGAGCTAATGCTATTTGGACGACATCCTTTCCTAATTTCTTCGAAGCTTTTAGGAAGGTATTTTGGAACTAGTGTTAAATACAGTGAATTCGTCATAGGAACCTCTCAGATCACCCTGGCCCTAAACTACCTTTTGAACATTGGGGAAGAATCAAAGCCGTAAGAAATAAAATTCGTTAAAAGCTGACAAAGTTTCCTGTGAGAAAGCAGTTTGTCATTTTCGCCAAGAGCTACTGATGTACCATTAAGGTTCAGAAGCAACCAGGTAAAATTTGTCATGGCTCATATACTTAAGTGACCCACATGCTACAATTTTTCCCCGTGAATGATGGACTCGTACCAAACTGACTTTTTTTTTTAATCTATGGGACTACAGCATTCACTCGAAATGAAAATAGGACCAGAACAATTTGAGAATAGACGAGTTTGGCACGAGAAAGCAAATATCTGAACGTCACCTTACACAAAGAGAAAATAAGTCTCGACCAAGTTTTATCTCGTTCAGACTACTTCAAGTTGCTCTAGAGATCTTGTACGATGATTTTAACACTCCTTCGCAGCATAATCTCCGGTATATGTTCAACTAAGCTAAGAAATAAGTCACACAAACACATATAAAAACAAAAAATATATATTTGGACGTAAAATTTTACGTGTTCATTAATTCCTCTTCTATACCAGGTAAATGTAAATCTAAGTTATTCCTAACTAAACTAAACATGTTTCACACCGAAATCAATTTTGCCATGTAAACAAGGACACAATATAGATGTGCCTATAAGAATCTTAAAAATTGTACCTAAAACCCTACTACTGAGTTGCAATGTAGACCAAAATAATGCGTTAATCTATGACAAAAATACAACTAATTCTATCTAGGAGGAAGGCAAATCATTTAAGTTCCATCAAACTTTGAAGTACAAAAAAAATTTCTTCTCAAGAATTGGTGTTAGACCATGGAATGAGACACCATGCTTTCTTAGGGAACGATCAAAAATCGTATAAATTTGAAATAAAAAATTTACTGCTTGGTATTTCTAAGAGAAAAAATCCCTTTCTTAACATACACGAGATCATTCCTAGAGTAAGATCTCTAAAGTAACAACGCTCATATAGTCCTTTCTATATTGAAGTCTTCCATTGAGCCATTACGCCTGTTTCTTATTATAATGCACTGTAATTTAGGATTATCTTATTAGACCTTACTAGATTTTGAATCTATATCTAATCTAAATCGTCGCAAAACGACCTTTTGTGCTATATGGCAAACAAATACCACGTTCATAACAGCAAAATATGTTTAGCTGAACTAGATCTAACTGAATGAATATCAGAAAAAAAGAACAAAATACTGAATTTTAAAAGTAATGGTTTATGGCTGTATTTTCAATGTGCTACATTTGAAGTCGACACACATTGGTTTCAGCAGCTTCTATGAATAACACATTTCAATTGTGTTTAACAAAACATGTTTCAGCTTTGGTGTGAAAGGAGTGTAAAACTTATACGGGTAACCTATCCACACGTTAAAAAAATTTACCCGTTTTGAACAGGTACGGATCTTCTGACACAGATAAAAACCAAATCATAGTTTCACAAAAAGTCAGCGTATGCTGGATATCCACACTCAACTAGAACATCATACAACTCTCCAACAGTCAGATACTGGTGATTCCGACAGTGCACCAAAGCATCCTCGAACGGGTTACATGACCGCCTCTCCAGGAACCGAATCTCTGCTGGAGACAGTCCCAGTCTCTCGGCCACCATCATCCACTCGTCTCCGCCTTGAAAATGTAAATAGATTTCAACCTCGTGCTACATGTTCAACACACAACCCATGAAACTCTATGCACTTCGCACTCGTTGATATGTACAGACAAGTACTGAAGGAATACATACGCAAATTTTGTCCCGTTAGTTAGGAAACTGAGAGTCTGAGGAGAGCATGCATCTTATTAAAGGTTGCGGACTGAGTGTGGGGCGAATCAATTGAAGTATTTGGCTTGTCTGTCGTGTTTACGCATTTCACGTCTCAAAAGAATTCCCTGCTTTACCTTTTGTAAATTACGCGTGTACATGCACGTGGAAAAGGGAAAATTTGAAAGAAACAGTTCTCACGAGTATTATCACATGACGTGAAAGGAGTAAACAAAAAACACAAGCTAAAGAGGTCTATCGGGAAAGACTCGTTTCTCTTTCTTAGAATCACAGGATCATCGCCTCTTATTACAATCATTGTATATTCTTAAAATGTTCTGTACAATTAAATGGATAAATAAAGAAACTGTGGTGCTGCGTCGGTGGGGAATACATCAAGATAATTAGATTTATCCACTAAATTGATAATGTAAATTGGCCTTCGTAGAGAGCTTTGAAGCTGACGTTTCCAGCATTAGCCCATCATCAGAGCGAATAACGAAGGGCTAACGCTCGAAACGTCAGCTTTAGAAACTCTTTACGGTAACCAATTTACATTATCAACTCAGTTGATAAAACTAAATTTTAATGTTCTACACAGTATATCTACAGTATATCTACGAGTTCATCATAGTGTTACTTTGATTTTATTTTCAGCTGGTCTAATTTTCCAGGTACCAACAGTGACAGGAATGGATTAGTGGTAAATGTTTTAAAAATTGCAACGAGGATTGCTGTTTATCCATTATACATTACATGAAGGACCTCATCTTTGCGACAACTATGTAACTTACTTACCTGACAAACTCATAGAAAGATCTCTGATTTTTTGTAAAGGAACATCCTGAACATCGAGATTGTCAGGTAGTAAGGGGCCTGTTGAAACACATCAAATAATACTTACTGCAATTAGCGCGTAACTAAAAATAATGTTCAAATCAGCAATTGTCAAAAAACTTCAAAAGCTTTCTTTAGCAAAGATTAGAAATTTTAATCAATTGAGATCTCTGTATTGTATCTTTCTCTCTTTTATAATGGGAGGCCGCAAAGGTAAATAATAATATCAACAATCAACAAGTGACAAGTAAACAGAAGTGTTGGTTGCAAAAACGACTCAAAATCAGCAATATCAAGAAAAAGTAAAACACAGTACTATGTCAGTCTGATGGGTCAGCCATGCAGTCAATATTCTACCTGTGATCCCAGCAGGTGAAACTTTCCTCAAGTGTTTTACCACATCCAGCCTATTTAAAATTTTTGCTCCTCTTGCCAAACGGCGTATCATTATCTTCGTATCGTCATTTGGACTTTCTAGTGAGGTTTGATCTAAGTCCAGATCCTTTTGAAAACGAATCACAACATCTCCAGCATCACACAACGGCGAGCGAAGAGTGCCTTGAACCGCAGGAGTTAAAGCGAGGGCGGGAGGTAAAGCGAGACCGTTATCCTCATGTTCCTCTTCGTGTGCTAAGAATGAAAGCAAATGCCTGATAGCAATTATTTTGATAACGTAACTGTTCAAGACTATTCCCAAATTCAACATTAGCAATACATGTCGTGAAATGTGGTACGAACGACATGTTTTACGAACTAGCTTAATCTATTCCAATGAAGAGAAAAAAGAGAAAAGAAATAAAGTAGAACATAAAAAACTAAGTGAATTATGACTTTAAAAAAAAAAAAACATACGTGAAATAAGAATATAATAACAGTCTCAGAAAACAAGTAACATTCGCATGTACCTTCCACAGCTGGCAGAAGTAGGCACGCTCCGCCTGAGGTTTCCTAATATTTATAAAACAAAATTGAAGTCAGTGGGAGCTGACTTGGTCTTTTTCCCATTACAAGCTCATACTCACGCTTCATAACTCAAGGCAAGGCAACAAACCAAGGGTATTTATGCATGAAACAAATATATAGCATGGTTATTTGTTACCAAAAAAAAATACGAATAGTAGACAGTGCTGTAGAAATGCTACGCAGACGATGAAAACAACCAACATAATACGGTAACGTAAGGCATGAAAGTCACTTTGAATTAATCTATTTCCACTTTAAGACCAACAAATATTTTAGGATACCTGCATTCATTCATTACCTTTTCATCGGGATGCATCAACCAAGGCGCAAACTGCTTCAACTTGATTATGGTTTTCACAGCATCGACAGACTCACGACAAATGACAGCTTCTGGGCTGCTTAACAACTCTGACTCTGACCAAAAGTGAAGGCATTCCTCTTGCATGCAACCCTGAGCACGATGAGTTTGACAGTAGTTGATAGTGCCTCCCTGGGAACATACTGGACATAGAAAGCACACCTCATGTCTAATGCTGTTGAACCAAAAGAATTCTTTTCTCATGCACTCGAATATCAAAGACAACTGCCTACGCACAGATCGGGCGACGTGCGCTATAAATGGATCAATGCTTGGGTTTTCATCAATTAATGAGGTCATTTTTGACTGTAAATCTTCTGGTAAGTCTCCATTCTCTCTTTCACCGAGGAGAACAACCTCAACCGAAGATGAACGACACAGAAAGATAACAGAACAACCTCCATTCGGAGAAATAAAGAACCGGGCAAAGTTGTGGTATAATTTAGGGTCCTCTGTGCTCTGGAATTCAGTAGTGCACCACTGCAAAAACAGCAATACGAGCCGAGGGAATAGACTGGGAGGTATTTGGCAAGATTGCAATTTAAGAAAAAGAGATGGATTTTTTCTGGATTTTGAAAGCTTGATGACGCCTCCAGGAGGATGTGACATCAGCATGGATGGAACTAGGTACTGCTTGTCACATAAAGGGGCCGATGACGGCAAAAGACACATCAAGCTGAATTTTTCCATGATGGCAACAAGGCTTTCACACGTTTCCTCTTGTTGCAACAACGGACCCCAAAGATGTTCCAGAAGTTTTTCCGCCAAGACTCCTGTTTTTTCAAGCTTTTCCCATAAGTGTCTAAATTCTCGTTCCTCGGAGTCGAACGGCTTCACAGTGATTACCTTCTTGAACACATCAATCAACCATTGAGGGTTCAGAATTACTAGCTTGTTCAACTGCGGAGAGTCATCAAAATGAATTAAAATTCTCTGGTCATGTAAAAAGTTAAGTACCGTCAGAAACTCCTCATCGTCGACAATTTTGCACTTTTCCGAGGCGACTTGTTTGGCTCTTTGGAACGAGATCCATCGGTAGCCTTCTTCCTGGATAACGTGAAGTGCCTTTTCATATTGCAGCCACTTAATAGGTATGGCATCCTTCATCTGCGGCAGTTCCGCGGCAACACTGCGTACCGTTTGACGCAGAAGTTGTACTTCTGGACACTCAGATTCTCCGCCAGACTTGCTGTTGTCCACCACAAAGACACGCTCGTACAAATGGGAACTATACGGCTTATTTTGCAGGACATGAAAGATCTCACTTGCAAGTGCTCGAGGATCTGCACCATCATGAGGTTGATCAGCATGTGTACACACTAGGAACACACAAGGAAGATTCTCCGACAACAATTTACAGCCAGTGCTTTCTTGGCGGTTTCCACCTTCAGTTGCCAACGAAGCCACGGACGTCATCCAGAAGTCTAGATAGTCCAGATTCGTTTTCATGTTGAAGTTATCTTGAAATGACTTGAACATGCCTCCCCTATCAGGAGGCGTTGCTTTTTCGTAGGGATCTCGGCTTAGATCATAAACCAATAGATAAATAGCTCTGGATGTAAGAAAGAGAGGATGGGTGACATAGTAAACTGACTGACCACCAAAATCCCATAAAACAGCGTAGATTCCTTCTTCACCTTCTACATTCTTTTCTTCATGAAGTAAGGTTTGGACCAATGAAGCTATTTCTTCTGGCACTCTATCTGCTGGTTCAAAACCACTGCTTGTTGCTTTAATTTTAGTTTTCTCTGAAAAACGTGATGAAAACAGAGGGCTTGGTTCCGAGGAAAACCTCTTTGGTTGTTCTCCACTGCTTCCAGCCTGGATGGAGTGCCCAGGTTCTTTTATAGATTCTCGGTTTTCGCCAGAAGGGAAACGAGGAATCAAAGCTGATACATCGGGCTCAATTAGCCCCGTCGCTTTTTCCTTTAACGTGTGGTTATCAACCATCAAGGCGCTTGCAATCAACTGTGCTGTATGGTAATCATAGGATATGGATGCTGTTGTGCCTTCTTGCTCTTTTTCCCCTGCCTTCCAAGTCTCAGTTGATACCTTGAAGTGAGAAGGATCAACATCAATTCCCACAGTACTATCTTCATCCGGGTTAAAAAGCTGCCCTTTCAGTGACTTCTTTAAACTGGTTTTTCCTGACCGGTCTTGTCCAATAACCATGACGGGCAACCTTTTAACACTAGTTTTCCCCTCAGCAAGAGCTTTGTGGTACGCTCTCAAGGCTATGGGTCCTCTTGCAAGAATTTCTAGTGGCTCTACATGTAAAGAAAAATTATTTTTTTGATTACTACTCAGAGAGGTAAAGTAAGCTAAGTTGGAGAAAAATGATTATCCAGTTAAAAATATCGTCACCTGTAATATTAAATGTGACAAAATAATGTAAACCAATCAACCACATGCTGATTACAAAATTAGAGACTTTCGACGAGTAAATTTTCCATTGCATATCTGGCCGAATTAAAAATGGAATGAGAGCCGAAACTCCACAAATTGTTTTATCATATTTTTGGATAAAACATTCCCACTTTTTCAAATATTTTATAATACCTTTTTGGGGTTCTTTTGCGACTTTATTCTTTGAAACTGACAAATATGGTGTACTTGATGATGAAGGCAGTTGCTTTGATGGCTTCTGCATAACACAAATTGGTGAGTAAAAGTCGACATGAAAAGTTAAAAAAAAGACTTATAAAGAAAAATACAACTGCCAACTTCCAAGTCAAATAAAAGAAAAACGTACATTTTTGCTTTCAAAACCGACAAACTTTCTCACAGAGTTAATAAATCTTTTGGTCAGTGAGGGCTGTTGCTCGGGAATCTCCTGAAAGTAAAACAAGTAAAACAATATGAGTTTCAAAATTAAACGATTTCTTATGAGGGTGGAAACAATTCACGTAAATGCATGAACTAATATCCTAAATGGCTAACAGGAAACGTGCCGTAATGAAACTTTACAAACATAGCTAAACTAGTGCACGTAAAGAGCCGAATACTCTTCGACACCTTTTCACCGATAACATTCACAAAGCTACCTGAGGAATTGCCCTACCCTTGAAAGCGATCTCTGGTGGAAAAGAGGAGAGGAGTATCTAGTATTATTAAAAGCTGGATCATTGGATAATGCAATTCAAGAGTTTCATTGGCTTAGCCATCATGGGTTATGAGCCATCATTACCATGCTCTACAAATCCTTGAGTGTACTCGTCAAAAAAGTAAAGTTTACAAAATAAAGTTGGGAAGATTCTATACTTTGGAAAGCTTTTAATAAAACAATTATTCCACACGCGCTTTTTGGATATGAGATGATTATAGCCAACGAAGCCCGCTATCTATCATCTCATATCCAACACGCGCTCGTGGAATAATTGTTTATTATCATATGGCAAGATAGTCCTAACATAAATCCGGGCATTCTGATTAGTTGGTTCTTTCTTACTCAGGATTTTGCCATACGGACTATCTATACGGAAAGAGTCATAAGCCATGTATTTTTGTTCGCGAAAGGCGGCAAATTCAAAATAAACTAAGTTTGGTCCGAGTGCTATAAAATAAACCATTTACTTAGCTTCCGTGCTCGAGCCGTACAGGGCAATATTCCCCAGTACGGACCTCACGCTCGGTTATAGTAAGAAGTTAAAATTGTACTTAGTGTTGCAAGAACTGGACCACTGACGGATCCAAATATAGAATGAAGAAATAAAGAGAGTAAGAAAAAGTCATTTAAATAAACTCACAACTTAGGCAAAAGCCCCATTCAAACCAGCAAAACATTTTGTACAGGCCTAAATTTTTTCAGACCTTCTTTTCACTACTGCTTAAGTAGTGTTGATTACTGCGAAGATCGCTCTCGTATGATTATCACATATTCAATGTTAAACCAGGTTTAACTGAATATAAATCAGCAACTGAATGATGCATTGTGCTTAAGTAATCACTATCATACATTTTCATTGTGCTAGATATGAAGTCGAAAAAGATCAGCTTGAGTAACTTTAATGAAGAACACAATTTTAAACCGTGTTCAACAAAACAGCTTTAAAACATGTTTTGCCTTTGGTGTGAATGGGGTGTATCTTAATACATCTTTCAATAATAAACCAAAAAAGGCTTACCTTTTCATGTTTTGGAAATCTTCTTAGAACACCACTGGCAAAGGTAAAAAACGCCTGAAGAAAAGTAACAGTTCAGTTTCTACATTTATGACGCTATAAAAAAGAAACAAAATGCTTCATAAAATCTTCGATAAGGAAAGTCGCAACTCAGGTAAATATGTTGTTTTACGTTTTCGTCTCCTTGAGGTGTAAAACAAAGAGGCCAAAAAAGTATTTTTCTATGTTTGATCAGGGCTCCTAGCCGCCACACGTACCTCATAACAAACTACACTGCAACGAGCGATACGCTGATCTAATTGTGCCTGTAATAGATCATATTATGGGGCCTCTTTCTGGACCCCAAAACATCCAGGAGACTTGTACATATAAGAGAAATTCACTTTGATCCCAACTGAAAACATGTTCCAATAACGGTCCTTTCATTGAAGCGGTACCTCCCTTAGGTTAACGGAAATATCTATCTTGTATTTTATCTAATGTCTTCATTACCATTAAATAATATTTGAGGGGTCAATGAAACCTTATAAAGCATAAAAAATCTTCAACGAGTTCACGATGGTATGCAGTTCAGGATATGGGGGGACCACTTTGAGATCTTAGAGAAAAGTCTGAAGTTTTAAAAGAAAGAGAGAGAACAAAACTAAATCAAATGAGGTGAAAGTAACCCTTGGTGTGCATTCTGAGTTATGGTTGACAGGTTAAACACACCTTATCTATATTATGATCCTCTTCAGTACTGACTTCCATGAACTTCATTCCGAATTCATCTGCAAACTACAGGAAAGAAATGCCCATTTTTTCACAATACTACCAACACAAATTACAAAGAAAGGTATTAAACGATTTTCGCTAGCGCTGGGCAAGAATTAACTCGTGAGGATTCAACCGCGAAAACCTAAGGTTTGAATTGAAACCATACGGGAACGCGACTCTCCTTCGAACCATACTCGTGAGAAATTTTCAACACCTTTTTTCCTTCCAATAATACATTTTATGAATAAAATGTATTGCTGACTGTCGATCAATTTATTAGGCGCTGTGGTGGCCCACTTGAACGACAGAAACACGTTTATTGAAAAACTGGCACATTGCCCCTGATTTTCCGGAAAAATCAGAGGCCCCTCCTCTCCCTCCCCCAAACCCCATCCCGTTAAAACGCCGACCTGAAAGCCTTTGAAATATGATCATTTTCTCTTCGTTCAATGTATTTTCATTTATTTGAAAAAATGTAGACTGCGAAATATCTTTGTTTAAGGAGATAAAATGGAGTTTTGGTTTGCTGTCCACAGTAGAATTAAAACGCTCGTGCCGAAGCGCCAAAATGAAGATCCATGAAGCCCAGACTCGCAAGCTAACTAAGTGTCAATCACAGCCGTTGTTTGGTCTCGCCACGCCACGAGGCAGAGAGTGCGTTGCGTGGCGAGACCAAACAACGACTGCGAAGGAGATTGCAGTAAGCGTGGCACCAATGCAGTTCACTTCAACTTGTTCATACAACAGTGACAACCTGTGTCTGAGTTTATTTCGTATAAATTGGAAGGGTCTTTTTTCCTCTCTATCGAACGGAATTTTTGTTGGAAACTGTGAAGGTTAATGCTCTTTTTCTTTTGCGAATTTAAAAAATCAGTTGTTCAGTGTCCCATCTCAACTTTCCCATCCGAATAGAAGAACTCTTCTACGCATGCGTATGTTCTTGTTCGTCACCACAAAGACCAACCGTAACTGTCTTTTAATGATATTTGTTTAATTTGTACTACCTTAGCCGCTTTTTCTGTTGGTACTTCTCTTTCATCCTTCTTCTGGCAATTACTTCCAATCAACATAACTTCAGCATCTAGGTCGGCATACTAGGGAACATTACAATTGAGTCAGTAAAGGAGTTTACCAACACAATAAATATATTTCAAGGCTGGTCAGTTAACAACAGAGAGGTTACTATAAATGCAGCATCAAAACACAGGAGAACCTTAAAGATCCAAAAGATAGGAATCTCATTGCGTGCTCACCCTGTCGACTGTTCGTAGGGTAATTTGCTATTTTTCTTTCCTCTTGATGTAATGTTTTGTTTGAAAATATTTTTATATAAACTGGCTTGCCTAGCACTGGCTACATTTGGACCAGGAAAAAGAAATTGTAATTTTCGGAGGGTCGTGACGAATGTAGATATAATGCATGCATACACACAGTTTAGAAGTGTAAGTATTTTCAGGTTTACAGGTAAATATTGTTAAAAAGATGGTTAAATACTGGCATCAAAAGGAGCAAAGGAGGAGGGAAGCTAGTGGTAACCATCACTCTCATTCTTTCGTTATAATCATTTATCAGTTGGGCAAGTTGGTATTTTACTGTTGGTAACAGCAAACGACACTGATATCTAATTATGAAATTCTGAGGGAAGGAAGGGGCATCAGGCTTTTAGCATAATAGTAATTCGTTGTCTTTCATTTATAGACCCCATGAAAGTTCTGGGTTAGGTTGTTGCGTTTTAAAAGTTACTGTCTGTCGCTACTGAACATTAATATTTTATTTAGTTTTTTTAATTATTATTTTTTATTTATTTATCTTGTTTGCACGCATTGCGTGCCATTGACGTTGGGGTCATGTGATTTTTACGCGACCTCGTGATGAAATAAATGAATTGGTTGCGAAGTACAGTATATGTGTGGTAACGTTTTACACGATACTGTCAACCAAAGAGGGTGCCTTCCGGACATATCATCCTACGAGCGCTAAATAAATAAATAACTAAATAAATAAATCATAAATAAATCATAGACAGGAGCTCATAACTTGGAACGTTCAACTCCCATACTGACCCTATGTCACGGCATTTTCACAGAACAGTTTATTTTTAGACTATCTTTTCACGGGAAATAGGCCACTTGAGCTTACCAAGGTAATACGATCCTTTCCTTACATATCCCACTATCCTTTGCAAATTATTTGACACTTGCGAAAAAAATTAGCAGGAGTGTGGGTTATCGATGTATTTTTGCTTTTATTGTTTTTTCGTTTTCAAATTCAAGACGATGAAGAGGCGCAATGCCAGCAGTGATGGAGAGCGCGGAACAAGAAATTGCATGAGGAAGCTGTGTGCGAGTCGTCTTCATCTCAAGAATCTTCATCCACACCGTCCGTAAAGGACATTTTGCGACGCAGGATTGAACAGAAGCTGGTGCAACAAAATGAAGAACGTTTTTTTAGATCGCAAGATAACGCTACTCTTTCGAATTAGGCTTCGATCTTGTCAAATGTTGGTTATTTTTGTGAAGTGCGGTCGATAATGGCGAATGCTTTATTGTCGCATGCGGCAAAATTCACGGAGCCTATTGTCGCTTTGATCATTGAACAATTTGCTCTCCGGTATTCTTTACGCCGCATCTCGCATTATTTCCAGATTTTCCTTTTCTTTTTTCAGCTGATTAGTCTTAATCCTCTCTTTGACCAAAAAGCAAAAAAAACACGAAATTTTGAAAATTTGACCAGATTTTGTTGACAGTAACCTCATTCCTCTCTCGCATTACTCAAGACTCAAGTCGCCCGAGAGTCATCTCGCCCGTAGTCTTGTCGCCCGAAACCTGAGTCATTATGCCCGAAATTTTTAGTTATGTCGCCCAAAAAAAAAACAGTCGCCCGAAGAAACAAACGCTAAAAAATCAGAATTTCAGACTTTAAATAGGCAACAAAGTTGAGAAATTTTTATCACTAAAGCGCTCTTTGTTTTCGACAACACCATGAAGATTCTAAAAGCGTTATTCGTTCCTAACAGGAAACGTTGTTCGTTTCTAACAACAAAATGAAGCATTGTTCGTTGGTATGTAATCGTTTCTTACTCACGGACATTTCGTAAGCTTGACGAACATATTTTATAAATTGAACCACATCAAAAGTTATACTGTCAATTGACAAAGCAAGAAAGAACTTGCCTCATTGTTTATTGTCCTCCATAAAGAACACACATTTTCAAATGATTCGTGACTTGTGATGTCATAAGTCAGCAAGAATCCCTGAGGAAGAAACAACGAACCATCATGAGACACTATTTATCAAATAATCAAGGGCATTTGAAAACACTAAAAACTACGAAAAGAAATGTAATTCTACCCCTCCCCTCCCCTCACCCCATCCCATGCTTAATTAGCATCTTAAGAGCGGGCTTCTCATTTAGGTTTTTTTCCTAATCAACTGATGGAAAAAGAAGACTCGGCGATGTTTCTTCCAGTAAGTCTCTTTGGCGAAAGCAGAAAGCTTTTTTACTGGACCACCACCGTTTCAGATTTGTGACTAGGTGGAAGCTGTCAAAGTACTCCCCATTCATTGCCACCTTTTGTTTGTTTTGGCGAGTAAACGGCTCTCCCTAAAGGCTGTCAGAGGTAAGTGCAGGGGTATGTGCACTTTTTTTTTCTCCAGTGACATTAGTTTAGCCCTTTGTTATACAATCTACACTTTACAATTTATACTTTATTCATATTTCTTACCTTGAAATTTCTATAATATTGTTTGGGGGTTAACCAAGAGCTGAGGTCTACGTCATCCTTGAGATACCTGAATAAAAGGGATGAAAGTATAGTTTTTCCGTCCTTTTCAAGTTGCAAAGTTCTGAAATATATATATATATATATATATACAAAATAAGTAAAGGAACATTTTTTTTAAAAGGAGAGTACAGTATCTGCTGTCAAAATTTCCAAAGTCTTTGTTTCACCTTTGCACAATTTTTTTTGCTTGGAGTGCCAGTTGCTAGATGTGTTATTTAGATCAAGTTATCAAATTAATGAGGGTGAAAAATGTGAGTGAATGATTTTACTGGGGTCCAGTAGACACATTTTCCAGCTAAATAATGTATCATTGCATACATTATGAACCAATGATCTTTAATTATTATTTTTTCTAAATAATTTCACAGTGAACAACATGGTGGACAATGCAGTAACTTGGAAATTTCACAGAGGCTTTGTTGCATATTTAAATAAAAATAGTTAAACAACTGTTTAAGAAAAGGAGCATTCTGTAGTAAACTCTTCCAGATGTATGCCTTGAACAGTTTCACTGTAAGTGGAACAGTTGTACGAATTGCACAACTGTTCTTCACAGTAATGAACACTACTTAAGCAGTGGTGAAAAAAGGCCTGAAAAAAATTCAGGCCTTATTTAAAATTCAGCCAACTCCCAAATTAATACAGACATCTGTCAGCTTTCTCAAGCAGTTTCCTCATCTAGCCATGGTTTGTGAGCAACTAGACATCGGTCACGAACAGAATAAGACTGAAACTTACCAAATACAAAGTTGAATTATCTTCCCATCAATTTCTATTCTTTTTTCTATAAAGTCTGAAAGGACAAAATACTGTGGTTATTGTGTGATCATCATTATATTTTTGTGAACAAAATGGGAAGCTAGAACACACCAAAATGATCACTGCTGCCTGGGACATAAAAATAGGAGGCAAAAACCTGGACACACAAAATTTGGCTGAAATGAGATAAAATTATAATTTTTGTTTAATTCCTGATCTCTTAAAAGAGTTTTCTTAGTCCCAACTGCAGGTCAGCTCTCCAGGTCACTAAAAAAAAAAATCAATCTAGGGAACAACAATGATCCACACCTTCCTTTAAAGTAGTTTATTTATTGCCTTTAAATTTTGTCTATCAGTCAGCAGATTGTTTTATAATATGACAGAAATGATCTACCAGTTTAAGCAATTATTATTATTATTATTCAATTGCTTACTTCAGAAAAAAATCCACTGTCTCGATATGATAAACCCATGCATGCAAAGTTCAGCATTCAACAACTTGATCAACCAATAACCTTTGATGAGTTAAATCAGTTCTGTTACTAAAAAGGGTGATGGACATCTTGAAGTAATGAACTAATTACAGTGCTGTGTATTTAAAAAATATATAGATTTTTATGTGAAGGTATTTTATAAAGCTGTGAAATGGTGATTTTGTTGTTCAGTTGACATGTCAATGTAATAGTTTGTATTACAATCTCAATAGTATGGAAATAAATTTAACTTTGACTTGCAAATGCAAATGCAATTGAAGAAATGATCAAGAAATGATGATTAAGAAATTGCAGAAAAGAAGCCTGAAAACTTTTCAAAGGGATTGGAAGTTGTACCTCAAAGTACATGTTTGGTGCTAAACCAAACTAAACTATGAAGCCAAACACTGAGCGGGTTTTCTGTTGCAGTAAATGACATTTTGGTTTACAAATCCATTAACTCTTGTTCTAAATACATAATAGAATGTATAATACACATAGAATATATAATGTTGATTGAGCTAAGCATGGTGCAATTTGGTTTGAAATTTCAAGTATGATTTGAAATCACAACACAGAGTTAAAATGCTACACATTACATACGTTTCCCAAAGTTTTGTTCATCCAAATACAAGATTTCAGGAGGAAAAAAATATTTCAAAGACCCAGTACCAAGCTGATTTGTAAAACAAGTGGTACCCTCCCTCATTTTCCATTTATTGCTGATGACATCGAACGAGCTAATACTTTGCTCGAGCGAATTTACGCCCCACTGAACAACAAACATGTGAGGATTATTTTGACCTTACAGCCTCATGGTTATGGTAACACCGCTAAAGGAACTAATATTTGCGGATCGAGGAAACCCCCAACTCCCGTTTTTCTTAATTTAGGCGGTCCAGTTTCCTTATTATTTAGTAGCAATAGAGACGCGAAGGGAAGGGGGTAAAGTTCACAACTGTAAAGATGATTGCCAGTTTACGGTTACCTACCAATATATGATTTACCCTCATCGCGAATTTTGAAAAGAAGCTTTATCTCTGAATAACCATCATAGCCAAGCAGTATTGTGTGAAACACATACTCATACGATCCCTGAGCCATGCCTTTGGACAGAAAGCGATCCTATTACGAAAGCGGAAATTGGCTCGGTTAATCCTGGATCCAAACGCGAGCTATTACGTCATCTAATAATATACACGGAAAAATTACTCAGTTCTGATTGGTTAAGATAAACGCAGTTTTAGGTAATTCAGTGCAGAAGAGAGTTGTTCAGTGTAGAAGAGGGTTAATTTAGTGCAAAGTAAGAAACAAATCAGACATTCTGATTGGTCAATAATCAAAGAAACTCACAGATAGCCAATCAAATGCGAGCCTTGGATGTCGCAACAAAATTTGAAAATTTGCGAGCGAAACAATGGCCGGCGTTTCAAGTAGGCTTTCTTTTGCCACCGCAGCTGAAAAATAGCTTAAACAACGAAAACACTGTGAAAAGCACTGCTTTTTGGTTGTCGGTTTGGAAAAAGTGGTGTTTAGAGAAGGGAATTGCCGAGGAAATCGAAAATGACGAGCCGACCCAGTTTAGCACTTTGCTCGAGCGATCCAACGCCGAAATTAAAAACAGTTAACAAACAGAGAAGCCTTGGCTGTGCTCTGTTCTGTTATAAAGCACGCAGGAAGCGGCTAGAGCACGAAAGAAGTGTAGGGAGAAACACGAGACGTAGTACAATTGGCAGATGGCGTGACAGCTGTAGCTCAGTTCTATGCTTTATACTCTCATAGAGCACGCTCTTTCAACCAATGACAGCGCGCGTTATATCCGAACTTTATTATAAACATGGTTAAACCTCGGAAACGACGATTCCATTTCATCGAAAGTGATTCGGACACAGACTGAACAATTCCTTGAACTTTTTTGCACCTTAAAGATGTGAAGATATCATTGCATAATTTATTATTGTTTTGATCGTACGCGGTTGTTTTGACCGAACGCGCGGTTTGAATAAATTATTATTGCACTTGATGCGCACTTTGCTTATGTTCAATTATGATAAGCCATCTCGTATTTTTCCATGTATATTATTAACACCTAATTACATGATTTTTCTCGTGCAATTTGGAATAAACAAGCACTTGTTAATTTTTTCAAAGACCACAAATTGCACTCGCCCTACGGGCTCGTGCAATTTTGTTAGTCTTTAAAAAAATTTACTCGTGCTTATTTATTCCAAATTGCACTCGAAATCATGTGATTACCTAGACGAAAAATACAGTAGCTTCGCCTTGTCTGATGTCTTTTCGCCACACTTCGTAATCATTTCGCGCGCAACTTAGTGCAATCGACTTTAGCTTGCCACTGGAAACAAGCTGTACCTAGATTCTTCTACACAGAAACAAAAAATTAGTTCATTTCTATCAATATACCGAAAAGTGTCGGAAATTGAATTTTTCAATTGTGATTTTGTTTCTTCGGCTGCTCTAAGGATAACGCTTTGGCGCGTTCGAAAATTTCAACTCACCTTTGTGGTATTCACTATTTAATAATGCCAGGAGCACATGACATAGGTTTCTATTAATGAGTGACGTGGCCGGCGCTACTATATACACAGGATCTCAATGAGGTGATGGCTTTTACGACTGACGGTTAAAATTTCTCAATTTTTTTACGCCTAACGGCTGAATTTTTTGCCGTTGTACAGTTACTGAGTTAAACTCTTTGAGACCCTCTACACAGAACAGGACGATTCCTCACTAAAGATTTTCAGGTCCACTACCATGTGCACGTATTCCTTGAGTGTGCGCTATTCATTAGGCATGCGCTTGCCTCGTCATTTGCCCAAGCGACGCAAGGCATAGCTTGGGGGGAGAGGTTCCTGGGGTGCCCATGACCCTCCCTTTGTGAGCTTTTTTCTAAGCAAACATCCGACAATATTCCATATGGGCCTTTAAGTCGCGTCAATACGAGCCCACTGAAACAAAAGGGGGAGCAGCGGTATAAGCCGTACATAGTTGGCGATTCCCGGATGGTGTCCCAGTTTAACATACGGGGTTTCATTAGAAAATGTCGAAACAAACGAAACGTTTCAACTATTTTCAGCGCTAGAAAAAGAAGTAAGGAAATTCCTCATCTGACTTACCTTTAGGTCTTTCTTCTCACAAAAATGAAAACATCTGGTGCACAAAGTATCCTCTTGTATGCTACGCATGCCTATGTTTTTTTGTTTTTGTAAAAAAACAAATAAAATGATACAGTCTTACGCGGAGGTACTTGAGGGTGAGTCCGAAGTATGGGCAAGCACTGAGAGAAGCGCACGAAACCCTCAACCCGGCTGGGATTTCCTTATTTGGGCTGATTGCTTGAGGTTCGAATCCTCACAAGTGTCTGAGATTGCAATGCTTCTTCTTTTCTTATGCTTCTTGTCATACCATTTGCGTCAGGTGATCCAGCCTTTCCGCTGAGGGTAAAATGTATGTTACTGAAACACGATCCTCCGTCAAGCTGAAAAAGAAGAGTGCTTGAAGTAAATGACTGTTGCTGATAGACATTTACACGAAATTGAAATCTCTCAAACTCTCTCCCTTCGTTGTATATAATCAAAGACTAAACATTCAAAAGAACGCAGAGGCTTCTTGAGATAAACCACACTTACTGGAAATTCGAAAGAAAGGGAAAATATATTTTCAGCACTGTTTCATAGCTATTTTGCGGCTGCAGCACACCAACTTGATGTTAGTCTAAACAATGGTTCAGTTGATCAGTAAAGTGTGATTAAGGTTGATTCCATCAAAATGTTTTGTTTTTTTCCCTTTGCACACAACATTGTGCTAACTGAAAAAGGGTTTTAACTTATTTCTCTTGTTTTCTGTTTTCTTGACAAATGTAAAGTCTATAAATTCCATGACTGCCATATTTCATAACCTAGGAGTGGAATATTCAGCTGAGACGGAGGAGTGTCCACTTTGGTAATCACTCACAAATTTAGTGGCTCTGTTTCAGTTACAAGTGGCTGTATCCCACTTCTGATAGCCTGCAACGAAATGGAAAAAACTAACAATTGTATCAATCAGAAATACCTCTTCATCCATTACAACTGCAGTCATGGATTTTGTTAGAAGTAGAATCTCTAACACTCGTTGTTTGTTTGGTTGATTCTTCTTTAATCTCCTTTCTTCTCAAGTTGTTACAACGGGGACTAACTTCTATCTAGTGAGAAAAGCGAGAGTCACCGTTTATAAGGTGACACTACAGATAACATTACTAAGCTGTCAATCTTCTTGTATCGTCATCGTTCCATCTCAGCCAGCGAATCCCGTTAGATTACGTATGACAGTTCCTACTTACTAGGTATGCGCCTTCGAGTTATTTGAGAAGTTACAAAATCATCTACTACCTGAAATTTCTTATTCTTACAGTTGAGATCGGCCAGAACAGAAACGAGATTGGTAATATAAAAATCATAACTAACCTATTGGCAGAATATTATTCACATCCGAAGGGGCATCTTACGAGAAAATTGCCTCAGAAGACCGTTACATAACAACATCATGATTACAAAAGTTGGAGAAGAAGGGCGTTCACAAGTAGCGCCTCCAAGTTGCGAATTGCGAAACATGAAGGGTATCACACGTTTACACCTTTAAGAACGAGAGGTGTCGAACGTGACCTTTTACCAGAGAGATTCACTCTTCCTGGATTAACAAATTAACATAATTAGTAACATAGCTTTCCCAAGACATTATCACGAGTTCTAATTACCGTAGAAACTGAACAACTGTTTCCATGTCAACTTCACGATCATAACGAGGAAAACGTGACCAAACTCTACCTTTAAGATAAGACTTCCAAAAGGAATAAGAATTAATCAACTTGCCTTTTTATAATTTGCAGGAATAGTTTAAAGTAATATAATATTTCCATTCCTTTCCCCGACACCAATATAAGGAAACCCTTACGATATTTCAGATCAAATATAGCTGTATTTTTATCGTTTAACAATTTTGACGAAGTGTTGAAGACATTGGTGATAGACAGGATACTTGTAATTTAGTTTGAAAATAAAATTGATTTAAGTAAAGTGAGGATTTCAACGATATCGAAATTTAGGAAACGTTGTCTAAGAAAAATTAAATCGTATAAAGTCTGTGTGGGAACTTTCTTCCCGTCTACCTCACACTTGTTTGCTATTCCTTCGATGTGAAATTTTATCATGCTGCTCAGTCTCTATTAGCCTATGGTTTCTTTTACCATGTTGTAACATGGAGGTCCAGGTTCTTTGCAGAACTGTTGTACGCTAGAGTCTTTCTCCTCTTGTGTTACCCATTCTAACAAACGCCTCAAACCAGAAAAAAATTGTTTAAAGCTGTGAACTGTTTACAGTGATATCTTGGTAAAGTGAGAATCCGATGGAGTCACTTTGGGCGTTGATCGCAACGTTTCGACTGCAAAACTGCTAGTCTTCATCAGGCGATGAGGTCGATTGTTTACGTGTCGCTATTTGTAGCACGTTGGTTGGCTGCTATTGGTGCATTTCGATTCTCATTATTATTCCGGTTGCTAGATGGTGTTCCCTCATAGGTCCTCATTGATCAGCTGTTGTGTTGTGTGATCGTGGGTATCCAAGCTTCGGGAATTTCGATTCCACTATCCACAAGTATTTGAGGAACAGGCGATAGCAAAAGCGACTTGCAAACCTAAGATCTGGAAACGATACGTGGATGATTCTTTCACAGTCTCAGACCGGGACCATGTCAACGGATTTTTACAACACCTAAACAGTCAACAGCCTACCATTCGTTTTACCATGGAAATCGAGAAAGATAACACCATTCCTTTTCTCGACACAACAGTTACATGGGACTCAGACGGTCTTCTCAATTCCACTGTCCACTGTCTTCGTTTGGCTCACTCAGCGCCTAGAATACGCCGGTAAATGACGTCATTGTGTGTAAGAGCAATGTATTGGTGGAGCAGTAGCTTTATAATAGTATTCCAGGATGTACAATGCTAGGTCTATTCTTTCTAACATGACTTAATTTTTATATAAATCTATCATATTAATTATCCTATGTCAAGATGTTTGCACGAGTTTCTGAAAATAGATATT